ATAGAAGTTGTATAGTAAAAATAAATTAAAATCGCAATCATAATCGTAAAAGAGTATTTTTAAATTAGAAATTAAAAAATAGAAATGTTTAAATATTCTTTAAACAGCCTATGTAGTCCAACCTCGTGGATAAACATGCTCTACGATCACGCGCCTTTTATGTCAAACTTTTATGGTTTCTCTCGTTTGCTTGCAAATAAAATTCAAACAAATCGATCTAATGGCTCTGCTTTAAGCCAATTAATTTAATATCCATTACCTTAAAGGCCCGACATGGCTTAATCAATTCACTTTATAAGTAATTGCCTTAAACACAGTTTGGCAGAGCTTTGTCTTAACCAGAAACCGCAGCAGCCGAGCTTGCGTTAAGACAGTGGGAAATACAATGCATTGTCGTCGAACGAACGCCCTACTCCAAACAGACGCTAGACAACCACAATTGGCAATTACTGTCTTATTGGAACGACGTGGCTGGCCAACAGATTGAAGCTGTTTGCAAAAATTAATTAGCTTAACTTATGCGCCGCTTAGATGCGTTGGCGCCTGACGAACATTGTAAGCGACTCAGACCTTATCGATTAATGTCAGAGCTTCAACATCAGTGTAAAATAAAGTCTTTAGGCATTATGGTGGAGCGGAAACGACATGAGGATGCCCTAAAGGATTTCTTTTCAGTTGTGTTTTAAATTTATTTTTATTTTTTAAATATTTAACAATATTTCTTATCGAATAATGTCAGAGCTTCAACATTAGTGTAAAAGAAAGTCTTTGGGTTATGCTTTAAATTTTTTATTATAATTTTGAACCAATTTTAAACACATTTTTTAAACATCGTTGCTTTCTTATAGATTCTTAAGGTCAATTGATAAGGAATATTATTGGAATTAGTTAATATACATAAAAAAAAAACACACTTTTATGAATTATCATATAACTGTTTATTGGTCGAAATAAGTGAAAATTCCATATTTATTTCATTCAAGTATATACTCTTCTAAAACACCAACAAAATATATTTTTATAACACATTTCATATCTTTTGATCTCAAGTATCTCATATAAGCAGCTTCATCAGGATTCGAAAGCTTTAACTTGACAGACAAAAAACGAAGAGCGAAAGAACCGTTTCCAATAGAAGTTTAAAAAATGAAATGAAAGACATAATACACGTACTTATGTGGTTTTAAAACTGATATGCCCTTTTCAACTATGAGTGTAACATACACAATGGAGGAAAACTTGCAATGCGGGCTATTGACACTTGACATTGACATTCCGTCCATCCGTCAGTCGTTCTTTCATTCGGGCAAGTGCCTGGTCATTTGGGTTTTGTTGCTCCCCAAGTTTGACAGCAGAAAAACTGTTAGGAAAATTGATGGCGTGCCAATGTGTTGAATGCACGCCATTCTGGTGTTTGTTTGTTGTCGCGTCGTTGCATGAGCCGAGCAAATAGCGCATGGAAATGCGTGACAACTTTCCTGAAGAGGAGGCAGTCAGTAAATGTGTCGACGGCGCCACATCAATTAAAATTCAATTAAATACAAACAGTTCGGACTAGTTGGGACACACTGCCCACACACACACATTGTACACTCATTATAAATTCTTGCACTTTATGAGGCGCAGCTGTGCACATTTTTGTGTGCATTGCAAAGCACTTGAATTTTTAATTATTTCAAGCTGTTAGGAAACACACACACAAGCAGGGACACAGCTCGATAAAAGTTCGTGGGGCATAAATTAAAATGTTTATGGGAATGGCGCGCCTTTTATTGGCTCGACTCTGTTTTGTTTTCCCATTTGCCAAATGTCTAAATATAACAACAAACATTGTAAACAGAAAAAAGAGTCGACTGCCGAAAGGCTTGCATTAACTTGCGTGCCAATTTCCTTCTGGGAAATTAGAAAAGTTTGCGACCAAGCTATCTGTGGCATACGCAAATATTTTCGCAACAAATAGCAAACAAAAAAATCTATTGTACATTCTTTGGCAGCTACTGCCTTGCCATTATTTTCTGTCTTTCTTCTTTCCTTCTACATACTATATTTATTTGACAGCCCTAAAAAATAACACAAAACGATAGAGAGAGAGAGAGAGTCCATGAAATAAAACTCAAAAGGATTCCAACAAAAAGTCTAGCAATCTGCGAAAAAGTTCGCAGCAGGTTTGAGGTTTTACTCTACTTTTTGTTTATATTTGCAGATTTTTGTTTTGTGGGCCAAATTCCTTTTCTATTTCCTTCTCTTTGAGTGTAAGTGAAAGGGTATTGTAACACAGTGAAGAACTTTTCCTCACAGTACGCCGCACAGAGTCCCAAATACCTTACATTACTAGCATTTCTAACCTAATGCACATTTAACCATTTAATAGAATGCTTTTAACATGGACTGTGTCCACCAAGTTCCCTGTAAACCAAAAATTAATCGAAAAAATGTGAAGATAGACTGCGGTGATAGTTCAGAATCAATCATGAATGCTTGCCACTGGTGCAGAAAACAAAAACCACATTTTGAAAGACATTGCAGAGTATATAACATTGGTGCAATCCAAGATAACTTCTCAGATCCTTTTATTCAAATTTTATGCGTGCGAACATGTTTCCTTTTTACTTTTCGGTTTCACAAACATGTTTTACGACTTTGCAAGAGTAGTACAAATTTCCTTTCCTTTTTATGGCTCTTTCTGTTTGACTGCTTCGTTTATTGACAATTGTGTTTGTTTTATTTTGGCTTCTCTTTAAACTGGCCCCCAAATGCTAGTTTGCGGCTTATATGGTAGACTTTTTGATTGCACTTTGGTGAGTTCCCGGCTCGGATCATAAAAGCAAAACAAATATTGGCTCATGAATTTAAAATGCTTGCTTAAGGAACATTGTTTTTACACCCAAAAAGGGTGTCACAAAGCCTTAAGTTGAAAGCTGCGCAAGTGCTTACATATTTGTATTGTGGGCTGCTAACCAGGAAAATAACATTTGTTTGCAAGTTGTACATTGTTTTTAAATTTAATTGAGTTTGAAATGTGTTCTATATATTGTGCTATCTTTTGATTGTATCTATAAAGTAAAGTTGGTCAGAAACCACTCGATCTAATAACCAAAGTTATGGTCAAATATGTGAAGACTAGTTGTTAATAATGCTTATATTTGAATTACTAGACTTTAAATGTTTGTAAACGGGGCCTGGCATGGCACAATGAGCTAGCAGGAATGCTACAATTTGAATTCGTTCCTGAGTACGTTTGAATCACGCTGCAACAATTATGACAGAATCATGATTGAAAAAATGTCAGGGTTATCATAAAATTTAATAATTGTCAAACCTACGACAAATCTTAAATAAAGATGAAAGATTTTCAAAAAGTTTGTAAACATATGTTTGTTTAGGATGAGAATAACTTCCATTTCTAATTAAACTCTTAGACTCTTCAGTGACTGACATAAATAAACCTCATATGGGTACCGGGCCGGAACACTGAGGAAAAGCGCTCAAGAGTCTCGGGCTGACTTATTTCGGGCAGCCCTTCCTTAAGGAGCCGACTGATGCAAAATAAATTAAGCCGTTAGCAGCTCCGAGTCGGACCAATAAAACCAAAGGGGATTAAATGGCAAGACTGGGCTTCCTGAGCGTTAAAGTTAGGGCGTGTATAACGCCGTCTCAGCAATATCTGGCTAATATATTGATCTATGTCCTGTCCTTGGCCAAATAATATCTAGTATTTTTTTACCAATTTTAACACGCTTATGATAATGAATCACAAACATGAACACAGTGTCGGAAATTCAAAATTCTCAAAGGTGTCTAAATAAAAATAGCAAATCACATGGTTACAACAAAGAATTTTGACAGAATTTATTTAAAGAATGGTATGCGTACCTCAAAGAAAAAAGTGTTTCTTCGAAAACAAGCCACATTCTTTACAATACAAGTATGTATTCCCTAATGGAAAATATCGACACTATTTTTCTCTTTTTTTTCAATTTTTTTAAAATTATACTCGTTGCATGAAGAAGGTTGACATATATTTTAATTAGACTCATTTCGTAAGAGCGAAGTAAAGGTAAATTACAGATTTCTTTCATTCTTTTAGGCCTCATTAATTTTCTTCTTTATCTCTTTCGCCATTAGCGGCCTACTAATTACTTGGTATAAATGATTAGTGCCACTAAAAAAGGATTCACATTTGCTGTATAAAACAAGCCATTAAATCATATATATTTTCCAGCTGCCCACATCACATATCGTTTTGAAAAAGGTTGCTGGCCTATAATTAACAGTCGCATTAACCTGCCAGGTGAAGCAGCCCGAGGCCCATTATGGACAACCCTTTCTAAATAGTCTGGTTGTCAGTCTCATGACCATAAAACCGTCAGGCCTCTTTATACTACTCGTACATATAAATGCGCAGGTTCTTTATTGTTTTTTATGTTGTTTTTTTTAAGGAATAGCATCCTTCACATCACACACATCAGTGCGGGCTATTCATAACATTTCCAGTTCCAGTTAAAAAGCATTTACAGCACATTAAACAAAACACCCATAGGAACAAACTTTATGCTAATCAGTTAACCCCAGCGCATGGCGCTTTTTTATTATGGCCTGTAAACAAAACTAAATAAAATAGTCGTCTGGCAAAACAAACAACCAGATAAGACATAACAAATGGCTTTAGCATAATAATGGCCGCAACAAACACACATACACATGCACACACTCGTACTCGTGCACCCGCAGAGACGCACGCAAACACTTTTCATATTAAAGTCGCATTGAAGTCAAATGGAGCGCTTTAAGCTGCCACCAAGTGTAAGTGCAAGTGAAAGTGAAAGCGAAAGTTTGTCAACTCTCTAGATGTCCTTCTATAAAAAGTCGGCCGCCTGCAGCACGGCTTCAATGTCAGTGACCAAGCAAAAGGCTGACCTTGCAAACTTTTTGGCTGATTTGATATTTTTGGATAATGCGTTTGAATATGCCTATCCTTTTGTTTTTCTCTTTTTGCTCACCTTGGTTATCCCTTTATTTTGTTTCTTCTCATTTGATGGAGGCACGAAAAAATATCAGTGAAATTTTTAATGTCCACTCACATGTCAATTACTAAGGCGTATAATTAGGCACCCATAACTGATGCATATATATGCATATATCTTGATCAGCTCGAGCAACACTTTTCGTACAGCTGCGGCACTGATTGAATGGCAGAAACACGTGCGACAAGTGGCTTGATTAAAAAATTCGCTTTGATGTTATAAATTATTGTTGTTGTTGTTGTTGTTATTTTTTCGACAATTTTTCACGCACGACACAAAATACGATGTCGGATTTGGACTAGAGCAGAATAACGGCAATGATAATGTCGCACAATATGTGCGCGTGAGACGTGCGTGCGGCGCCGAAACAGAAAACCAACTGAAAAATGCGACAGCTGTGCCAGTGCCAATCGGCGCAGTCAAAAGTTCTTCCATAGTCAGCCGTCAGTCCAGTCGGGCAACAAAATTGGTCGGCGGGCTTTTATTTCCTGCGCGCCTGTCGAAAGTGTTGCCTGTGCTGGCGTCGACAGCGACGGCAGCGTCGAGCAAAACAGCTGGCTGTTACTTTTCAATACAATCCACATGCGCAACTGGTGAGAGATGGCATCCACACACAAACATGCGATTATATGCATCAGATGTTTTCTGTATACTTATTGAGGGGCCCGTTTGGCACAGGCTTTGCAGCGCTGCACAACCCACACTCACACAACGCGCTCTTAGCTCGCTCTCAAGCTCCCTCTCTCTACTCGCTCTCTCACATGCTTTGCAGCCATCTGACTTTGCGCTCGCCGCTGCTTTTGCTTCTGTCTTTAGTTGTCTTTATTGTGGACTGCATTGAGGTATTTTTTATGAATGGCCACGTATTTTGCTTTATGTTTGTTTCTGTTTTTTGTATTTTTGGATTACCTGCCGCCTTGAAGCTCCTCCATTGACAAATAAGCCAAGCGCGCAACAACAGCAAACGCGAAAGCGAAAGTGAAAGCAAAAGGAAAAGGAACATCACACTTTCGTCCCGGCATATGTTTTATTTGGTTTATTTTATTTTGCGCCTACATGTGCCAAAAGTTTTGCTAGTTGTCAGACAAAAATAAACATGTGTATGTACATATAGTAGTGTATTTATTTGGACTATCGCATGCACCTACGCAGTTCGCCGCAAACCCCTGCCGCACAGCCTATCAGACGGTACATCCATGTCGAAAAAAACCCTTTTGGCCACTTGGCGTATACGCAATAAATCATAAAATGAAATGATTTAGTGCACTTTTTACAGTTACTTTATTTTGTTGGAACGAACTACAACAAAAGCAAAAACAGCCATGGAACGAAATAGCCATTTTAATAGACAACCTCAGCCGACATCCACACACAAAAAAGAACATTCATCACCACATGAAAATATGTTTAAATCCTTGTTGAGTGCTCGTAAAGCGGTTTTTATCTTTATGTTTTCGTCTAGTTTCTGTTGTTTTTCATCTCTTTTTTTCGGCTAACTGGTTACATATTTCTACATTTTCGTTGCAACTGCTTCATTGTTTGATTTATGTTTGCCGTTGTTAGCCTTCACTAACATGCACATATTTATATTTTATTTCAATTTATTTCAATATATATGCTGAACTCCACATACAAGTACCCCTCCCTGCCAAACACATGCTGATTAGACTAAGCTGTTTATGGCATTATTCATTATTCGGAGATTTATGGATACAGCAAAACAATGATAACAATTTAAAATCGTTGTTGTATTTGCAAAAGAATATTTAAGAACATCTGCTTTATTTGTAGTAAGAAAAAATGGAAATGGGTAGCTTTTCGATTGAAAGACCAACATTACAGGTTCTATTGGAAGGACGATAAAACCACCAAGGCAATTCTTATGCGACTCCAGCATTAATTTGGACAAGGAGGAAGCTTGTTCGCCAAGAGATATTAACTTGTGCGAAAGTAAGACTTCTTCATACTTAAACTTTTTTTTTTATCCTTCAGTAACGAACATTTTCAATGGTCTTAAAGGCTGGTCATTTATAAATAAAGCCAATTAGTTATGCCTAAGCTTTAAAATGACTTGATTGTTTTTTTTTTATAGAAAATGAAACCTTTGGCACTAAGTATTTGAAGAATATTGCATTGAGTAGCTTAGCATTTGGAAGCGAAAAGCAGCCGATATCCTTATGCAATATTTCAGAATTGTTCCGTTAGCTCAATCATTTATGCACAGCTTATTAGAATATTTTTAAATGTAGAAACCCATCTGCAATGTAAGATAATGTTACTCATCAAGTACGTAGGTCTTTATCATAACTAGGGGGGCTGAACAAAAAATCATTTTGTATTCCCCTTCAGTCAGAAAAAATGCTTTTAGTCACGTCCTTATGTATGACATCTACCCACTCCGCGCGAGACAAGCTTTCAATAATGTGTGCCTAAGTGCCAGCATCCTGACAGTCAGCATTAAGAAATAAGTTAAAACCGAATCAATAACTTTTTTTGAACATTGCAGGACGTGCGAAGCATAAGTATGAGATGAGAAAATGGCAAGTGTGGCGCATATAGTACGAGTATATCGCATAACAACAATTCAAATTGCCAGTCAATAAACATATCAAACGTTCAATTATTTTTCAATTGCGAAGATTTGTGCTGAAACAGACAGTGAGAGAAACAGACATCCTTAGGCCAACAAAAATAAATGACAACAAAATTTGATTATGTGAAGGCAGAGATAGGATGGAAGGCGCACACGCAAACACACTCACACACACACACACACACACACACACATGTAAGGCAAATCCCATAAGTATGCAACACAAAGGCATAGGAAAAAGGGCAGCTAAGGCATTTACGCCTTGCCCGATTTGCCTCTAACCGTAGCGTTGCCGATAACGCTTTGTGAAAATTTTCGCACGTGACCGAAAAGAATGCTAAGAAAAAAAATCAAAATCAAATGGCCAAAAATCAATGCCACGGCAACATAAAACGGAAGTCTTCAGTCAGCCATTTTTTGTGCTGGGGGAAGAAGAGGGCAGTGCTCTATGAAAAGGAAGCGATGCTTAAGAAGAAAAAATGAAAAAAAACACAACTAAATGCTTAACGTATTTTCCGGATCCAACCATTCACCCCTCACTACCCCCTCCCCAGCTGACTGAGCAACCCTCGAACTGCAAATGGCTTCAACTGTTTTGCATTAAAGCGTTAGAGGCGTTGAGTGCCCCTTGCCACACTATATCCGTTCACATTTAGCAAAGGGATGCGATTTGTCTGTATGTGTGTGTGTGTGTGTGTGTTTTTGTATGTAGGAGGAAGTGCGCGTTACAGCCAACAGGAAATGCTGACTTGACAGCAAAGTCGGCGGCCATGGCAGCTGCGACAAGCATTTAAACCACATTCTGGCTTCGGTTTTCCACTCCACGATAATCCCTTCAATTGAAGTCGCTATGCTACAATTTGTAGGGCACTTACACCTCATAGCTTTACATTTTTATGTTTGTTGTAATTGTAGTTTTGCATACATTACTCTAAGTGTGCCTCTACCTTCTATCTAAGACGGAAATTATTGATATTATTGTGAGCTCGAAGTGCAAACAACACATTCAACTTTTAATGAAAATTTCAAAGGAAACCTCAACTTTCCATTAACGGCGATGAAGGAAGGGAAAAGCAAAGTTGCACCAGTCTTAGTGCCACACGTTGAAATCAGAAACGCTTTGACGCTGTCATACCCACATCACATCACTTTGGCTCAAAAAATGTTAGCCTAGCCCCAGGATTTGGCTGCGGTTTCCATACGCACGCTCCTTCTAATTCAGACATGTGTGTGTTTCCCACGCAAAGTCCGTCAGTCAGTCGTTCAGTCAGTTATTCAGTCAGTCGCTCAGTTAGTCCCTCGATGCGTCAATCACTTGCTCAAACCATCCAGCTCTTACAGCTTGTGAAAAATTTGCCAAAACAAACAGTCAGCCAAACGCCAGTCTCAATTCTCCAATTCGTCAAAAAAAGAATCTGTCAAGATTGCCAAAATGGAGCTCGTTATGTTTGGCTTAGGCTTTAAATATGTAGCAACTGGTAGATTTTGCGAGTATTGTTCAATATGACGACGCATAAGTCCTTCAGTTTGACACAAATTGCTGGCATTGATTCCATGCACTTCCGTGCATAAAGATAAGCTTATTGTCTTGCCTTCTAAACAAGCATGAACTTGATTGACTACAGCTATTTGTATGGCTATGGCTACGAAGGGCAATCTTCTCTCTTGCTGCCCACAGCAAAAGAAGAGCCATATCTACAGTAAATTTTATTTAAAGTACACATCAAGCTTAAAGATGGCTTGGCCCTGAAAACCGTAAAGGTATAGAAGAACTTATAAATATTGGCATAGAAGAACTTATAATTATGGGAGTTTAACGTTTGTTTTAGAATGGTTATATTTGTATAGCTTGATTAAATGTTTTATTTTCTTTAATCTTATATTTTGAAAATAAAGATCCGTCTTCGAATATATACATATATAAGCAATTCCATAGATTTTTAAAACGAGAGAGGTTTCTGACTGTTTTGATATAAATTTTTTCAAAATCACAAAACAAAATTTCTTAAAAAAAAATTTTTTTAATTTAATATTTTTCGTATATATAACCGGTAATGGCAAAAACACTTAGAATTTTAAGAAGATAGCAGTATTTTGTATTTCTCAATATATTTAAATATTTATTTTAAAGGTTTAACTGTACGTTCAGTGCTTAGTTGAACGATATTGAAACTTGTTCATGTCTTAAGTAAACACTTGCAGCCCCAGTTACAGTTTTTGCCACTTTTTGTGGCACGAAACTATCAAAACTTAAGAGCAGCTTGTTTGTGCAGTTTGTTTAGCAACTGCTCCACCATACACACTCACATACTTGTACACACACTTGAACACATTTGCTTTGGAACACAAACGCTGTAACAAAACAAAAGTTTTGCGGCAATGCACTTTTGTTTTTGTTATTATTGTTGTTGTTTCCTGTGGGAAGAACTGCAGGAACAATTAAAACGTGTGGTTTTGTTGCCATACATTTGCAGTTTATTTTTCTAAAGTTCTGCATAATTATATCAACATTGTTCAGTGCATCGCGTTCAGTTCAAAGTCAAAGGCTACCTGCGAGCATTTTCGCTGGCTAGACAAAAGGCTGTGGGCGAACGACCGTGCAAGGAAATCATTAGTCAGCCTGCTCCTGGCAGGATGACTCCCTCAAAGGCAAGCAACAACGGCAATCGTCAAACTTTTGACATTTCTCGAGGTTTTCGCGTTCATTTTTTCGACTACCATTGACACAAACATCTCAATGTATCTTTGTCGGTCTGTGTTTCTTTTAAATTTTCAACAACTTTATGTCCTGCGCAAAAAATATTTTTGGTTGGCTTGAATGTTTTGCCATGGCACATCAAAGTCCGCAGGATATTTTCTATGTAAGCCTTTTGTGTAGGTTTTTACTCCAAATTTGTATTTGTACCGTGTTGTTGTTGTGGCATGGCGCCTCAATTATACAATTTGACTTTTCACTTCGAGCGTTTTTTTTTTTTTTTTTTTTTTGTTTCAGCTAACTGGAATGCAAGCAGCTTAAAAATGCTGTTTTGTGGGAAGAGCATAAATGAGAGTTTCCAGTCTAAGAATTTTACAAAAATTGTTTTATTTTATACACACACTTTGCAAAGTATTGACTCAACCATTTGCAAAGAGATATATTTATGGGCAACTCTTTAAGATTGTAATCTAAAACAAACTGAAAAACGAGCACAATAGTTTCCAAGTTCTATAAACTCTTTACATCACATTTACGATTATACCTACAAAGTTACTCGAGTCAATTTATTTAATTATAAAAATTATATGGACCCTACGTCTTTCTATTTACTGCTGTTACTTTTATAAATCGATTTAAAAAAGACAATTTCGTATTTGCGGGTACCTTTGTTAAACCATTTGAAACCTTATTTGTGTTTGATTATCAATAAATTAAATAATTCTAAGTGCAGAAACTGTCATTAAATAAAAAATAAAAGGAAATAAACGGGATTTATTCACCGCCAATACGTTAGGATATAAACAAACCAAATAGGTTTTGCCCGATGTTGAAATAGTTTTGGTAATCATACAAAGATACAGCGAGCAATATTAGTAATGAACCAAAATTGCACAAAACACATACAACTATGCATAAATATTAGTAGTAATAGAAAAAGGATTAATTTATCCAGCGCTCATCACAAAGTTGACGATGTGCTTCAGTATGAAACCCATTCGCTCTTTACTGTAAAGAGTACACCAATTTCGACGTGCGGAAACTTAATTGTTTTGTTTTCTTTTATACCCAAAAGGCAAATGCTACATAATTTGCATAGACAAATGCTTGAAAGTTACCTGCTTTCAAGTCAGTTTTGGTTGTCCTGGTGCGATTGCACTTTGAACTCTGCTGAATACATGGAAAAGCAAACAAAATTTCATGGGTATTTGAGCAGCTCATACACACACTTACGCGCACTCATAACCACTCATCCGAAACACTCAAAAGCACTCACCCCCAATTGCCAAATTGTGGCAAATATGACGAGCTCGTGGCATCCGACGGCGGAATTGCTGGCATACATAAAAATACGCTAGCATCTGAGCAAATATTATGATACATAAATAATCCTGTTTTGGCATACAGCTGTGGCCAAAATTATTTGCTTCTAATGGCCGCCAACGCACTGCGACAAGTTCGGAATGTGTTTTATGTGTTTGTGTCTGTGTTGGGGGGTATTTTTTATTTTCATTATTTTTCTGGTTACGTCTCTTTTGCTATTGTTTATTATTTTGTCCATGCTTTATTTGAGTGTCAAAAAAAATTGTGCGTTTGGCCTCAGCAATTGGGTTTGTAAATCAAATGGCGAGACAACTTTATCTGAGCCATCCAAGCAAGCAGCTCGTCTGACTGGCTAACCAAATGGCTCACTGACTGACTGACTGACTGACTAACTGACTGACTAAAGTAGTCAGCTGTTTGCTGTCACACAGTTGCTCTACCAAAAGCTATCAAATTTCGATCACGGCTAGAAATGAAGCACTAATGATGGTTTGTTTGCTCAAACAACTACGCACAACAAAAATTTATTGTTACTTACTTTCGCAAAAACTGTCGTTGACAGGTTTATGATGGGGCTAGCACGGAATTTTCCATTTTTGGCTGTCCCGTCTGTGCACCAAAAACTTGCCTTGCACCAAACATAAATGCATTTCAAGCCAAGAACTGTCGGTTTGATCGAAAAGCGATTTATGTAATAAGCTTAACAGGCGAAGGAGCAAAGAGAAGGACTTGCTTCTGGATCGACTCCATACATTCCTAATGATTTCTCATGATGGGGACAGCAAAAGCATGCGCAGTCTTTATGCACAATTACTAGTTTATTTAAAAAATTTCGCACTCCAAACTGTACAATAAAACTATACAATAATTATTCGTTCATTTTTCATTATTTAAGAAAGAACATGAGCAGTCTTTTATAGAGATGTGAAGATGGAATTTCGATTTGGAATCAAAACGAATCCCATATACGTTGCAATGGCACTTTGCAAATCGTATGAATCGAAGAAAAGTTATAAACTAACATTTAAATTGATGTTTGAATGGTTAGCTTATCATAAATATTTAATGCAGTTGAGATGCAGAGGATCTTTATGTATTTTAAAAAAGTTTTCATCTTCAGAATACATAGTATTTTAGATGGAAATATAATAAAGAACAGATGGCTGACATTGAGCTTTTTTCCAAGTGTACTTTCCGAAACCTTGGTCTGCCTTGGACAGTTCATTTTTGTAATAATTTCAAAAAATGAGCAAAATGAAGCAAACAAATTATTTTGTCCCTCTAAAAATGTTACATGTAGGCGTAATTAAAGTCCTGCCATAAAAACGGCGGCCAAAGGTCAACAAAGACGGTAAAGCCACGAGCGGTTCACCCGTGGGCGTTACGCCAAACAAGTGTACCAGATTAATTGATTTTTGTGCATTGAATAATTGCCACACTCTGGCGCCAAGAGCTCCGTCATCAGGGAACGCACATGCAAACAAATGTTTGACCATGGGCGGAGACTATGGAAAAGTTGTGGGCCCGAGGGCAAGACGGCCGATTATAGACGTGTAGCTGCAGATATAGCTGAAGCCAAAGTTGTATCTGAAGCCACAAGAGCGCGGCCGTTATGCCGCACAATTTATCACGGGCTTTCCAATTAGTAAGCGTAAAGCCGAACGCGCGAATCGGCAGGACAATAAAGCTGTTGAGTGCAAGTAAGAAGTGAGATGCTGACATGGCCTCTGGGAAGGCAATATGTGCGTCTTCCCCTTGGTCTGGCTAGGGCTGGCTGTCTGCAATGAGTGAAGCATGACGGTCGAGAGCTGTGAGGGAGCAGCGAAACATAAATTACTGTAGTACTGCAAATAAAAAGAAGACAAGGGGTTTGTAGGAAACTCCTTATTCCGCATCCTGACTACCTTTTCTGGCATCACACACCCGTAATGTTAATTAACTGAGGGTGCACAGGAAATATGAGTGGCCAAGTCATAAAGCTGCTAATTAGCTTGATTCTCACCATGCCACATACTTGAGTAAAACATTCGTATCTACAAACATATGCTCGTATATTACGAATCCTTTTTGAGCAATTCAAAGCGTGTCAATGGCTACTTTTATAAGCAGGTGCATCAGAGCTTTTTTCTGAATTTTCCTTTTAAATATTTAAAATAGCATTAATAATTACAAATTCAAAAATGCAATTAATTACAGCTTTAATAATTAATAAAATCTCCCGTCCTACGTTTAAGCTGATTATATTATAATTTGGTTAGGAGTGGCTGTCATAGAATTAGATCATACAGATTCTGTAGGTCTTTTGAATATGCTTAACTGTGCGCCTAAATCCTCCTTAGTATACAAATAATTACAGCAATTTTCTTTAAATTTGTTCATATCTAATTAATGTCTTCGTGCCAGTTCCCGTTCTAAATACCTATGTGAAGCATTTATGGTAGTCCTATAACTTTTTTTAAATACATCCACGCTGTAGAACTCTTTCTTTATGAGAGATTAAAGATAAAGTTAAATCTTGAAGGTAGTTCCCATAGCTTTTAGAGTTTTGTTTTGGTTTTTATTATTTATATCATTATTATACAGAGTGAAAGTTTTTCGTGGAGAGTTTCTTTTATTGAGTTCGTAGCTATACCACAAAATAGATTTAATTAAAATTAAAGAATTCAAAGAAAAATATAATATGCTTAAAACAGATTATCACAAATGATTAAACACAATTCCGAAAGTGGTAACAAAATAAAAGCATTTAGCTGGCGTCATGAATTGTCTTTGAGCCGAAAAAACAGCTAGAGAGTGGACAGATAGAGTGCATTTAGTTCCTTCATCTTGTCTGTGTGCCCTAGTTCGGCTGCCTGCAAGTAGTGTTTCTTTATGAATTCACTGTACTTATTGGCTCTCGGAATCTCCTCTGTTAGTGTATGGCAGAAAGCATCGTCTGTGGACACCACAATTAACTCGAACTGACAAAAATGGCATCGCAACTCCTTCAACTGATGCTTGAAATTCATGTTGCCATAGGAGTGGCGTCGACAAAAAGTGCAGCAGTACTTATAGCTGGAGGCGCATTCCCCAATCTCTGGCAGCCTTGGCATTTTAGATTTGGCTTTTGAGGCCCACTTGCGAGTATATTCTCCATGGCCCGTCTCTCCATCAAAGACGAAAGCGGCTGAGTGGCACATCTCGTGAAACATCGCTTTGATGAGCACACCCACGTGAGTAATTTTTGTGGATAGCAGAATCTTGGACTCCCGTTGACCACCACTGCCTACCCCAATAGTGTGGACGCACGTGCTTCGATTACTCATCTTGCTCATCCACTTGATCTCTGGCTTGAGAGCATCGTTGAAAATCTTATGGTTCAGCACATGAAAAATGATCTGAGCCAACACCTCTTTGTGTTGGCCAAAATCGCTTCGCCCCTGATAAAGGGAGTCCACCTGGCACATGGCTAAATAGCTCTTGTAATCCATCGATACAATGAATTTGCATAAGTGGGGATGTTGCTCAACGAACACTCGAAATTTCCCATCTTGTTTGATATTAGAAAGTAGCTGACTATCATGAATGGGATCCGATGCGTTTTTGCAAAAATATTTCAAATTTTCAATCATTAAGGTGTCTGGGTCTTCAGAATTAGCTTTTGGTTCCATGTGGCTATTATTGTGCGACCTCTTTGTCTTATCCATTCCCACAGCTTCAGGAATGTAGAGATACCGCTTGGATGGTAAAATTCCTAAAAAGTTGTTCAGCATTATTTTAAGATCATCATCATGATCCGATACTATGGGCTCCAACTTTATAATGGCTATTGGATTGTGCAGATCGAGAAATATAAGGACTTCGCTTTTCTTTTCTTTTCTACTGAAGCGTCCCCGCTTGGGACTGCAATTTGTATCACTCCGCTCCAAAGATGAATCAGATTGCAACCTAGTATGCGTTATATTCATATTGCTGGAGCATGACAAAATGCGAGGTTTCTTCTGCTTGGGTGCATTTTCGTAAGGGTCCTCATTACAACCATCTGAATTGCTCTGTTCCATAGAGGAATCTAATGTCAATTCTACTCGCGCACGAACACGCCGTCCATATCTTGTGATCATCTTTCTTTTGGTTTCCATGCTTTGATGTTGTATGTTGTATATGTTCAGTATCTGCGATCTTTGTGTGTTATGTATAAGTTTTATCGTATTTATTATATAAATACTATACTTTGACAATATTAGCAAAATATAAGATTTGTAGATTTGATGTAGAATTTAGAGTTTAAGTTGCTGCTCTGTTAATCAGCAGAAAAGATCGACTAAATTCTAACATTAATAATGTTGTCAGTGCGCTGGAAAATTGTAACATTTTGTAATGGTCACCTGCATTAAAATTGAATTGGTCTTACTGTTATCGCAGCTCGGTGCTTGAGGCCCCTATCAGCTGTATTACTCTGAAAGCTTAAGTTAGTACAACTCTGGGTTTTGGTTGGAATGTAAAGCGCATCTAACTTTACGCACTTCAGTAGTTCCCTGGAATTAGGTGTTATAAAAGGCCTAAAACCGACCTCTTTTGTTCTTTAACTTTTGGATGGCCAAGTTCTACAAAGTAGCCACGTCCGTCAGCTACGCCTAGCACGTGTTTTGGGTGTTATTCACTGGCCCAAAAGGAAAACGGCGTGACACTCTCGACCCCAAAGATTTTGTCCACGTTAACCTGGACCTTCATCGAGTGTAAATCCGTGCGGCTGGAGACGATTTGAAGACCCCCCAATCTTTATGGCATTTTTCGCCTGTGGGCAACTGCCTATTAAGGGTGCTACTAAGTAATCGGTGCGCATCCGTCACTAGATTTGCGACTAATACTTTGTCGCTGCTGTATTGGGTGCAGCCGAATCAAATAACTTCGACATAAGGGTTATTTCCCGGCGGAATTCAAACCGCAGTCGTTGTCTACACTTGGACGAAACATTTGGTTCCAATCGGCAAAGTGAATTGCCGTACGCTACAAGTCCGTCTTCCAAAAAGGAGCTTGCGAACATGTGGGATATATCTTTTTGCTCTGGATGTCGAAACGTCATTAGCCACCAACACCTCAGCGTTAACTACATAAAATGTGCTACTGCTCACAAAAAGAGCCTATATAGTGTCTAAGTTTGAAAATCACAGTTTCAAAATTGAAGAGAGTGTGTGTACAGTGCATAGAAAGGGAAATGCCTTGAAACCCAATATAGTGCATATACTTATACAAGTAAGTATGTACCAATAGGTACAGTTTTTTTTAGCAGACATGTGCATTTAAGTCTGTATAATTTTTTTTCCTATTGTTTTTTTTTTCGTGCCCAAGATCAGTGCATAAAAGCTTAAACCGAAATAAACTCTCAAAAAGGCATGTGTACAAATATATATAATAATAGCAAAAGAAAATGAACCCGAAAAAATATGCCTCGAGATAAATAAGACAAATTTAAACAAACCCAAAATTAACCCATCCATATAATAATACACCAAATAAATATGCATTTGCATATAAATGTATGTGCATTGAATTAATCTGTACATAAAACAAGGACAACACCTCGCTGGAGGGCCCTTCATCGCTGGAGTCTGTACGTAAGTCTGTATTTATCATTGCTATCGCTTTTGTTTCTTATCTCGTTTGTAAGCCGATACATACATACATATCAATTTTAGTACAGAGCTTTTGCTCGACAGTTATCGCATGTCAATTTACTTTCGTCTGATACTAACTTTTTCTCTTATACTAATATGCCTTTGAGAGAACATATGACAATAACTTAAAATGCGCAGGTCAATGAACCCGCAAAGAATGCGCTGATCTGCAGCACTGACTTGCCTCACTATCACTCATGTGAGCTTTTAGTTTAGTTTTGTTTTTTTTTTTTTTTCATTTAAGTGCAATTAAATAAACTGCTGCTGATTCGGGTAGCTAAATTTTGAATCGACGTTACTTTAATGCATAAAGAATAACATGAAAATAAATAACATTAAGCGTATATGCACACACACTTTCTGATTTCACCATTAAAATATTAAACTTATTTACTTTTAATTATATGCTAGTGAATACTATAAATAACTACTTGTTTTTAATTTTGTATACTTACAAGTATACTGAACATGTTTTCTTCCATGAATTTATAAACGACTATTATGCTTGCACTTTCATTGGAATTATCATGCTACTAGAAATATAATTTCTCGCAAATGTTTATCTGTATAATAACTCATGCCTATTATTAAATTCTGTTTAAAATGAATTGATAAAGTTTTATCTTTTCTGGTGACATGAGGGCATACAAGTAGCTAGAACATTTACTATAGGGGAACTCCATAAACAATACTCGCATTGAGCTCCATGGTTGGGTGGGTATAGAACGCGAGCATCGACTTCCATCTCAAGATCTCGCAAACTAGCTAGACATATATTCTGATGCAAGAAGCCATCACCTGTACCGTCAGTTTTCCTCTCTCGTTTAATTGGCCTTTGATTTGTTTTAGTTGCTTTGTTGAAAGTAGGCCTTCCAAAATTTAGTTTCAGCAGGGACTCTATAATCATTTAATTTATGTACTTAGAGTCTTCAGGACACAGCAAACCCATCCCACCCCGAAAGAGCTAGGGTATCAAAGGGTCCGGACCTTCGCTGTGACACCGTCGGCTCACGCTATCTGTTTTTTTTTTTTTCATCTAGCCAGGATACCGCAATGTAGATTCGATTTACATAAAAGGTTGGCGCTCTATGTGGAGCTAAGATAACCAGATAGCCCTCTACATCTTGCATGTATAGAGTATAGTGGTTACAAGTATTACAATTTAAATACATTACCTTATTTATTTATTTATTTATAAAAATCAACAAATTTACTGTCAATAAATAATTGGTAATATTAGAAAGTAAAATAAAAATATTTATAGTATTACATTATAAGTTAAACTTAAAAGATAAGAAAGCCTAAGGGAGAGCTATACAATGACGTCTATTAATGCCTCCGACACGTTGGGGGAATTTTATTTGCCAGTTGGCCAGCTATGCCCCGATTCACAGCCAAATGTGGTCAGAGACATTATAGACCTAACAAACTAAACAAATAGCAAGTAGAAGAGAAGAATTAATTCTACTTAAGAACTAATTAGAAAAAGTAAGGTGTAGAAAGAGGAAGAGGAAAAAGAAAAAATAAGAGGGAAAGAGAGATACAAAGACAGAGAAAGAGAAAGAGGTAAAGAGGTAAATCTCCAACCCGGTGGGGGAAAATTTAAATGCCAGGCCGGCTAGCTATGCCCCGACTCACAGCAGAAGTGGTCAGAGATTTTCCCGAAGATAATTATAAAGAATAATCTTTACCGAACAGAGAGAGAGTTCTGTCGAAAGTAAGTGTGAAAGATCATTATAATTACTGCAAATGACCCGAAAACGATTGTGCAAAGCGTAATCGGTTGTGCATCTAGCCAATATTATTTAGTTTATTTAATTTTGTAATCCATATCTTCTTAATTACACTTGTATGTAACTGTCACCTCTCTCTGTCAATAGGAAACATAATCAAATTTCAATTCACAGGGTGGGATACCTACTTAGATGAAGTGCGTTAGCGTTACAAAAGCTCACCAGTACGAAACGATGAAAAAATACTAGTAATATACATACATGCATGGTGACGATTCGAATCAGCTTGATTTTTGGTAACACTAACGCTGTTGGAGCGCAACATAAATGTTGCAGCTGCTAACACACCTCAGGCAGCCAATGTTGTTTCTTTGGAGAAATAACATATCGCTCGGTCTTTTTACGTTGTTGTCGGCTATAAGTTATAAGTTAGTAAAACCCAGAAAGAATAATGGAAGACCACACATCAAAGATGCCTATAAGATCATGATGATCTAAATCGCTTAGTATCTCCCATAGTTCTTTTTTTCTTTTGACGAACACAGATTGTAAGTTGAAACCGACAATTTCACGAAGTTGCATTTTGTCAATATCTGATAGTTTTGCATTCCTCATGGGTCGCCCTAAGCGCCATTGATGATCAATTGCAAAATAACAACAACAAAACATTTCTCCAATGAAAGAGAATTTTCTTTACGAAAACAGTAATATGGAATATGGAAAATAAAAGTTTTGTTACAAGGCCCAATAAAGGCTGTAAGCTGCGATCGTTTCCATTGTTTATTTATTTATTTTTATTTGAGAATTATAAAATGTAAGCCAAAACAGATATTAAAATTGATATTCATTTTCCTTACTTAATCTCCATTATCTTGATTAACACAAATTCTAAGATACGATTTGATGTTAATACTTAAATGTGCCATTTATGTGAAGTATTAAAATCATTTAAACTTTGTGCGCAAATCCCAATTAGTTGTCTTAGTTTTTTAAAGTAAACAAGACGCGAAATACGCGAATGAAATATGGAAGAGTTTGAGAGTCTTCTCTCTTACCGAATAATAAGAACATCAATTACGATGAGGAATATTGCCGAAGTTGCATAGAAAATCCCAAATAAGATTTTGGGAAGATCAAATTTGTTGCAAGGCACTTCATGAGCACAGCACGGAATAATTTAACAGTTATTTGTAGTTAAATAGAATGTTCCAACTTGTAAATAACATATTCGAATTGATAAACGAGACTAAACATACCGCATAGGAGAATCGCTTCTAAGGTAAAGATTATTCCGGACCCAAGAGCAACAACATCAGCAAGTATGAACAAAAATCGTTTAAAATAAAACTCAATACTGTCTTCTATTTACATTAAAAAACACTTATTGCCTTAACTTAGATAACGAAACTAAAGTCGTTGGCTTATGTACATTAAAGGGGCCATCGACTGTTAGCAATTTTCAAAAACAGCTTCGAGTGCAATTTGAAAACTTCATGCAGAGTCTGCAAAGCAGCTGCCGCAACTACATTCCAACGAGTTGCCGTTGCATTAAAATTACGCTTGTGTACGTGAGTGTGAGTGTGTGTGTGTGTGTGTGTGTGTGTGTGTACATATATGTGTGTGCGTGTGTGTAGGTGTTTGTGTTTGTGTGCCTGCATCCGTATGTGGTCTAATCGCCGTTGGCTGTGGCTAAGGACGTTGTTTCTGATTCCCGCTACCAACATCCCTGCATCTGACTAAGCTGCTGAATGGCACCGCAGCCGATGCGATTCTGCATATAATCCGGAAAATTACTCTGCAGCACACGCATCGTATTGCGCTTGTAGTCGGGTATGGCATGCGTCACCAGTTGACAGGTCTGGCTGCGGTAAACGGGCTTAAAGTTGTTCTCGCTGAACGTAGAATTTGTGTCCCAACGATAGACCTCGGCATCGCCCTCATTGCGGAAGAAAATGGCCGAACCGTTGTCTGTGCCAATGATGACCATGCGTGTGGGTTTCTTGCCCAGATCTGCAATGTTTAGAGAATGTTAAAAAAACATAATGGTTGGAATTAAATACGACAAATGAGATCAAAGATCAAAACGGAAAAAGAAACATAAATACTTTAATGCTTCTGCTTCTATATACAAAAGCGATACAGATTCAGAGCTACTTCTTTCAAGTACTCGAGTGTTACAGACAAAAATATCTATAAATACTTTGCCACTCACCCAATATGCGTCCATCGGCCACACCGCTACGCAAATATTCGGATTTCAGGGAGAATAGCTTGCTGGTGCTGAGATATGTGAAGTAGAGCTCTGTGGAACCACAGTCGCGACGTATCAGGGCTATATAGAGCACATCCCGGGAGCGGCAGCCCGCCGACACGGCCTTGGGCAGCACAACTCTGAAGCCGCGATCCGCTTGCAGGTTATAGACAATGATCGCACGATTGGCCGCATCGCTGACATAGATGAAGCAACCACCATCCGGGGCATAGTCGACCACTAGATACTGCAAGCGTGAACTGCTGGAGGTGAGGCCCTCCAGGGACACAGTCTTTAGCACCTTGCCCGTCTTCACAGACATGGCCACCACTTTGGGCGGACACTTGCGTATTGGTTTCTCCAGCGTATTCACAATACCGGTATCGAGCACCCAGAGCACTTCGTTCTGATCCACTACCAGATCGACGACCGATTGCAGAGCCTTGCAGTTGCCCTCCTCCTGCAGATCCCAGCAGGGATAGGGCTTAAAGGTGGTGGAACAGGTGCCCGGCTGAACGCTGGTCTTCACCAGAGTGGCTGGCACACCTTTCCGGTAGCGTGGCAGTGCCAAGAAGATGTTATCACCAATGAGCTGGGCACGCGTCGCTATCACATTCTTCGCAATGTACTTGCCCGAGCTCTTAAACAATGATTTGGTGCTGGCGCAGGGAAATTCAAACTGTCCGCCCGTCCACTGTATGGGCTGTGCGTCGGCGTGGGCGCGATCCGGCGTCCAGAGACCATATTTGGTGCCTTGTGCTGCAACACCAGCCACCAGCAGCAGCAATCCAACAGCGCCTAGTTCTAAGCTGCGCATCTTCTAGCTAACTAACTAGCTATTGGACTTAATAGGTGGTCTTTCTGAACAGTTCCGGTCTCTCTGAATGGGGCCGCCTAAGCTCGACTTGTCGTGCGCACGTTATTCTGTTCTTTGCCTCTACTTGGCAGCGTGCTTATATAAGCAAATCGAACCCATCTCAAAGACGTGCTCCAGCCCAATTTTTGGCAAACGTTTCGAGTGTTGTCGAAAAACCTTGACAAATTGCAGAAAAGTTTTATTAAAAAATTGCAATTTATGGCGAACTCTTTGTCTTCGCCCAGCAGGCGAACAGCATCAGTTCTTGGTTGGCATTAGCATTAAAAAACAAAAAACATAATTAAAATGTTTTACGCATGGAAGCCACAAAAGGGGCAGTACGAGTAAAACAGCCTGCAATGCCAAAGGAATAAAAGCAGGAAAAATAACACTGCTAAGCAACCATTTCAGTTCTATAATTTATACTTTCGAAACATTTTCGTTGAACTTCTCTGTAAACGCAACTCAAATAATAATTCAATTAACTCTTTTAGTTGTTCTTTGCTAAATTGAAATTGTATTGGGCGATAGTTTGGTTTGAAATTTTTAAAATAAGACTACTCTACTCTACCAAGGCAACAATAAGTTTAAATTTATGCGTGATTTAATTTATTCTTAAAAACAATGCTTTTTTTAGGTGTTCTTGGTATTTTATAGCACGCCAGAAATAGTATGCAAGATTCTGATACGCGATGCGGAATGATCTGAAGTGCTCCTAATTTTTAACAATAGAGTTCAAATTTTGACTTAATGGTCAAAGGAATTTGAGAAAATTAGCTGACAAACTTAGCTTATCTGCGCATTAGTCCAATAAAGGTTTAGAATTGAATAGCTTGCACTTATTTGATGTTAGTCTAACTAAAATAATAAAAGATTTAGTATGAGCAATATTGATGAGCAATAAACGAAACAATTTGTGAGAAAGATTTGCCCTTAAAAGAAAATAGTTGAATTAAATGTTTTTTGCTTTATACAGTTTTTCAATAATTTTCATCTCATTGTGATACATTTTTGTATTAAATACAAAAAACTTAATCTAAAATGAAATATGTCTTCTGCATAAAGTAAAATCGAATGTTTGTCTAAAATGGAAATGAATTTTTGTGCAGCAGAGTGTAACGGACCCACGCAATCTTTCTAGCCAGCAAAAGTCATTACAATGCGCGACTCTTTGGCTCGCACAGGCTCATGTGTGCTTGTGTGTGTGTGTGTGTGTGTGTGTGTGGCAATTTGTGCTGCCTCAGTTCCGTCATGGACAAATACACACACACACACGCACTGAGATATGTGGGGCCATCGTTATGACCGGTGGTGCCCTACAAGTGCACGCCTTGTACTATTTTAAGGAGGCAATTGATTATGTCCAGTTTAGTATTGCTCGCCAGCACGAGTATGGCCCACGCATTTTCCCTTTTGATTGCCTGTAAATTTCCATTGGCCTTTGACGTTGGCCATCATTGCAAAACACTCGAGTGCGCACTAATGAAATGCAAGCTCATGGCCAAGTGGCTTAGTTTAACTGCCGCAATGGCTTAATTATATGGCAGCTTTAAGGACCTCCTCCACGGCTTGATAAAGGAAAGCCGAGGCGGCATTTTGACGGCGACTGCTGCTTTCGTTTCCCAAAGTGAAAAAGAAGCGACGTGTTTGGCATGCCAAAATGTCAAAATAATAAAAAGTACGGCTAAATGCCAGAAGAGACCACAAGGCTTTGCTCGACTGTGATTTATTTGCCAATGCTGCCGCAACCACTTCGGACCACCTCCTTCCCTGGCCGCGCCAGTGCTTTAACTTTCGCATAGACAATTGACATGAACTTCCGTTCAGCTGCCATAATTTATGCAAACATTAAGTCGATGTCAGGATAAGCACATCGACCCCCATTAGGCATGCCACACAAAGATCTCCCCACTCTAACATTTTCCACACATTAGACGCAGGGAATGTTTTTATGGCCGGTTTAACGTTGCGTATGCGTCATGTGGCGCAAAAGTCAGAATAGGTCGATCGTCTTCTGTTCGAAGCTTAAAACGCTAACGCAAACAAAATGCTTATTTTAAATTTTTTTTTTTTTATAAATATGCCAATAAAAGTCCAATTGAAAGCCCAAATAAACCAATAATTTGACTAGAAACACACTAAGGGTATTCAGAAGAAAAATATTTAGATTTCTTGACTCTTTGAAAAACACACTTTAACTATAAATCGAAGGGTATTTTAGTAAAATTAATATATGTGGAGTTATTCATTTATTATAAATATACAATGGAAATTGACACATAACGCGAACTATATTTGGTTTACATAAGGCTTTAATTTCATCAAATGAACGTATTTGTTTATAAAATTTTTTTATTAGTAAGAAAAGTAGAAAAATAACATTTTAAATAAACGCAAATGTAAAACTATGTTTAATGTAACTAGAAAAAAAGTGTTCTAAAATTGTTCCTTAAACAAAAGTCTTTTAAAGCATTTATTAAACAAGATATTGTAGAGTCGCAATTAAAAAACATGTTTAAATATGTCATAGCTGGTGTGTTTTGTCCCTAAGCTTTAGAAAATTATTTTTTCAATATATACGTACATTTAAATACTAATGTCAACATTAAATAATAAACGTAGCATTTAGTAAAATAAGAAACACGCACACATACAGTATATATTATTAAAAACTATATAAGCAAATAAGAAGGCCGTTCTTCTATCTCCCTCTTTCCCTTTCTCTCTCTCTCTCTCTCTCTCACGCCAAAATCCATTTTATATTACTTATAGTATACATCTACACGAATATGTTGTCTCTAAATTTTGTCGACTAATGGTTATATTAGTTAGGTAGATATAACTGGGGCTTTATTCCTGCCCCTACACTTTGATCATGAAAATCCATTTTTAAATCAGAGAAAAAAAACGGGCGTTTTCAAAACAATACATTTATATGTGTTTAATAATTTTAGTTTTTAGGTGAACAACCCTACTATATTTAATCTGCTTTTACTCTACGCGAGGCATGTTTTTATTTTGTTTTTTAAATTGTCTGTGGTCACGTTCGACAGAGTCCAAGTGTATATGGGTCAATTTTTTTTCTTTTGCTAGACGCAGCGATTTTCGCCCCCCCTTAGCAGTGGCAAAAATCTCATAAGTAATGTGTGTAAACAATTTCACAAATTTCTACAGCTTGACTTCTTTTTATTATTTGCGATGGCGTTTTTGGTTTTAGTTGTGTGCTGATTTGTTGTTATTGCCGCAGCTATTATTGCTACTTTTGTTGCTATTGTTGCTATTGTTGTTGCTGCTACTTTTGTTTATGACTTGCCTGTTTGTGAAATGGTGCGCATAATTTATGTGCCATGCTCCGCTTTCTTTTTAGATTTCCCTATGCTTATGTGCTTCTATATACTCGTAGTATGTTGACATCGCATTCTGTTGACGTTTGCTTAAAATTGTGTTGGCCATTCAAATTGGTCGTTGGTCGTAAAGTTAATTGCTTAGCAATCTTTACGGCAACAACAGCCGAGGCACAACGCATAAAACTGCATTTTGCCATAAATTGAATTCAGAGTTCCGAACTGTGATATATGAGTGCGTTAAACAATAGCCTGAACTAAACGACTGCATATTACTCTTAATTGCTTTCCCAAATTAATGCCCTTTAAAATGCCACAGAATTGCAAATCTGTAAAATTTACAATCAAGTGGATATTAAAGTAAAATGTTCATTAAAGCAATCAACTTAATTTTTAATGCGTTTCATTTATACAATTCGGACAAGAATACATACATTATGTATTACTCCATAAACAATACTAAATGAAATATACTTAGGTACATACATTCTTTTCAAAATCTAGAAAATGATTTACTAATTAAAGAATAAAAAATTAACATGATATAAAATTTTCAATTAAACATCTAAGCTTCTTTGTTGTTAGTGCGTGCTATTAGCTATTGTCTATCGGTTGGGGAAAAACAAACCAATTTTTACGACCTGTTTTCAAACTCTATTTAATTAGTATCCGATATGCCGTTTCGCTTAAAGACTTGTCATAAATAGCTTCATAATTGCGCTCTCATAAAGCTCTGTTCCTTGCAAAATCTAAGCAAATTTTTCTTCCACTAATCACCAAGAAAATATTGAGTCTATAATAAATATGATTTGCACTTGACGCCAAAATCGGACACCCTGAGTTTAATTATAGATAGGTAGTCTGGCGTTGTCCAACATATTTTTTATTCAAATGGTCTTATGTTAAGAGAGGAGGTCCGAATTCAAGAATCATCTCCTTTTCAAATACCGATTTTCTTGCAAGTTGTTCGAAACTGTTTTGACAGCTGACATGCCGATCTGCGTCCATAATTTCCACAATTTTATCACAATATGCGACAAGGGGGCGAATATTAATAATGTCTTCGCAAATTATCGGCGTCATATAAATTATTTAGTGGTATCAGAAAGAATACATAGCTAATAACAATTATGAATAATGTATGCTTACTTATAATTACAATTGATAATTTATATACCTTTTTATGAGCATTGCCTAAAAATGATGTTTCAAAACTAGCTAAGCAAACCAAAAACAGACGCTACTATACTTTATTATTAAAACTTTTTGGTCGTCATCAGTTATTTATAAATGTTTGTTTTAAATTGAATATTTTTTGGCCATTCAGCGAATCGTCAGTGTTTCTCTTTTATATTGAATTTGTTGAAATCAGTTTTGACTTATGCCAAAAAAAAAAAAAAACATTTTGTTATTATTTAATACATATCGGCATAAATGTATTCTAGTTTTTTTTTGCATTTTACTTGATGGTCTTTCTTATTTATGAGCAACCCAAATGCTGTCAATGAATGGTCTGGGCGCTCGAGCGTTTTCGCCCACTTCACAGATGTCTGTGTATTTTGGCTTTATTTATTTTGAAGCGCATAAATATTTATCTGCAACTCGTGAGGCCTGAACCATAAAAATGGTGCACACACACACACACACAAACACCAAAAAGTCATGCGCTATTGTCATGCCCATATATAAATGTGTGCGCGTGTGGTTGTGTGCTATAAATTTTACAGATAACCATCGAATACAACTTATGTCAGTTTATTAAAATGGTTTCACACACAAATCCAATCGATGATTGTGTGTGTGTGTGTGTGTGTTCATTGCGATTTTGGACACTGTCGAAAATAATTCAGCAACCAATGTTCAGTACCCTGCACCCGAAAAGTAAAAAGGTACACTCAATTATTATGAATGTATGTAACATACACAAGGTTGTCCAGAAGGGTCGATTCTATATCCATGTAGATATGTATTTGTCTGCGGATATCTTGTTAAAGTGTAGACCCACAGTTACCGATTTTTTTGTGCACGGCCATCTATTTCAAACTTAAAATTATTTTCCGTAAGCCCCCAAACTAAAGTTCTCTCAAAAGTAATATCCAAAAAGCACCCACAGATATCCTTATTTTGTAGACCAAGAGTTATGCACGGTTTAAATTTCTGTTCTATGTAAAATAATCTCTAATAATCTAATAATAAATCTTTGCTTCATTTGCTATCTATACGTACTTATTATCAACAATTCCTACTCAGACATATACTGTCTTCCTTTTCAAAGAGAAGGAAACGGATTTAACGTTTTAAATGCTTGCTATTGTCAATCAAATGTAATCTCCGATTCCGATTCTCTGGATTCCAATTTCGATAGCAATTATATATAGTTTTGAAACCGACGAATTAAAATAGCAAAGGTAGCACTGAATAGAGAACCTTCTAATTCGTACCTATACTATTTAAAAAGCCTAATCAACTATAGAGTATTTAAAATGCTGAATGGCACTACCATAACTAAAGGCGAGAAAAGCATTTTTTTTGTTTTTTTTTTTGGATTTACCCATGAAGCGGAAGACATTTTGGGCAACAAAAGGGTCAATGGCATTTTCAATTCGTTCACTTATTAAATGTGCAAAAAATTGGGGGCCAGCCGTTGGATATTTGGAGCAACAACATTGAAAAGGAGAGTAAACAGTTTTTCATAAATTTAAGCAGATTAAATTTGTTTGTTGCATTTCAGAGTGGAAGTGGATGAAAAATTCGGACAATTGGCTCGAGGTCCATAGACGGTAGTAATCATGTGGCATACGCACGAGCTCGAGCGCAACTAAGAGTGACAGCTTGGGGCATTATCCTTGTGTTCAAGTTATTTGTTATTATATTTCACATATACTCTTACACTTATATTATTTTCTGCGGGTCATTGCCATTAGTCATTTAATATTTGAGGAACGCCCACACTCCCATGGAGCAGGAGTAGCAAACGTCTGGCTGCTGGCATACCTGGGTGTGCTTTTCTAAAAGTTTCATTTTCTCAAATTGCTTTTACAGATTGCCAATGCATTTAAATTGGTTTAGGTAGCGCGGCTTATGCGCTTTGCAAGCCAAATCAGCTCGTTTAGATTGGAAAAAGTGTTTGGAAAAAAAGTTGGTATTAGGGGGCACCCGGATTTGAACCGGGGACCTCTCGATCTGCAGTCGAATGCTCTACCCCTGAGCTATACCCCCACATGTTTTAGGCCAAAAAAAAATCCTATTTGTGTTTTTAAACACAAAAAAATATCAAACTGGGCTTACACACTTACATATACATACATACAAGTACATATGTACGATTAGAACAAACATGGAGAGCAATGTCCACATTTTTCAAAGGCATACAAAGGCTTTTCAAAACATAGCACCATAAATAGGTAAACAGTCAACTCTTTTACTTTTGCTCTTTCATTTCCCTCCAGGCGCTTCGACGTCTTCATATCTCTTTAGAACCACTTAATGGGCAATCTTATCAGAAGCAAGTACTTACATACAACTATACAAGTACATAGGAATTGTCGAGCAAGCGCTCTTTTGGCAATGCAACGTACTTCGGAACACATGTTCTATCATCTGCGATACGCTCGATTGAAAACTAAAACTGAAACTGAAACTTATGCTGGGTCAATGATACAAGCAACAACAACAACATCAGATATACTGATATCGAACTTTGAACATAAATTCAAGAAACTTTCTGCACTGCACTGACTGCTCTGCAACGTGCACATGAAAATGAACTCTGAACTTTATTCAGTTAACTGCCGAGACACAAAGTCAAGCTGGAACATCCTATATACTATAGGAAGGCAACCAACGAACTTTCGACATGCAGTCCATTTTCATTAAAAATTCAACACCTGCTGCTGCTGCTGCTGCTGTTGCTGCTCTGCCGTTGCACTCAAATGTGAAAAGTTCAGCAGCAACAAAGGCAGTCCGAGAAATGCATGAATGATCGATGGACAGGCTCAGCAACAGATAATGGAATGGGCAATGGGCTGCAACGCAATTTTGAAGTGAAAGTGAAATTGGGAATGAATACGAAATTCGCTTATGGAAATCCATTCTACATAAGTCAACAACAGCAATTATTGGAATTGAATTTTTAGTACGCTTTCAATACAATATTTAAAGTGTATAAAAAAACCCCCAAAACAAACTGAACTTTAAAGCTAATGGGAATTGTATAGTTGGTGTTTTGACAGTCAGACATACATATATCTTATTCCATAAGTATATGCTTCAAAATATAGCTTATTTTTTCCCCCAAAAGTGTCTGCAAAAATAGCCATATATAAAGATTCGCAAAAGGCTTGTCTTCATTGTATCAAGAAATATAACTAGAATAACTTCTCAAACAAAACATTTATTGAGTGTTTTTGTAGCAAAGGCCATATAAAATATTTATAAACATTTTCGTTTTGAAAATTTCAATTCCTAATTAGGTATTTCTGCACTCTTTGTGGCGAGGTAAAATTAATTTTAATTCACTGGATATACAATTTTTATTTATTTTTTGTCTCCATCCTAGCGTTACAAGTATTAATTAGTATTTAATTAGTACGCTAGTTATTAAATATTTAAATCGATATCAATATACCTTAACAATACATATTATATAATGTTATCTAAATACATTTATAATTTAAAGTTATACTTGTACTTATATGTTCTATTTTAATTTTAACAACATTTTATAAGTTAAATTTTCATTTATATATAAATTTAAAGTTTGGCTCTTTTTTATTATTGTTAGTACTCGTGCATATGCTGTTTTAATATTGATTTAATGTTTTTTTCACATAAATTAATATCTATATCTGAGTAAACAGATAATAACTATCAATATGATGCTTAGATATTTATTGTTGGTCTATCCTAAGTGAAAAACATTTATGAAGACAATTTGTAAAGCTGAGCGCTGCTGGGAAGCTGCCGGTAGGAAATGTTAGCCAAATAGTTTGCCAACCATTTGGGCAATTCGAAATTCGCACGCGCCGATGGCGACGAGTGGCAAACATTTTTCTGTCCACTTCCGCATTGGACAACGCGCGGGCGCTTCCGCCGGCAGAGCAATTGGCGTACGGCAGACGTGCTGACTTGAAATGCTGTCTACCAACGAGTGAGTGTGTGTGTGAGTGTGTGTGTGCAGACATATGTTTTCATATGTTTACCAGATGACCTTGCCGGCTGAACTGCAAAGACAAAACAACACGACGCGACACTCGACTCGAGCTACAAAATAAAGATTTGGCGTATGTGCCCAAGCAGAGTAAACAAATAAAGCGGAGAGGCAGAGGCAGAGGCGGAGGCAGAGCCAGAGCCAAGTTAAATGCAGCAAGACAGCACTGCAGCTATAAATATAAACGCAAAAAGCGTTGCGACACTTTTACATAATCAAACGGCTCAGGTGTCAGTGGCAGTGTCAGTGTCGCCTCGTCTCGTCTCGAATCGATTCGAATCGCGTGTGTGTTCTCAAGTTAAAGACAAAGGCCAGAAGCAGAAGCAGCAGCAGAATCAGAAGAAATCGGAGCAGCATGAATGCCCATCACATAATTGTGTTTATGTTCGCCGCGAGTTTGGCACTCGCCCACGCCAGCTATAGTTCCGGCAGTGATTCTTCCAGCTCCGGAAATGCCATTAGCACCAGTAAATGTGATAAGAATCCGTTGGCTGAGCTCACCTTTCAGTTGAGTGGCAGTAATTTGCTCTGGCCCTGTGATTCGACCAAGAACATTTATGTCCAGTCCGGTCGTTATGTGCCACGCAATGTGATCGTGACACGAGCGCAGCTGCAGCGTGACTCGGCTTATGTAGCCCTGCCACGTTACAAGCAGGGTGTACCCTTCACACTCGGCAAGGTGAATCTGAAGAAGGGCGAGTGCTTGGCCAAAATCGCTCCATACCCATGCTGGGCCATACAAGAGGAGGGCAATTGTCAGGCCCTTCAATCAGTGGTGGATGTGGCCGTCGATCAGAACGTGAGTTTGAATCAAAATCTATAAACTATAAGTATTATGTTTGAATATTAAAATGCAGATAATGCGAATGAGTGGACTTAAAATAGATTTAAAGTGTTAGAGACTATGGTTCTTGTGAACTACAAACAATTAGAATTAATGTCTGCTTATCACAAACAAGGTATAAAGAATATCTCTTTACTTTTGCACCTTTTTCTTTCAAAAGCTTTTCAACAATCTTCCTAATGTTTTTCCAACATTTCCCTTTTTTTGCCTTTGTTCGTTTTACACAAATTTTCTCTTATGTTTCTCTGCAGTGAGTGCTAAATAAACTAAGGGAAAACGAGCAATCGCCATTAAACGACAGTTTTCGCATGATTAATCAGTGGAGTTTTTTTAATATTTAAAACATATTGTAGGGCACATGAGAAGTGTCTTAACAACTTATTTTACCTCAGAAATGATTATTCCCTATTTTAGTGTGCAATTTATATTGCTAATTAAAATATGTTGAATCCTTTTTTTCAAATTTGAATGACTACTTAAGGGCTTCTCTTGCAAATAGTGTCATTTTCATGACAGTCTATGAAATAGTTGTAAACTATAAGCCCATTAATTAGAACCTTGGTAATGTTTGATAATAAATTATTTAGTAATAAATGAAGACGAATAATTATTAATTCGAATTTGCGGGCAATCTTTAACACTTCAGAATTGAAGCGTAGTTTTTAAAGACAACAATATTTCTGACAATTAATATAAAGAAATAGCTAGTTTTCCGACAATGTCTGCTTAAGCCTGTCGCAGTCAAAAAGCAATTTGTAGTTTTTTAAACCACAGCCATGCCTCGTCTCTCCCACATTCATTCCACATTTGTTATATACGACGACACCTTTAAACATGTCATGCCACTCGGCAGTTTCAACACCTGTTAAAAAAATAAACATATATAGTATTTGTTTTTTGTACTGGCACACAAAATTGCTTTTATTTTAAATCAAATAAGCTCGCATGAATATTAAAAGCTGAAATAAAATCCATGACTCTAGCCATAAATATGAAAACCAATTCGCAAGTCAGAAAAATGAAATGAAATTCTGTAAAATATTTCGTTTATTGGCGAAGGCAGGCTGTAACTGTCTTAAATAACTGAATATCTTTGTTTTATGTTTCGTTTTTCAAATGTGACTAACAAAGAAAAGAATTGTTATTTCTTTCATTAAATTAAATTGTAATACATTTGAACTTAAATAATTGCTTACGCTCAGTGGCCTTAATATATTCTTTAGGCTAAAACGATGTTTAGATGTATTCAAAGACAATTCTTCTATTCCCCATTGATACTCAACTAGCTGCTATATTGGTAGCAGATTACTGCTTTAATTAATTGTACATTGTATGTATTGCTCACAGAAGGATGAGTAGCAGTCCCCACGAAGTGTATTTATGTACATTCTTCTAGGCGATAAAACTATGTATGTCTGTCTGTATGAACGCGAGTATCTGGAAAAGTACAAGAGCTAGCATAAGCACACTCGGCTCTCATATTTCCCTAAGCCCTAGACACGTCAAGTTTGTGCTTTATTCCCGATGCATAATTATTTACACATCTAGTTAGTGCTTATGTGTCTTCATGTCTCATCTTTCCACATGATGGGAATTTCTAGCCATAGATGTCATCTCTGCTCACGCTCTGCCAACAGCTGTTGTTGTTGTTACATTTTTACATTTTCACTTAAGAATGTTTTTGTTTCCAAACCAATTTCCCAATGATTCAAAATGGCACTGCGCAGTTTTGTTTTCCTATCCAGAAACTTCTGCACTATTTGAGGTTTTAATTTAAATGATTTCAATTACAGATTGCCATTAAATGTTAACAAATTCCTGGCACGCTGACGCCTCTTAATATGCATAAATACTTTGCAGTCAGTTAAAAGTCATTTAAAAGCCATAAACAAATTGCCATTTCGCTTAGTCACTGCACATTTGCATTTAAAAATACATTCGTAAATGTGTGTACTGTTTGTTTTTATTTTTCTGTACTGTTTACTTAAATTGCAACACGAATAACATGAAGAGCATTTTGCAGTTTAATGTTTTTTTTTATTTATTTATGGCTTTTTGCAATTGCATACAATTTGGTTGCATTGTTGATATTTTGGCTGATGCCTACAAAAACAAAATAAAATGCCAACTGCACACATTTCAATTAACCGAATCGAGCAATTCACTAATGCGATAATGATGCGGCAATAAATATTAAGCTGATTATTCCATTTTAATTGCAGGGTCTGCTCTGGGCCTTGGACGTCGGCATAGTTAACACTCTGGAGCAGCCGATCCGACGCTGCGGTCCCAAAGTGGTCGCCATCAACACCGCCAACGGCAAGGTGGTTAAGAGCATCGACCTGAGCGATCTGGTGACCTCCGACAGCCGTCTGCAGTTCATCGTCGTGGACTACTCGAAAGATAACAAGCCTTTTGTGTAAGTTGTGTACCGTGTACCGAAAACCCTTTAACTACTCACTAAGCTTAATTGCTTGCCAACGCGATGAAATGCCATGTTTTCCAATCAGCGCAACAAGACAAATTAGAAACGAATTACAAAAGTGTCGAACACGATGCCGCCGTGGCACCAGCTCCAGTACCACCAGCTGCCATTGCTGTCTCTGCCTGAAATCTTATCAGCCACCAACGAAAACTTGTCCAAAAATGTGAGAGTTTCGAGTTTTGAGGGGCACACTGGGCAAGAAATTGAACAAAATTAACTATGCTATATAATATAGCATTTGAAGGCCGCTAGATAAGGGGCAGAAAGTCGTGTCAATCTGGAGAAAAAGCAGCCATTAATGATGCTACCATACTACATGCAAGTTCTACTTCCCCTAACTAATTCAAGTTGTAACTTTTTAATCAGACAATGGCATTTTCGGTAGTTCAATAGAAGCTATAACATACACTTAAAAGTTACGCTTTAATGCAGATTAGTTCGTTCAGTCGAGCTAGCACCTTTCCAGTTTTATGATAATATGAAGTCTTTGGAATACAAGCCAAGTATTTACTGACCAATTCGCTTAATTTTATGTGCGAGTGTTATTTAAACAAAGTTGTCAAATTAAAATAATAAGACCAGTAATACCATTTATAAAATAGGAGGCAAACACCAATTAAAACAAAACCCATACTCGATAAATGTCCAGCACTCCATCAAGGCAGAATTAATGTTGCCTGAAACCCGACCGATTTCCCCCAATAACCAATACAAGTATAACCCAAAAATGTGTTCCAAAATATGTTACAAAGGAGCAGGACGGCAGTGGGTCAAGTGTAGCATGTAGGTGTATTTGTAAGGATAGTTGGGTTGACTTAGAAATTGGAGCTTAGTTCAGTTTTGAGCTGCATTGAGGGAGGCAGCCGGTTGCCAGTCAGGAGGCATTGTAATAAAAAATGGACATTCTGACGGGATTCAGAAGTTTCATAGCTTCCTTGAATAAGTAGTTAGTTTAGAGGCATCAGCATTTCTTTGTGTTACAGAATGTTGTATCAGAAACTGAATGTTATACAATCTATGGGTCTAGCTTTTTCCATTTCCATATACTATTTTTTAGTTTTAACAACATGTTAATAAATATGTTCTTTAGTGACATTATGGAATATAGTGCAGACATTTTAAACTACCCTTTATAGCAGCGCAGAAATATCTGTGAGCAATTAAGCTTATTTAATACTATTGAACAAGTGTGATAAATCTTAAAATACTTAGCGAAGAAACTAATTTGAAAGACCCATGACAACTTGCTCAAGTTGGTGCTGCAGCTTTGTGGCAGTTTAGAAAATGCTTTGTGAATTTTCAATTAACTGTATCTTTTAGCGACATTCTAGAATATAGTGGAGACATCTTAAACTACACTAAGTATAGTATATAGCAATGCAGGAATAAATTTTTTCTAATACTTATAAGTAGATGAAACTATTTTAAAAGACCTATTCAAATTAAATTATAACCAGTTAGGCTGACACGCAATTTGCAAATTCAATTCGTTCTATTTCTAGAACAGCATTATGGTAGTCGACATGATTCTTTGTGATCTTTCAATTAACTTGCAAAACTGGCCACAGCTTTAGGCGTTTCATTGCAGTTCATTGTCTTTGGTGCCAGTGTACGGCATCTGGTTTGTTAGCTGAATACGTGTAATTGGGCGCCGCATTGATTTGAATGTACAGTGCTAGTGGATAAACTTTTAATTGCATCCTTTTCACGTCATCGTCCTTTTACACAGGTATGTGGCCGATGCTGGCGCCCGCAGCATACTCGTTTACGACATTACAGGCAACAAATCGTATCGCATAGTGCTGCCGAAGGCGACAGCCCCCACCAACGATGTCCTGTATGTGGCGCTGACAGCCAAACAGGACGGCACTTCTACACTTTTCTTCAGCTACCTGAGCTCGCCTCGCCTCTATTCGATTAAGGGCGAGTATTTGCGCGTGGGCCAGGGTGCTGGGTCCATTATAGATGTGGGTCCCAAGCCGTATGGCAAGCAGACAGTGTTGTTGGGCGCAGATGGCGGCACTTCGCTGTTCTTCCGCTACAAGGGCGAGAACGACATCTATCTGTGGGACTCGGAGACATGCTTCAAGGCCTCAAACTTGCAGGAGGTACAGCGTGGGGGCGACTGTCGCCTCTCCACGCAAGTTCTACCCGGACACAAGCGATTCATGTGGGCACTGGAGAGTAACTTCCATGATTTCATATCGGATAGAACGGGCTGCAATGGTGCCTCTATAGTCTTACATCCCGTGGTAAAGGAATGCGATGATTAATTCCATAATTGCTGCTCTTTATTAGCTCTAAGTTGTTTTTGTTATTGTACAAAATTAAATGTAAACTTTCAACAAATTCGCAACTAAACTACAACTAAATGCCATGCTGCATCATAGAATTTTGGTCATGTCCTGGACCATGCCGACGACAGTGCAGATTTGTGATTCCCTCATTGACGCTGTCATATGCTTCTAGGGAAGAGCATCATTAGAAGTGGGACTCTACTGATAAGCTTATTTGCTCTCATGTTTCAATTAAGACTGTTGAATGAACCTGTGATTTCCAGCCACTTATATAGCAGTCGATAAGGGATTTCCAGGGAATGTTAGAAAAAATCACTAATGCACGAAGTCGAGTTAATTAAAAGATAAAGGCAGCCACACAACGTTTAAATCGAAAAGGGAGAGCAGAAGTTGTCTCAAAATACTTGTACGAATTCGAATTAAGGACATGTATGGTATGAGAACTACTTATCGTCCGTCTACCCATTTGCCCGTCCGTTCGTATGAACATCGAGAGCTTTTGAGCCATACAGATATAAGTTCTGCCCAGATATACCAGAGTTCCGTGGGCACTGGGGAGTAATTTCCATAATTTCTTTTCGGTTCGAGCATCCTGTGGTGCGGGAATGCGATGATTAATTCCAAGAGGGCTCGTGAATTCGTTGTTGCTGCTCTTTATTAGCTCTAAGTTGTTTTTGCGCTTGTACAAAATAAAATGTAACCTTTTAACAAGTTCCCGACTTACAACTATATGAACTAGGATCATAAATCGTACCCGTCGCACAAGTGCCGTGCTGCATGACAGCATTTTTACCTTCGCAAGAATAATAGCGACTACAGTTGGTCATGTCCTGGACCATGCCGAAGCCAGTGCAGACAGAGAGAGAAGGGCCTGTTTCGGAGCCGACATCGCCACACGTGATGGCATCATTGACGCTGTCATATGCTCCATGGCGGCAGAGCATGGATCTGTTATCATAGTAACTGCCTTCGGGGCAGGACTGATATGTAAGCTCGTTCTTAGAGCAATAGTAGTATCCCTTTGTGTCATTGGCCGGATAGAGCATGCCATTCGTGCAGCTTTGTGTCTGATTTTCGGCATGAACCAGAGGCGGAGCGATTACTTTGTGGGTTTCCCTGGACTTGGGCAGCAAATAATTAGCACCAGACGTCTGTGGGACACAGCTGTGGTTATTAAACACATAGCCCGACTGACATTGCAGCATCAGCGGATAGTAGACATCCTGACTGCCCTGTGAATCCTTCTGACACACATAGTAGTAGCTGGGATCAGCAGCCCAGGCACCCGTCTGGCCCACACTGTTGCAGGTGTACTGCTTCGTCGTGCACTGTTCACTCTCCCGAGGCAAACTGCAGCTTTGCGCGAGCAGGGAATAGCCAGCCCCGTTCGTACACTGCTGAGGGGTATCCACGTTTCTCTCGTCACACACGTGGTAGCTGCGACAATCGTAGGGATCCGGAAATATGCCAGGTAGCTGGCAGTAGAACTTGCCACGAACCGGCACCTGGCATTGCTGTTGCCACGTACATCCAATGGCTCCCTCATCATTGCAAAAGAAGCCACGTGCCGCATCGCACTCGGTCATGCTCACGGTTTGCCACTGTCCGTCAACATTGGCGCAGAATCCTAAAGTTGCGCAGTCAACGCAAATGAAACCACCTTTACGCACATCCTGGCAAGGATTCGTTACAAGTTCCACGGAGTCGATACCGTTGCTAAACTGAACGCTATTGCAGCTACAGCTGCTCAGGAAGAGCAGCACTAGAAGCGGAACTCTAGTAATGAACCTATTTGCCCTCATGCTTGAGTTAAGACTGTTGAATGAACCTGTTATTGCCAGCCGCTTATATAGCAGTCGATAAGGGATTTCGATTTCCAGGGAATGTTAGAACAAATCACTAATGCTCGAAGTCGAGTTAATTAAAAGATAAAGGCAGTAACATAACATTTAAATCGAGAATAAATCGATATTCTCCAATTTGCCAATTAATCATGTCGAAGTTTTTGAAAATTCTTGTATTAATCAGATAGAGCGCCATTTGCTCACATTAGCTTTGAGTCATGTTTAAATTAAGGCAGACTCCATGTCTTAAGTACATACTACATGAGAACTACTTATCGCGACGAATCGATATATAGACTTGTCTCTGTGCCCATCAACCTGTTCGTTCGCATGAACATCGAAGGCTTTTAAGCCAGAGACATAAGCGGTTTTGTTGATCACTGGAGAGATTTATTTAAAAGAGTGCTCGTGAATGCTTCATTGGTCCCTTTTTATTTCTTCTTCCAGATGATTTTTATGGGCAAGTAATATTCTTCCCCAATCATTGTTTTTTGGCTAATATTATAAAATACTTTGAAGGATCGCTCTTCGAAATACAAGTAGGATCAGAAAAAGTGTATTTAAAAATAACATCAAAGTAACATAGAACCCTAAAGGCTACTACTATTTGACGCTCTGCTTCAACAACTTCCCAGCACACAGTTGGGCCTATCCGGCCTTGTTGTGGACTTTGCTGGAGCCAGTCTACGCGAAAGACTGCTATCGCGACAGAAAGAGTCCACAAAAATCTGTCCATCGCTGCAACGTTGAAGCAGCGGATAAATGATGATTGTGTCGTTGATGTTTTGCTTCACCGTTGCCTTACAAACGTAGTAGATGTTCGGGTTCGTAGGCCAGGCTGCAATATGGCCTACATAAGGGCATTCGAACTGCTTTTGTGTGCATGCAGCACTCTGTGGAGACACAGAGCATTGTCCTGTGCTCGCATCAAAGGCCTTGCTTACGTCACAATTGGCGATGACACATGTCAAGGTTGAGCCCTCATAGTAACACAAATAATACCGTTGACAGTCATAGGGATCCGGAAAAATGCCCGGCAAATTGCTCTTGAAATTATCAGCTGTGGCTAAGGGATGGCAAGGGCCCAAGTCCTTGGAGCAAACACCCAGACGCGCATTGCAATAGTAACCGTTTTTCACATCACACGACACCAATGGAATTCCGAACCAGCCATTGGAATTTTTTACACAAAGCGACATCAGCTCACACGTTTCGCAGAGAGGACCCGGACTTTGTCGTCTAAGGCAGGAATTTGCCGCTGAATCAAGTCGAGATGTGCGTGATTTGCAATTCTTCATCTCATATACCGTCTGATTCAGTGGAATCCCCATAGGATTATTCCTGTGTATGGTTGTGGTCCGACAGCTGCTGAGGAACAGCAGCACCAGAATTGGAACTATGCGGAGCAGCTCGATTGTTAACATACTTAAACTGTTGGATAAGGTAAGCATAGCTAGGCGCTTATATAACGATTGATAGGGTAGTTGTGCGGCAAGTTGTGATACCAAAAATACCGAGTTAATTAAAAGATAAAAGCTCTAAGTAATTTAATTACACTTTAGACTTTAATCAAAAGTGTGAGTAATACTTCCACGAAATCAGTTGAAAATGAAGAGTTCATTGTCTTTGGTGCCAGTGTACGGCATCTGGTTTGTTAGCTGAATACGTGTAATTGGGCGCAGCATTGATTTGAATGTACAGTGCTAGTGGATAAACTTTTAATTGCATCCTTTTCACGTCATCGTCCTTTTACACAGGTATGTGGCCGATGCTGGCGCCCGCAGCATACTCGTTTACGACATTACAGGCAACAAATCGTATCGCATAGTGCTGCCGAAGGCGACAGCCCCCACCAACGATGTCCTGTATGTGGCGCTGACAGCCAAACAGGACGGCACTTCTACACTTTTCTTCAGCTACCTGAGCTCGCCTCGCCTCTATTCGATTAAGGGCGAGTATTTGCGCGTGGGCCAGGGTGCTGGGTCCATTATAGATGTGGGTCCCAAGCCGTATGGCAAGCAGACAGTGTTGTTGGGCGCAGATGGCGGCACTTCGCTGTTCTTCCGCTACAAGGGCGAGAACGACATCTATCTGTGGGACTCGGAGACATGCTTCAAGGCCTCAAACTTGCAGGAGGTGCAGCGTGGGGGCGACTGTCGCCTCTCCACGCAAGTTCTGCCCGGACACAAGCGATTCATGTGGGCACTGGAGAGTAACTTCCATGATTTCATATCGGATAGAACGGGCTGCAATGGTGCCTCTATAGTCTTACATCCCGTGGTAAAGGAATGCGATGATTAATTCCATAATTGCTGCTCTTTATTAGCTCTAAGTTGTTTTTGTTATTGTACAAAATTAAATGTAAACTTTCAACAAATTCCCGACTAAACTACAACTAAATGCCATGCTGCATCATAGAATTTTGGTCATGTCCTGGACCATGCCGACGACAGTGCAGATTCGTGATTCCCTCATTGACGCTGTCATATGCTTCTAGGGAAGAGCATCATTAGAAGTGGGACTCTACTGATAAGCTTATTTGCTCTCATGTTTCAATTAAGACTGTTGAATGAACCTGTGATTTCCAGCCACTTATATAGCAGTCGATAAGGGATTTCCAGGGAATGTTAGAAAAAATCACTAATGCACGAAGTCGAGTTAATTAAAAGATAAAGGCAGCCACACAACGTTTAATTCGAAAAGGGAGGGCAGAAGTTGTTTCAAAATACTTGTACGAATTCGAATTAAGGACATGTATGGTATGAGAACTACTTATCGTCCGTCTACCCATTTGCCCGTCCGTTCGTATGAACATCGAGAGCTTTTGAGCCATACAGATATAAGTTCTGCCCAGATATACCAGAGTTCCGTGGGCACTGGAGAGTAATTTCCATAATTTCTTTTTAGCTCGAGCATCCTGTGGTGCGGGAATGCGATGATTAATTCCAAGAGGGCTCGTGAATTCGTTGTTGCTGCTCTTTATTAGCTCTAAGTTGTTTTTGCGCTTGTACAAAATAGAATGTAACCTTTTAACAAGTTCCCGACTTACAACTATATGAACTAGGATCATAAATCGTACCCGTCGCACAAGTGCCGTGCTGCATGACAGCATTTTTGCCTTCGCAAGAATAATAGCGACTACAGTTGGTCATGTCCTGGACCATGCCGAAGCCAGTGCAGACAGAGAGAGAAGGGCCTGTTTCGGAGCCGACATCGCCACACGTGATGGCATCATTGACGCTGTCATATGCTCCATGGCGGCAGAGCATGGATCTGTTATCATAGTAACTGCCTTCGGGGCAGGACTGATATGTAAGCTCGTTCTTAGAGCAATAGTAGTATCCCTTTGTGTCATTGGCCGGATAGAGCATGCCATTCGTGCAGCTTTGTGTCTGATTTTCGGCATGAACCAGAGGCGGAACGATTACTTTGTGGGTTTCCCTGGACTTGGTCAGCAAATAATTAGCACCAGACGTCTGTGGGACACAGCTGTGGTTATTAAACACATAGCCCGACTGACATTGCAGCATCAGCGGATAGTAGACATCCTGACTGCCCTGTGAATCCTTCTGACACACATAGTAGTAGCTGGGATCAGCAGCCCAGGCACCCGTCTGGCCCACACTGTTGCAGGTGTACTGCTTCGTCGTGCACTGTTCACTCTCCCGAGGCAAACTGCAGCTTTGCGCGAGCAGGGAATAGCCAGCCCCGTTCGTACACTGCTGAGGGGTATCCACGTTTCTCTCGTCACACACGTGGTAGCTGCGACAATCGTAGGGATCCGGAAATATGCCAGGTAGCTGGCAGTAGAACTTGCCACGAACCGGCACCTGGCATTGCTGTTGCCACGTACATCCAATGGCTCCCTCATCATTGCAAAAGAAGCCACGTGCCGCATCGCACTCGGTCATGCTCACGGTTTGCCACTGTCCGTCAACATTGGCGCAGAATCCTAAAGTTGCGCAGTCAACGCAAATGAAACCACCTTTACGCACATCCTGGCAAGGATTCGTTACAAGTTCCACGGAGTCGATACCGTTGCTAAACTGAACGCTATTGCAGCTACAGCTGCTCAGGAAGAGCAGCACTAGAAGCGGAACTCTAGTAATGAACCTATTTGCCCTCATGCTTGAGTTAAGACTGTTGAATGAACCTGTTATTGCCAGCCGCTTATATAGCAGTCGATAAGGGATTTCGATTTCCAGGGAATGTTAGAACAAATCACTAATGCTCGAAGTCGAGTTAATTAAAAGATAAAGGCAGTAACATAACATTTAAATCGAGAATAAATCGATATTCTCCAATTTGCCAATTAATCATGTCGAAGTTTTTGAAAATTCTTGTATTAATCAGATAGAGCGCCATTTGCTCACATTAGCTTTGAGTCATGTTTAAATTAAGGCAGACTCCATGTCTTAAGTACATACTACATGAGAACTACTTATCGCGACGAATCGATATATAGACTTGTCTCTGTGCCCATCAACCTGTTCGTTCGCATGAACATCGAAGGCTTTTAAGCCAGAGACATAAGCGGTTTTGTTGATCACTGGAGAGATTTATTTAAAAGAGTGCTCGTGAATGCTTCATTGGTCCCTTTTTATTTCTTCTTCCAGATGATTTTTATGGGCAAGTAATATTCTTCCCCAATCATTGTTTTTTGGCTAATATTATAAAATACTTTGAAGGATCGCTCTTCGAAATACAAGTAGGATCAGAAAAAGTGTATTTAAAAATAACATCAAAGTAACATAGAACCCTAAAGGCTACTACTATTTGACGCTCTGCTTCAACAACTTCCCAGCACACAGTTGGGCCTATCCGGCCTTGTTGTGGACTTTGCTGGAGCCAGTCTACGCGAAAGACTGCTATCGCGACAGAAAGAGTCCACAAAAATCTGTCCATCGCTGCAACGTTGAAGCAGCGGATAAATGATGATTGTGTCGTTGATGTTTTGCTTCACCGTTGCCTTACAAACGTAGTAGATGTTCGGGTTCGTAGGCCAGGCTGCAATATGGCCTACATAAGGGCATTCGAACTGCTTTTGTGTGCATGCAGCACTCTGTGGAGACACAGAGCATTGTCCTGTGCTCGCATCAAAGGCCTTGCTTACGTCACAATTGGCGATGACACATGTCAAGGTTGAGCCCTCATAGTAACACAAATAATACCGTTGACAGTCATAGGGATCCGGAAAAATGCCCGGCAAATTGCTCTTGAAATTATCAGCTGTGGCTAAGGGATGGCAAGGGCCCAAGTCCTTGGAGCAAACACCCAGACGCGCATTGCAATAGTAACCGTTTTTCACATCACACGACACCAATGGAATTCCGAACCAGCCATTGGAATTTTTTACACAAAGCGACATCAGCTCACACGTTTCGCAGAGAGGACCCGGACTTTGTCGTCTAAGGCAGGAATTTGCCGCTGAATCAAGTCGAGATGTGCGTGATTTGCAATTCTTCATCTCATATACCGTCTGATTCAGTGGAATCCCCATGGGATTATTCCTGTGTATGGTTGTGGTCCGACAGCTGCTGAGGAACAGCAGCACCAGAATTGGAACTATGCGGAGCAGCTCGATTGTTAACATACTTAAACTGTTGGATAAGGTAAGCATAGCTAGGCGCTTATATAACGATTGATAGGGTAGTTGTGCGGCAAGTTGTGATACCAAAAATACCGAGTTAATTAAAAGATAAAAGCTCTAAGTAATTTAATTACACTTTAGACTTTAATCAAAAGTGTGAGTAATACTTCCACGAAATCAGTTGAAAATGAAGAGCTCAATTCTCACAGATTACAAATCAAGAAAACAAATATAACTATTCATAACGCCTCCAACACCTGAGCCAACTAAAAAGCTACTAATAAACCTTTACTGTTTTAAATTAATGTTCAAAGAAATTCTCAAAACCACTGTTTAAATATTAGCTTTAATGTTGTCAAATATTAGAGTTACATTTTTGCAAAAACACCATTAAACTAAGAGTACGTATAAAAAATTCCCTAAATAGTTATTTATAGCACTTTCGTCATTGTAGAAAAGTTGATATGTATATTTCACTTTCATGATAGCACACAACAACTTCTTAAACGTTATAGATATACTTTTTCTACTTGCTGATCAACAAGCTCCCAGCACACAAGACGATGATTCGGGCTTGTAAAAGGTTCCAGAAGGACACTCTATATGTTTGACGGTCATGTTCACGGCAGAGCAGTAATAGTATTTGCGGCAATTATCGCCGTCAGCCATGAGGCCGACATGCTCGCAACGCTCTGGGATAACTGCAAAGGCGTTATCATTTGGATCCATATCGGAGTCGTCGGGCAGCATTGTGGGCATTATTGGGTTCAGCAGAGTGTTTTGAGTAGGAAATAGATTGTTGCTGCCTCGACAGACAAACTGCTCAAAAACTTCTCCATCGGCGCACCGATGCAGTGAAGGGTACAGGATCATACTGTCGTTCATGTTCTGATTCACGGTTGATTTGCAAACATAGAAGATGTTCGGGTTGGTAGGCCAGGGTGCCACGTAGCCCCCATAAGGGCAGTCATATTGCTTTTGGATACAAGTTGAGCTCTGTAGGCTTAAGGTGCATTGACCTGAGCGTGTATCGAACGCCTTCCCATTAGCACAATCGACGGCTGCAGCCACTAGCGTCTCGGCCACAAAATAGCACATGTGGTATTTCTGGCAGTCATATGGATCCGGAAATATGCCCTGTGAAGTGCACTGGAAATTCCCCTCGATGCCAAAGGGATGACATGGACCGGTGGCGTTGGAGCAGGCACCCAGTTGCGAATTGCAATAATAGCCATTCTGCGCGTCACATATCTCCACAGGAATGTTGACCCAGCCACTGGAGTGGCGCACACAAGTGGCCAACAGATCGCAGGACTCGCAAATGGGACCTGGACTCTGCCGGCCTTCGCAGAGATTTGCTTCGCGTGGCTGAATGAAACGTGAGGCGGCGGCTGCGAAGGCGAGCACGTTTAGCAAACACTACAAATATTGAATCGCACTTATCATTTAATGAACCAAGAAGGAACTTTCGAAATTTACCAGTAACAGGCGCCAGGACATCTTGTTTAATGAAATATTGAAGTGAGGAACCAAGTTTTGCGGTATCCGCTTTGTCTCAAATGAATTTTGTTGCTTTATATGGACACGTCCGACTGCTGCAAGGCACTTTAACTGTCTGACTAGATAGCGCGTCTGGAGCAGGTAATACATAAAAGTTTCTACGCCCAACAACCAAAATATATGACAAAAAGAAAAATCTAGTCTAAGATATGGCCCTGGATGGATGCCTGCCTGTCTTTCTATCAATAAGAAAAGTACCCATACATGTATGTGCTTGTGTGTGTGTGTTTGTGTGTGTGTGCTATCAAGTTTCGAAAGTCAGAAGTTGTGCAAAGTACAAGTGTAGCAGCATCGGGCACAGCCGCAGCGATAAATTACAACAACTATTGCTACAGATGCCGTAATGGTGAGTAAAACATCAATATTTACACATAAGCTATCTCGTGTGACGAATTCTAACGGTAATTAATGGATGTGCGTGTGTAAACAAACGAAGCATACTATTTGCCAATATCCAAAGACTTAATTGAGTAAACAACGCAATCAGCTTTTAACTTGATTTACCACTTAAGTGTGTGTATGTATGTGTGTACCCTTTGACTAACCATATATTTGTCTTCGGTTCAATTAAATACCACAAAAGAAATACAAACAAGTGCACATTCAAATTGGAGCAACGTTTGTGGCAGTTGACTGTTTTTAAAAATACATATTTCGCGCCTAACCGCAGGTGCGGCCAACTTGCTTTAAAAGCCCAGAAACTAAACAGCTGCTCGATAGAAGAAACAGCTGTTGTCCTGACCACAGTACTCGATGCCAACGAGCAGACGATACGTAAACGAAAACTTAAGCTTTATGTACGCAGCATATTACGTTTTAAATTTGTTTAGTAAACTAAAACACACAGATAAATTAATAACATGGATTTTGTACACGAATCGGTAGCACTAGGAGTAGATCTGCTCATTCTGGGACTGTGCGTGCGTGAATATGTGAATCTGAAGCGGACCGCAGTCGTGCTCAAGGCAAGTACCCGCTGCTGATTCCTCTGCATTGGTAACGTAATATTCAACTGGTTTTATTTTCGCACAGTCGGCGCCACAATACAATATAGATGCAGAATTGAAGACTATTGTAGAGAAACAACGGGACAAGAAAATACCCTATGCAGTTATTCGGGGTACTGTCACGCCAATTGGCGTGCCACTGCGTAGTGCCCTCGTGCCCAGCGTCAGTGGCGTACTTCAAGTAGTCAAGCTGAATGAGCATCGCATAACACGCGGCTTTGCCGGCTTCTGGACAGAGCACCATAAGCTGATACATGAATCGGCCAATGACATGCCCTTCGAATTGCGCAATCAGGACTATGCCGTCGAAATAGTCGATGCGCTGAGCGCTGCCGTGCTAGACACTGATGTGGTTTACGACAACTACGAGCCCTCATCGCTGTCGTTTTTCGATCACGTCTTTGGCTTCTTTACGGGCGTGCGACAGAAGGGTCTGCAAACCACAGAACAAGTGCTGCGTGATGGCAGTTTTATAACGGCCATTGGCGAACTGGAAGTAGATGGTCAGAGTCTACGCATGCAGCCCTCGAAAACTGGGCCGCTATTCCTTACCACTGCCACAAAATCGACGCTAATCAAGCGCTTTGAAGATGCCAAATCGTCATTACTGTACGTGAATACTCCTTAATTTTACACTGCATTACTAACGGGAATATAAATATTTATCTATATCCATTCAGATTTAAAATCGTTGTCTGCAGCACTGTATCCGTAATTATAATGGGTCTTATAGCTCGCAAACTCTATCGCAAGAAGAAACAATTGCGTGAGGAAGCAAAAATTCGCAATCGACTAGATACGGAGAGAAGGGAGAGACGCGCTCGAAATCGCCCACACGTCTTGTCACAAGATCAATTGTGCGTTGTCTGCTCTACGAATCCTAAGGAGGTAGGCTTGTAAAATATACAATTATTTGATTGAACCAACTAATTTCGAATGTTCCAGATAATATTGCTGCCTTGTGGACATGTGTGTCTCTGCGAGGACTGCGCCACAAAAATCGAGGTAACATGCCCTGTTTGTCGAGCCAAAATCGAATCTAAAGCAGCTGCCTTTATCGCATAAAAGCAAATCAAGAAATTATCTGACGATTGAGAGCACGTTGGTGTACCTGTGTATATATTTATTAAATCATTTCGTGTGTTTACATTTCTAGTATTTATTAGTATTTCTTAGCACCCATTATGCAACGGTATTCGCGTTGATTTTCCAACATCTTTAAAAAGACCTGAAACTTGCGATTGTGGTACTCGATTGTGTTTGGATTTGGCTTCAAAAGTTGTCCCGTGCCACCCATTGCCTTAGAAGCGCTCTGTTAAAGTAAAACATGTCAGATTACATATCTAAACACTCTGTAACCACTTGCCTCCAGACTATCATAATGTTTAGAGGCCGCAGCGCCTAAAGCCGCGGCGCCCACCAGCACCATTTCCTCTTCGTTGGGTATGAGAGCGGGCAAGTTGCATATGTCAGCATGGCATTGCACATAGAGCGGATTTTTGGCCAGACCACCACAAAAGAGCAATGTTTGGAATGCTGCTCTTTGGTGCTCATACAAGTTTTCAATTATATGCCGAGTGCCGTACTGTAAAGTAGAGTTTTAGGACGCAGAAAGGATGGCAGATCTTTTTTTATACTTGCCGCAAGAGCTTGTGTAAAGGCCAAATAACTAATGGCCAGAGATTCGAAGCCGCGTGTCATGTCCAATCCCGTGATCTGGAAAGATATATTAATACGGTCGATATAGCCCACTTAAAATATACATATACACTCACCATGCCGCGTAATGTCGGGTCAGCAATGGGTGAACGATTGCCGTGCAAATCTGGCCAAACATGAATATCTTCGGTTAGATGGCAAACCTCGCTTAGACCACGAGCAGCCGCAATGTCGGGTAGTGTTTCGTTGAGACGCTGGTAAATATATCTTTTAAAAAAATAGACCATTAGAACAAAAATATGATAATATAACAAAGTAACGGCTTTTCGAAATATGTATGTATCTGCTGAGCAACCAACCACCTACTATAACAAAATATACATACAAGTATATTGAATAAACTCTAATCACTTGAAAATGTATCTTAAAATTACTATGTGAAGATCTATCTTACTAAGTATGATGTATAGCTTCAAGCATACTTACTTATCACCACCAATCTCCTTCTTGAGGGCAGCGTAACACTGATGCGATTTTAGCACATGATCGAGTAGATGTCCGGCTATGCTCTGACCGCCCTCGTTTAAATAGTACCCCGGTATAATGGCATCCTGATACGGACCCCACACACCCTTGGCAAAACAGGCAGCCCGCGTGATGCTCATATGGCAGGTGGAGGTGCCCGCTATTAGGGCCATTTTGCCCTGGACATCATCGACGGCGTTACTGTTGCCCGTCTCTCCACGACAGCCAAACATGCCCAGAGCGCCGGCATGGGCGTCAATTAAGGATGTGCTCACCACTATACCGACATTTAAGCCCAACTCCTCAGCTGCGCGTGCCGACAAACCATTGCCCACAGGCTGGCCCGGAGGCTGCACATCGCTCCCAATAGCCTCGAACTGATTCCGCGTCAACTCCTCCAAGTCGGCAGCCCGTAAATATTCCGCATTCCAGCTTTGAGCCTCCGCATCGTAGTTCCATTTGCAAACCACAGAGCAGAGAGAGCGTGTGTCCACGTCTGTTGCACGCCAGGTTAGAAAATCCGGCAGATCAAAGGCCCGCCAGAGGCTCTCGAAAGTCGTTGTCAGATTGCGCTTTAGCCACAATAATTTTGGAATCTCCATTTCCAAAGACACCTGACCACCCACATATTTAAGCAAGGGATGCTTAGATGCATTTATCTGCTTTGTCTCCAGTTCGGCACGATGATCCATCCACAGAATGATGTTTTGCTCAGCTTTGCCCGTCTTGCTGACCGTCAGGGGCTGACCATTGGTGCCAAGAACCACCAGTGAGCACGTTGCATCAAATCCAATGCCCTTCACTCGCGACTTGTCGATGCCGCCGACCACATTCTATAAAAATATTATTGCCGGTCTTAATCTAATCTTAAGCCTATTCGACCGTATCAGAGTTGGAGGTTATCGGTGCTGTGCACCGACGTGCTTTCATTAAAACCTCATAAAGCTGTAATTATTACCTTGACTACTTTGCAAACCGCTTGCCAAATGTTTTCGCTGGATTGTTCGTAATAATCCGGCTCTGGCGTCCATGTCTTAATCTCCTGCACCGCCTGTTTCTCCACTTTACCATCCGCTGAAACCAGAGCGGCTCGGGCACTGCCGGTGCCCACATCTACACCCACAAAGTACACCTTCTCAGACATTCTGTCGCCGTCTATACCTTTGCCCTTGCCCGTACACTTTCGCGGTCAATTAGAGGTGCTGCAAGCGGCCGGATCTGAAGAGAGAACATAAAGCGTCGAGCATTGAACGACGACTGATAAGAAATTTAAAACACGATCGCCGCAATCTGTGACAATGTGAGAATGTGTGTGTGCGTACCGGTTTTCAACATTACTCGTATAATGGGACGGACGGTTAGATGGTGAGTTTGTTGATCATGGCAGCTGGAAGTGTATCTGTAATTAGAGCAATAAGTCATGCATTTAAAGGTATGTGCTTAAATATGGATAATAAATCAGTTATGAATTTTGGCAGACGTTTTAAAACCTGAATTTTTACATACATATACAATTTTTGTAAAAGCATACCTGACTCTTAATTTAAAATATGCCAAATACCTGCGACTTTTTTACTGTAAAACCCACTCTGTGCAACGCTCTTTGTCAATCCAGTTTCAGCGTTTTTTTTTTTCTCCAATTACTAATTTAACAAACAAACACCTATTTCTGCATAGTACGTACATTATTCGAGATATATGGCCATTCATTATTTACTTTAATATCACCTTATTGATATATCCAACGAACTAATATGAATTCTTTTATAAATAGATAGATTTATATATTTAAAATTAAGAGATTTACATATTCAGAGCTCCACGATTATGTATTCAGGTCAAGGTAGCACTGATATGATTTCGGAATCTTGCGTTTAAATACTTCTGCATATTCATATTGGCATTATCAGTGCGATCAAGCAACAGAGGAGGGAATAAAACCAATGTCGTATTAGCTATGTAAAATGTTGTTCTTAAGTATTTCCCGGTACATTTCAAAGTCATGCGGTGTCTTCAGTTTGTAACTGGTTTGTTTGATGATCTTGTCTATTACGGTATATTGCTAAGCTACCATATTATTAACTTAAAATAATTTACTCAACGTTCTTTTCAACTTCTAAGGCCAAAGCCTTGCCTCTTGGTTGAAGCTTTTAATGATTTGAACATATAATTGGAAAGACGATGAAAATAATATTAGTACTCCTATTAGCTGGTTACGATGAGAAATGAATAGCTAATTATAAAAATATCCTTGTAAGTGTTTTTTTATAAATCAGTTAAAAGTGTTCACACTTTAAATGTTAAATGTATCAGTAACGGGCAATACTGGTGCTGTCAGATTAATATTTCACAACCATCTGGCAACGCCGTCAGAAATTCAACAGCTGTGAGTCCACGCCGCTTTAAATTTGTTTTCAATGGTACGAATTAAAAATCGGTAAGTTCAATATAAGAATATAGAACCACTAGGGCAGAGTATATTTGAATATTTAACAATTTAGATATATAGCCGTGCAAATCGTGCCGTACACGCCCACGCAAACCCTACGGTTTAGCGACCAAACGCTAACCAAATGTCTGCTCCAAAACGTGAAGAAGTACTACGGAGTGTATGGTTTGGGATTGCTGGAACACGGATTTCGTGTGAAATATTGCAATGAGCGGACAAAAATTGCCATTATACGTTGTTTGCATCGTGGCCAGCACTTTGTGTCCAGTATGTTGCCACTTATAACGCTTGTGAGTAGAGAGTTGAATCCTTTGAGTAGACCTTTTTTAAGATACACACCCAAACAGATAGGCGAGGTACGTGCCAAGTTTCGAACTCTTTATACCGGAGCAACCATCATTCAATGCAATAAATTCATTATTAAACACCAACGACAGTTCCTAGATCGCATGATGGGACAGATAGAATCAGCAAAGGAACGGCAAGATATATTTAAACGCGTCATGGAATTTGATTTAGATAGATAAAATGAATTTTTGATATATTGGAATTTTATTTTTAAAACTATACCACATACTTATGCTTCTTATAGAAATTGTTCTTTTCATTTGACTAAGTTTATGGTATTTCTTTTTGTTCTGCCTCTATTTCAACGATTTAAGTTAAACTTCAATGAGGAATCTACGGCTTGGTGAGCGTGCGATTCGTACACTAAGTTGCTTGAATTTATGCCTCAAATCGGTAAATGTTAGTTTATTTCTCTTGCTATACACACTCAAATAGATTCCCAAAACAACAACCAAACCGGACCAGAGGTATCTGCGAAAAATTCAAATATATAGTCACAAGAGCAACCGAGAAAATTTGAGCTAAAGTGTACTTACTGCATTGTAAAGGGTTTGGTGAAGAATAAGAACGATATGGCTATCGTGACAGCCTTCCGTGCAGTAGTTACTGTGGCCGCCACAGGAGCTCCACTGCTGCGCACTAACGCCAATACAAACTGCATGCCCAAGTAGCCGGAGAGACTGAACAGGAATCCATAGCCGAAACTCTGCAAAGGATGCTGTAAGAAATAATCGTAATGTTTTTTTAATGCGTCAAGTTTCTCCCTTTAATTTAGTCACCTCTATGCAGAACGCAAAGCCGCTGAAAAAGTTACCGGTAATCAGCATTATCACAAGTAGATACACAAATCCCAACCCATAGGAATAGAATACTACTTCGCTACTGGGCGCCTTAAATTCGCGCATGGCTTTCTCCTGCACATTGCCGATAACTGCATCACACAGCAAAGCACCAGAGATCATTGCCACGCCCAAAGGATTAAAGTTAGGCGTTAACTGAGAATCTGAAAGCAAAGAAACCGTTAACAATTTTAAAGTGTACTTTAAGATAAACTTGTTACCTGCTAATGTGAACCAGGCGAGTCCAATACACATAGCACCTGCAGCTGCAAAATCTAAAGGTCCATAACGCTTTCCTTGAATGAGTATACTGCCGACTAGCACGGGAATAAGCTTGCAGCATTTGAAGATGACTTGAGTGGGGTAGTTAAGATAGCCAAGACTAGAATTGGATAGTCCCATAGTCCCAAGTGTGAGTCCGGCCAGCACGAAGTACGTCCGCATTGGTATACAACGTGGTGCTGGCTCACTATTCCATTTGCCACCGGACGCTCTATAAGCCTCTAGACGATGCTCCACCAAGCCAAAGCAAATGTAATAGCCAAACTGCACCAATGTAAGGAACCAGCCGTAGGGCTTAAAGCCCTCCACTGTGAAAATCAGCTCCTGCAGATAGCCATAGATTATGTACAATATAAAGACGCCGGCGCAGCTGAGGAGGAATTGAGTTGTTCGATTGTAGTATGTTAATTCAAAACAAAGGATTCTCAGTTCTGGTGGGGACTCGGTGGAGGAGGACTTGCGCTGTTGTAAGCCACTCTGAGAGCCTTTGTTGTTGTTATTTGTGCTTCCCACGTGTCCATTGACGTTGATAACGTTATTTCCTGTCTGACTGTTGTCCATTGTGTGAGCGGGTCCGTTGTTCTTGATAAATGAAGAGATGCGAGTGTGTGTATTTACAGTAAGTATCCGTTAAATGGCGAAGTGCTAAATTTCAATTTCCATTTATATGCAAAAATAAGAAATTAAAAACGATTTTTAAAAATGTATGTGTAAATAATGCTCTGACTAATTTACAACGTAAAGAGAAAGATGAGCATCCGCTCATTAATGAAGAATTTTCGGCTGACCTAGTTTAGCTAGACGGGTATCTTATAAGAGTTTTCAAATTCAGCTATGAACATTGTATTAAGGATATAGTTTGTATCCTTGTATCGCAGGTTTCCTGCAGCTCTACATCTGCACTGGGATTTGCTATGTAGATTACAATATTGACAAAGTATATGTCAAACAACATTTTTAAAACAAACGACGAAAGTTCTGATAAATTTTTGGTTAAAGTGTGCCTTAATTGCACCCGATAGCTATTAGTGGGTCAAGAAGGCAAGCTTTTTATCTTATCATAAGCAATGTACGTATAGGCAATAAAATTGTTTTTGGTACATTCAAAGCTATCTTTCGTGATTAGATACTTACATGTTTTAGTGTTGCTTTCGTAAATTACTAATCATTACAAATTTTGCTTATGCTCATTCATGAATTTAATTTTAATTAGGCGATATCTACTGTATTACAACTATATTTGTTCGACAAATCACTGCCACGCCGTTTGATCTGTTTTTAAGTTGCGGTGGAGTAGTTACGCTTATAGTGGCGCATCGTATTCATTATCATTAGCTACGTCATGTCACTGATAAAACTAATTGATTGTACAGTCTACAATTTGTTCGTTAATTTGTTCTTTTGTTTTTTTTTTGTTTTGAGCTTCCTGCAAATCCCACCCCCCGTCCCGACAATCGATTTATTTTACAGGGACTGGAAAAGTATCGATAAATACTTTGTAGTGTCAGCTCTAAATATGGCGTCGGGTCATAGTAAGAAGCAGAAACTGAAAATTTCTGAGCGGCTGTCTATATAGAAGTGTTGAATTATTTGTTTAATAGTTATGAATTAAGCATACTTATATGGAAGTAAAGTTTGAAAAATAAGTAAAAATGGATGTACAACCACCAAGAGGTAAAGCATTATTGCAAGGCATTACGAGTCAAGGAAATTATCATGCAGACCGAACGCACGCTGAACACACACATTTAGACCAATAAAAGCGGTGCTGCGATGTTCTAACTCAAACCATTGCATACCTTTATTTGCGTTTTCCAGATGCAAATTTACGCAATATAATTGACAAACTGGCTGAATTTGTTGCACGCAATGGGCCGGAATTCGAAGCTATAACCAAACAAAAGCAACAAGGCAATCCCAAATTTGACTTTCTATATGGTGGCGAATTTGCTACCTATTATCAGTATCGGGTGGCCGCCGAGCAAGCCAGTAAGTAAAATGAGTCCCCCATTATGCGTAATGCGTCATGCAAATAAAATTTACTTGGCAGTGCTTAAGCAGCAGGGCATCGTTATTGGGACGCAAATGCCAACCGGTGCAGCCGCCCTTTATCATCAGCAACAGCAGTCGCCCATGCAGCAGCAACCGCCATCCCACTATACCCAAGCTACGCAACAGCCGCAGCAGCAGCAACAATCACCAAATGTACATGAGAACACGCAATATAACATGCAAACGCCGCAACAACAACAGGCACCGCAGCACTTATGGCCCACCAATTCAGGGCCCCCATTAAGCACACAGGCGTCGAATGGCACGGCACTAGCCATGAATTTGAGTGCACAAGTGGAAGCTATAAGCATGCAACAAACTACTCTGCGTGAACAAATTAAACAATCGGAGGCAAATCTGTCGGCACAGCATACGGTAATTACATCTATTAAAGATTTCATTTTGTTCACAGGTGTATTCTATATTCATATATGTATTTTAACCGGAACCTTTGAGAGATTAGAGCAGCACTTATTTATGAAGGACAAACGACTTATGAGAATATCAACTAACAATCTCAATTTGAAGTAGAATAAAGTACCAGTTCAATTTCACACTTTTAGAAATAATTACTTACATAATACTGAGAAACACAGCTCTAAGTTTCTGTACCACCTTCAACGGTTTAAGTATTCTCCGCCTCAATTACCTTACGCGTTGGTCTTAACTGATTAACATTCACTCGACCTCCTTATTTGCTGACTTTAAAACATCCATAAAGTATTTCAACTGAATTTAAATTGGATATGCATCCAATAAGCTGAGATTTCGTGGAAATTTACTAAAAAGTTGATTTCTTCAATTTTGAAATAGGTTGAATATCTTTCCTTAAAATAATAAACAATTTTATTATTTTTTAAGGCACACATTCCAAAATTCCCAAAATATTAAGCTGAGCATAATAACAAATTATGAATGAAACCAAATCTTCGTAATAATTATGGTATGGTATTGGTTTCTTATGTCATCAAAGAGCTACTTGAATGTATACCCACTGAACTGTTTCATAATTTATTGGAGCGTTCCCGATTCAGATTATTAATCATGAGTGATGTAATTTTAAGGAATATATTCAAAAACTCTTCTTTCACATCAGCCTTTTATTGCCGCCTCAGATACTTTACATGTCGAACTTTTGATTTGCATTTTAGGAAAATCGTGCCATATATAGATAAAGGACTGCAATTTCACTAGAAATACGCTTACTGATTTTGACTATAAATCCATGCCTAAGAATCGTTTACAGAGATCGTTTAGCCCCTCAGTTAAAAAGTTGTGAAATACAAAATCAAAAAAAGTAGTAACAAATCATTTGTTCACGCTAGGTTCGGAATGGAATTAAAAATAGGATCCATGACAAAGTGTATTTTTCTCTTCAAACAACATTCGTAAGAAACTTGAATACCCCGTTTGTGAGATTCAAATTACCTTCCGCTGTCTATACTTGCTTCTTGGAAACTCACTTGGTCGCTGATGTTTTAAATATATGATATTTTAAACAAAAACATCATGTTTGCAAATGGCTCTTTCCCTGTTCTAACCCCTTACATGCTTTTGGCCTCCCTTCTGTTAAGTGTTCCTTCTTCGTAAATATGAATTTCTTTCAGCTGTACAAATTTTCTCTCACATTTTTATTTTGTTTAAGCTATTGAAATAACAATTTTACAATGCTACATTAAATTTTTGCTTTATTGTATATTTTTTGAAACATAAAACCAAAAAAAATCCAAACCACTCTTCATACCAACTGACAAAAAAAAAAAATGTGTTAAACAAAAACCCAAAACAAAACAAATTGTTTGAAACGATTGTCGCAACGGTTCTTTATTGTCGCATTTGATTAAAAAAAAAACTGAAAAACTCAAAACACAACTCTCTCTGTGCGCCTAAAACCAAACCAACGAAAATCGAACTAAAAACCGCACCAACCACCAAAATGAACCTTTAGGCGCTGATGACGCAAAAGACGAAACAAATCGAAGAGGCGATGGCGACGGCACAATCGGCCCAAATGGAACAGTTGGCCACTGAACAGAGCATCGTACTACGAGACTTCGACGCCGTGCTTCAGCCAATCATCGAGTCCTGTACCAAGGATAGCATCTCAGCAGGTAAATATAATAGCAAGTCGAGCAGCTCGCATGAGTTGCTTGCTTTTATTTTATTCCTCTACATGTCATAGTTTTTTATTTTGATTTGATTAAAGACTTTAGAAATTTAACTTTTGCTCTAGACAATGTACACTCAATAAATACTCAAAATTACAATTGAATTAAAATATAAGAGAGACATTAAAATCTAACCAAAGTATATATTTCATATTTATCATAATTTTAGTTATACAAATTTATTTATTATTGCCAAGATACAAAATGAGTAACCCGTTTGATATTGCAATTTTAGGCAAGAACTGGATTTTACAGCATTCAACCGACAACGCAAAAATCAATGTCGTTTTACAATATCTTTTAAAAAAGTATGCCTCAGTTTATATAATTAATGATCATTCAACATTTATTAATATATAACATTGTGTTTCTTTCCTTCGACGAGTGAATATCGAGAAAGTGAGAGACAGAGAAAAAAACGCACAGGAAGAGCGAGCACAAAATGATTCGTTGCGAATGATTTGATGATTTGTTGATTCGAGAACCCACTGTGCACTGAATACCTCGTTATGAATGATGCGTTTTGATTCGTTCTTGAAAGATGCACATTGTCTTCCAAATTATTTGGGCTGAACACATTATTTAGAGTAGCAAGCATTCCAGCGTTAGGTTTTTTGTAGGACAGTTAAATTTAACACACATTCACAAAACAATAACAGCAACAACATGAATTATTTGATCAGACATACACACACACATACACAACAATTAACACACAACCACACACACGACAAATTTTTGGCAAATGTTGTTGTGCGTACAGAAAACTAGAAAAATATGTTTTTTGTTTGTTAATTTATTTTTAGGGCTTTGGTCAATGGTTCAACGTTTCAGCAAAAATTGCATCTTATATATTTAGTTAATGATATACTCCATCATTGGTAAGTTCGCACAAAAAATGCACAACACATAAACGACAATAAAGACAATAACAACTAAGTACCAAAGTATGGTATGCTTACAAGTAATTCAATGGCGAATACTTACAAGTAGATATAATTTAAAGCTCAGTACATCCTGTAAAACTTTGTTGCTTAGTTTTTCTTGTACACGGACAGCACCTGGGGTTGGGTCGTGAGACGCACTACCGAACCCTTTTGACTCGCAAGCACAGAAGACACGTAGGCTCCCCTTTTTCTTAAGCGCAACGATCTATTTACAGCATGCGAAAAAACATCACCGATTTGAAAAACAGTCTCGAGAATGTCGTTATTCCGATGTTCTGCAGCGCAGATCTGAGTAAGTATTTCAAAATTGTATGAACAAACATCAGATTAACCATAATATCATATATTCATTCATAGTTGCGACCAACGATCAACGCCAGAAGCTCACAAAACTGCTTTCGCTGTGGGAGTCCAAAGCCAAATTCTTTGATGCGTGCGTCATTTCAAAATTACAGGCGCCAGACTCTTCCATGCAGGAGTACAAGACCAATCTGCAGAATACACATCACGAAATTGTGACCAAGTATACGCAGACAACAAAGGCAACTCTCGACAAGTGAGTATTTGTGAAATATTAAAATAAAACTGTTCAATAGGGCACCCATTTAAAAGTTTTAGCGCATGTTGAGATACTATTATTTTGTCTTAAGGGTTATCTTAACAAATTATACATTTTCCAGCTACCAAAAACAACATCAAATCTTCATGCAACATGCCAAACAACAAATTGCTCAGCTCGAACAGCAGAAGCAACAACTCGAAAAGCAAATGTTGGTGGCACAATCGGCACAACAACAGCAGCAACCGCCGCCGACAACACCTCAAAAGTCCATACCTGCGCTCATGTCCCAACGCATTATCATGCCAGGAGCCGAGAACGAACACGTAAACGCGCCAACACCCCAGCACGATCATGGACAAGCTGCCAACAATGTGTACGCGGCCAATGCCTATCAGCAGCAGCAGCCGCAACAACAGCAGCAGCAACAGCAACCCAATCACTACATGGACCCTAGAGGGCCAAACTTTTTCATTCCGGATATGTCAAAGCCACCACCTGGCTTCCAAACGCCAATGCATCCGGGCATGCAGCAGCCGCAACAACAATTGCCTCCACAGTATGGGCAAATGCCACTTAATAATATGCCGCCTGGTCAAGTATCAGGCGAACCCACAGTTGATTTGGCCATTTTGAACGCGGCTATACAGCGCGTACATCAATTACAACAGCAGCAACAGCAACATATTGTAGATGATGGCCATCCAGCTCAGCAACAACAGCCACAACAACTGGTCGATCTGCAGCAGAAACAACCACCTCTCTCCGATGGTGACAATAGTTTAGAGTCTCCGGCACCAGTGATTCCTGAAGAGCCACAAATACCCACGGCTCCATACTACGATTTGCCTGCAGGTCTAATGGTGCCGCTCATTCGGCTAGAAGACTACAATTATAAATCGTTGGATCCGACGGAAATTCGACTGCCAGCTCCGACGCCCCAGAACGAACGCCTAACCAATGCATTGAATGCATTCTATGCCGCGCCATCCCACGATCATCCGCGCGATAAGTGAGTGTCCAACAACCACAGTAGCTAAGGTCAAACTAATTTTCACAAACTATTCCTTAATATCATTGCAGCGAGGGCTGGGAAAAACTTGGTCTCTATGAGTACTACAAAGTTAAAAATGCAGCGCGGAAGCAGAAGGAAGAGGATGTCAAGAATGGCACCAGAGAGAAGTCCCGCTCACCGAGTCCAATTGTGTTGGAGAAGCCTAAACCCAAGAAGCCTAATAAACGCTGTTATCGGTGTGTATAAAAAGCACCAATCAGCGACTTTTATATTCTACATAATATTTAATCGTTTTTTGGCAGTTCCAAGAGCCGCAGTCGTTCGCGTTCACACACGCCCCCTAGGCGCTCACGTACCAGATCCCGATCCCCAGAAGGCACGCCTCCTTCGCAACGGAGTCGCGGAGGCGGAAACAGTAATAGCAGTAGTAAGAGCAGAAATCGCTCGCCACGCCATGAACGTGATCAATCCAATAATAGTCGCGATAATCGAGCTGAACGCAATAGTAGTAGCAACATTAGCCTCAACAATAGCGGCAGTAACAACAACAATGGCAATGGCAACAATAATAGTTCAAGACGCGTGGAACGAGATCGTTCACCAACTCCACCCAGTTTCTTGTAAGTAAATATTCAGTTTTCCAAATTTTTGAAATACACTTGTACTGCGTACACATAAAAGGCATAATCTAGCGCCTCTAGCTCTTATAGTCTGTGAGATGTTGGTGATCATACGGACGAACAGACTGACACTGCTAAGTCGTTGCACAAACCTTATATACTCTTGTACCTTCCATAGTAAAGGTATACTATGGCTAAAGGCTACTTATTATTTGTGATATTTTAATAAAACAGTAGTTTGATTTGATAAGGTGTGTATATATATTTATTGTCATTTCAGTGGTAGTAGTTTTGCCAAACCCAATGAATTCATCGAGGAATCCAACAAGGGCCATCAAATGCTTATGAAAATGGGCTGGGGTGGCACTGGCACCGGTTTGGGCTCCAAAAATCAAGGTATTGATGCACCCATATCGGGTGGAGAGGTGCGCGACCGTCGGGATATGTATAAGGTATGCTCCTAACAAATTTCAAGATTAACATCTAACGATTTACTCATACACTTTTTTTATATCTATTGGATAGGGTGTGGGAAACAATTTGAATGATCCGTTCGAGAGCTTCCGGAAGAATAAGGGTGCTGCCTTCGTGCATCGTATGCGCGCGAGAGATGATAAAAGTTAAGAGCCTTATTCCCTCCCACACAGGAGGTGCTACCGCATTTTTCAATTTTTTTTTGCTAGCAAGAAGAAATTAAATTTTATAAAAACAAACTGAAAAACTTTATTGATTGAATTATTTCCGTCACGCCGTTACATTGAATGACGTTTGAGCTGCTCTTGCATTAACCTTCTCCAGGACCTGAAGCAATCCCTTGCCCGGTCCACACTCGAAGGTTCGTGGAAAGTCGACGCCCTGCTTGCGTTCGTAGAGCTCGTGCAGAGTCTGCTCCCATTTGACGGAACGTACAATCTGTTTTGGCAGCTGCTTAAGGATATGCGTGGCATGTTTGTAGGGCTTGCCATCGACATTGGAGTAAACGCGTATAATGGGATCCTGCAGGTATATGCGCTTTAAGGCCTTGGCAAAGGGTTCTACAGCGCTCTCCATAAGTGGGGTGTGGAAGGCGCCACTGACAGCCAAGCGCTTCATGCGCCGTATCTTAAGTGCCTTGGCGTTCTTCTCCAGAAACTCCAGGGCCTCGACGTGGCCGGCAATGACCTTGCAATGGGGATACATGTAGTTAGCAATGCCGCAGTAGGGCGACTCCACGCCACGATCCATGCACCATTGCTGCGCCTTCGCACAGGCTGCACTCAGATTCGTGTCCGGTCCATACAACGTCATAGCCATTGCGCCCGGCGCCTGATCACAAGCAGCTTGCATGGCTGTGGCCCGTACCTGCACTAATCGCAGTGCCTTATCGAATGGTAAGGCACCTGCAAAAACCAGGGCTGTAATCTCTCCCAGACTGAAGCCCGCCGTGGCCACACAACTCTCAATGGCCTTGGGTCGCTCCTCTCGTAGCTGCTCCAGTGCAGCTAGAGAAGAGACCATCACCGCCAGCTGCGCATATTCGGTGCGATTAAGCTTCTCACGCGGTCCCTCCAGACAAATTTTGAGCAAATCATATTGGAGCACCTCGTTAGCGAGCTCGAAAATGCGACGTGCGCCCGGAAAACGCAGCAGATCCTTTGCCATGCCCACATATTGAGTGCCCTGACCGGGAAAGAGTACAACGCTTGTCTCCTTCGGATCGATAAGGGGCCGCGTTCTCTCGTTTGATGGCTCTGCGAGATCATTCAGTAATTGCTGGCGTTTTTGTTTTTCTGCATCCGCATCTGTAGCGGTGTTTTCTGGTACTGCCTGTTGTTTGCTGCACAAGCGACTCCAACTCCATTTTCCTAACAATGTCTTTTCGTGTCTTATATGACGCAGTGCAAACATTATAATATATATAATTTATTCCTAATTATTTAACAACTTTGGTAACAAAAAAAAACAACGCACCGCCGGCTGCACGTTCAAAACAGCTGTCCAGCTTTAAAATGTATGCTGCAGAGTGCGCTTCTGCGAGCGCCACCTGACGGACAACGAATTGTGGTGAGACATTTTTCAAATGAAAAACACATTTTAACGTTTCTGTGAATTTATGCTCCTAAAATTGCTTAGCTATGACGTAGCGGATTTGCGTCAATTTCTTAAAAATTGATTTCACAACTCTAAAATTACTAAGCAACTAAAGAGGAGAAGTGAAGAAGAAAGCCTGGAATTTCCGGTCGTTAGCCTTTAATGGTGCATTTCCATTTAATAGGAATGGAAAAAGGGCGAACGACATTCCATGGCATTTTTATGTTGTTCGTGCTGTTATTTCTAATTCGTGCCGCCCTTTTGATCAAAGTTAAAGTTTTTTGAACCCCATCGACATGAAATACGAAGCCGGCATACCACAATAAATGGAAGAAACGGCAAATTTTGCAAAAAAGTACAGTGGTTCAGCAAACAAATTGTTCGCCAAAATAAACGACTTGAATATGAAAAAAGTTGAGGTCTTACATACTTATGTAAAGATCAAAAGATTGTTCTTTGTTAAAAAAAAGAGGAAAAATTTATTTATTTCACTTTTGAACTCTACTTACTAAATACAATGTGATGAAATGATTGAAATTTTCTAAGCTTTTGGGCAACGTAAATTACAATTACACATCTGTACTAACACTGAATTACAAATTTGAATACATTTGTACATATGTACGTATTTTATTATTGAAGAATGCATGCATTTTCGTTAGAAAAAGGTACGCCAAATGGTTGTGCAATTAGCAACTTATAACTTATCAATATTACTTAATTGGAGCCCATGTCCATTATAGATAAGTCGAACAGAAACTATCAAATGGAGACGGAGCGAAAGTTATAAGAAGTGCATAAATAAAATAGAATGGCGAGTGTTTACTTTTACTCTCGAGAAATCTTTGTAAAATGTACCAAACCATAAATATAGGCAAATTAATGTCTCCCAATAAAACTAATATTGCGATATTATATTTAAAATCAGGTTTCGAATTTTCTGAAATCTGTGTAGTTCGACTACAGATTTTTTATGGAGCATATGACTAACAAAGTCTATTACAAATCTAAATCAATTGCATAATCAATAATTTTAAAAGTGTTTATACTACTTGACTTGTTTTTCAACTTCAAAATGTCAGAAGGCCTAATACTTGCTAATGCGAATGTAGCAATGAGATATTTATAAAACTTTGATCTCACATTAAACTTCTTGCAGGCTATTATATAACTGAATGCTCTTAATATACTATCAGCTTACAGAATTCCGAAATATACTATCACTTAATAATTGATTGCTTAATTCAACCGATTAAACTATGCATATTTACTTACAGGTATCACGCTATCATAATTTATTAGGAAAATTTTAACCTTGTACTCTCTCCGATGACAATATATCTTGATTAATACCTAAAAAATCTGGGCCACTGTGCGATTTTGCGATATGAACATGACGAACCACTTTCGCCTTCAGCTCAAGGAACACACATATCAAAACAAAAACAAAGCACACGTGCATGTGCATGTATTTGTGTGTTCCCAGAACAGAAGTGCCGCTCTTGTTGCCAAGGACTTAAGCATGCCGGCCGCCTCGTCTAGACGCCGCATGCGCAACGACATTTTCAATGTTCGATGCTATCTCCATATATCTATGGTCAGAAACCAGTTTTATTTCGGCAACTAGCGCGCAGACAGAGACACACACTTGGACATTGGGTGGCAGCGTTTGAAGCGACAATCCAGCAGCAGCGCCAGGTAAACTAAAGCTCAACGAGATCGTTGACATGTCGCAAAGTGGCGTGCTTTTTATAATTAGCTTGTGAAATACGAAGCATATTTATGAATGGGACGGCTATGACAGCACGTAACGAAAGGAAAAAAGTAGTCAGTCGCGTATGCGAATTTTAATAAATGCGAATTGTTGTTTTAATTATTCAATTTTTTTGTAGCATTCCATAGAACATTGTTTTCATTAGACGTGCCATTACCGTTAGATTGCAAAACAAACATTAAAAATGCCACAGGTCAGTCGCGCAAAGTTCGGGAGTCGGACACGTCTCTATGCACATGGAAATCGAAATGCGCGCGAAATGCAATTGCGTCTTAAAACATTTCGCACACATTACACATACGCCATGAGGGACCAACCCACTTTGATCGGATTTCCGCATGATTATATGAATACTCGAGGCATATGTAATACACTACCTATATGGGGGGCAACATACTCATTAAAAAGAAACTCGACCGAAATTGTGTACTGACCGACACTCGTTAGCTAAAAATACAAAAACGCATGCGCAAAGTTGTTGAAATTATAATTAGAACAGATGGAAACAACAACAAAAAAGCCCACCCGACTCACGATGACGTTTTCGGGCAACTATAAAGAAACACCGTTAAAAAATCAATGTCAGCTGGGCATGGCGTCAATGCTACCTGCATTCTCTTTAGAATGCACGTCGGTGAGAGTGAGCTTGTAGTGAGAGTGAGAGTAAGAGTGCGAAGCCGTGAGAGTGAAAATTATTGTTTACAACTCGACGGCCGATAAACTAAAGCAACAACAAGTGCTGCTGCTGCTTGGCCTTGTGCTTGACGCCGGTTGCAAGTGAAAGCTCAATTCTTAAAATGCAATGGCATAGATGTAGCTTTTAAGCAATTGGTTATGAGCTATGTACATATAGCACATACATACATACATATGTACATACTGGGGATAAACATGGTCCGACTTTTTTTCGCCCGGCACGACACGGCCTTTAAAAACAAACATACGCACGTCAGATTTATCAGAACGATCCGGCAATGTTTTTAAAATAAAACATATGTATGTGTAAAATCAGTAACACTCATAAATGATTAGTAACAATGGCTAATGACATATAACTTTGCAAAATAGCATACGTAAATAGTTTTAGTCTACTCCATTCCTGATTAGAATTAAATTTAAATTTCCGTTATTCGAATTTTGATATGCAATTATTTGAAATTGTCGTGGATGCCGAGTAATGTGTTACAAAACAGGCTAAACCATAGTTTTTATAATTATCAAAAAAAAAAACTCTGATCAATTTTGTTTTGCAATTTTATATCATATATCAAATAGTTAGCTTTGTGTGAATATATTGAGCCAGCAGAAGAATGCGAGTATGCACGAGTATGTATGCATGTATGTTCTTGATCAGTATGACAATGATGATCTCCATTAGTATCGGCCTGTAAGAACGCTGGTATATCGGAAAATATACGAGCTAGACTCACCAAACTTTTTACAATTTTGGAATTTTTTTATTGTGATGCAATTATGTCAAAGCGATTGATTAGTATTTTCCATAGCTGTCGCAAATTTTTGTTTATTCTGTTCCCAAATTTGTATACTTAGAAAAAATTATTGAAATATAACATAAGATTTAAAATTATATGCAATCAATATGTATTTTGGTTTTAAAAATACCCAATGACTCAGATGTGTATTTTGAACATAAGCTATGACTCACATTTTTTTGTTTTGAAATTAATTTGCTGTCCATTTGCTTCTTAATCGGTTGCTGTAACTATGGCTATAGAAAACAAGAAGAAGAGGAGGCCTTCAACCCAGTTTTCATCGTCATAAAATTAATAAGTTGCCTAGGTAACTTATTATCGTTCAGCGAATACTTATAAGCTGTGTTGTTGCTTAGCAACAGAGCAATATAAACGCAATCGGTCAAATTTGTAAGCATGTGCACCTTTCTCTAAGCATGTCGGTGTTGTGCGGGCGATGGCCGCCAAAAAGTGCTTCCCGATTACAGTTTCAAGGTGTATTATGCGTTGTAAGCTTTATCAATAAACTAAGTAGCGAAGCACATGTACTTACAAAATAATAACAATTTTATTATCAATTTAAGATGTACATACATATGTACGTAAGTACTATATACTATGGCAACATATTTGCCTTGTCATGTGATTTTGTTGTGAAGGAAGTGGACGCTAAAACGATGTCACATGCTGACCGCCTAATTATGCTCAGCAAAGCATACTTGTACATATGTACTATATGTATTTCATTTTTAATTTTCGGATGAGATCAGATTGAACTGCTTTGCACCAGCAACGCACCCACAAATCTAATCATTGGCGGGCAGACAGTCATCCAGACAGGCTCTTAAAAAAATCCCTCCCCTCCCATGCTCTGACGTCGATCTCACTCATTCATTCATTAAATAAACCACTAACCGGCTGCTAATCTGCGCATGTGTGGCCAGCTCGCTTACCCTTTGCGCAGGCGCGCGCACACACACGCGCACACGAAGAAACTTGACGACTTAGTTTCTCTTGCTCATCCTTCAGATGCTGCGACTGTGGCGGCAGCTGCTCGCCAATTTGCATGCGTCTTATATAAAGCTAACATCGGCGGAGGGAGCTTTCATTTGTGCTTGCTACTTATCAAGTGACGGTCGGTGTTATAGCGACGACGTCAAAGTCAACGACGGCAAGATCGGCTGCTCCAATCGGGTTTTTGAGCGCGCAAAAATATTATAACAAGTATACGTCGTGTGTGTTTTGCTTTTCTTACTCGTCTAGTGTCAAGCGACAGGTTGTTATAAATATTGCCAAAAAAGGACCTCTGAGAATTCAAAATTTTATTTCCTATTTATTGCAATTTTTGTTGGTGCTTCAAAAATGAGCACTAAGGTGAGTTATGTTATATAGTTTAAGCTTTAAAAATAAAAATAAATAAATTGGACTTATTCAAGCATACATAAGTGGATGATGAAATAAAAATCAAAGTGCAAAAAATATCAATACAGTGTTAAAGCCAGCATGCTCATTAATTCAGTTTTGTGAAATTTGTCTCAATAATTAATACAGTTGAACAATTTGTTAAAAAGTGCAGACAACGACTTTTCGGTTCCTAAAATCGAAGCTCATAAACTGAAAGTTTTATAAATTTAACAAATTTCAAATGTTATCTTGCTGAACAATATGTTGCTTTTTCTAAGCATTTAAACCAAACTTGAATCTTCTGTATTGTTGGGATAGCTTCTTTAACAAACTTATCGAGATTGTTTTAAGCTTAAAACAACACTTATAATAGCTTAAGTATATCCAGTATGCAATGGCAAAATCCTTTGTTGGATGCAGGCACGTTTTACATTATTCCACAGCCTAACTTATTTCCATTAGGTGGGCTGTGAAAAGGGGCTTGTGCCGATCGCAATTCGCACCTTTTACCGTCAGTTGAAACGCCTCTCAATTAACTGCAAGTCTTGGCAGCTAAAAATAAATGATCGTCTGCGCTTTTGTTCTCAGATCGAAGAGATCATCGGGCAAGACCAGCATAATGCACAAACAAATTTGTGTGGGACTTGATGTTTCATTTTTTGGGGCTTGCTAATCAAACTGTTGTTGTTATTGTTGTGTTGCTGTTGGGACCGCAAAATGCGGAAGCATCTACCTGACGCTTATTACATAATTTCCACTTAATTTCTTTATTATTTTGTCGGGGAAGTTTTTGTCATAAAAATAGCAATTAAAAATTCCATTGGGCCACAGCGACTTGCCAATGCGCTCCAATTCACATTCTCTTAGTCATAAGCATGTTAGGCTTCCGTGTGACCCACTTTGTTTCGACCAACATCGCAGATACTGTTGGCACTCAACCAATTGGCCGGCCTGATCGCTTCAAATCGAGACCCAAAACCAGACCCAGATACATAAATGCCAGATGCAGGGTGCATTGTCACACTTGCAATAAATTCTGATTCGGTGCCTTGTCTCAGACTGTTCGATTTATATTTAGGAGGCCGGTTTCAGTTCATTTAAATAAAATACGCTTTCATTTATGCATATTCCTTTCAGTTCAATCTGTGCCGTTGGGCGTTGCTGGCCCTCGTCATTTGCTCCATGCTGGGTGGGGCCCGCGGCTTCTGTTCTCTGGAGAAAATGAAGAAATTCGCCATGGAGGCGTGTGAGCACTTATTTCAACAGGATGAGGGCCGCGAAAAGCGATCCATTGAATATAATCATCATCAAATTAACCGGCTGGGCCGTAAGTATTAATTGAATTCGACCCATTATATCATGCATATAAAGTATTATTTCTGAAAAGTTTCTAACTAAAATATGAATTCAAGATCTAAATCAAAAACGAATTCAATAAAAAAAAAAATTAAAAACAATACTTAAAGTATGTTTGCTTTATTAAATTGTTTTCAATTATTTTTTAGATGCAGAGATCTCATTTTATCGTCTTTATTGAACGAACACTGTTTAAATGCAATTAAAAATATCATATATAAATATCCCAAAATAAAAATGAAACAAAAGATTGCAATAAATAAGGTCACGGAGTCAGTAAACTCCATGCATATGGAATTGCAATCGGAACTGCACGAAACTTAAATATGTAAATGCATATTTAATAAGTTAACAACAATTTTGCATTAACTCAAAACTTAACCGATCTCAAGGCACAAGTTCAAGATGCTTACGTTTTCTCCTCCCTTCATTCTTGATTATTTGCAGACGGCAAACTGTTTAACAAGCATCATTATATACACCGAAGCATATACCCAGAGGGTGGATATCTAAAGGTAAACAAGGATCATTATCGACGTCTCAGTGAGCTGGATGTTGTGCCGCGCTACAAGCCGAAGAAACTGCATCATGAGAAGAAGGAGCGCTTCAAGCGCGATCACTCGACCAGCAGCTACAATAACATACCCTATTGCTGTTTCAATCATTGCGAGGAGAACTTCTTTTGCTGAAGAATGGGACACAGTGAAGCTTGTAGCATACGCTAGTCAGTAACTGCAGCCATCCATAGCTCATAGTTAATTGTACAGTGAAGACGCGCTTACTCTTATAGAGTACCTTATTAGTTGGTAGACAAAAACGAATCAAAACAAGTAAAAAAGCTAAAGTCGGGTGTCCCGACTTTGAAATACTCTGTACATATGTTTACAATAATTATAGAAAATAAAAAAATTAAGAAAATAAAAAAAAAAAATTTGATCGATTTTACCTCTCTCGGTATTCGAACTCACGTAAAGGGTGTATAATTGCACATTTACATAACAATTGCGTCTGTGTGAGTGTATGTATGCCTATGCGCATCAATTCGTGTCTGTGTAAGCATTTTCGCAGTCAACCAAACAGCAACATCAACAACAGCCGCGGGCAGCGCTTGAGCAGCGCTGCAGCAGCGCTGCATCAGCAAATATATTTATGGCTATAACTTCTTGTTAAATCGGTCTATCATAATGAAATTTGGCATACGGACACATAATAACCAACTGGGGGTATTTCCAAAATTTTAGTTCGAAATTCCAAGAATTACGAGAGTTACGATTTGCGGGGTAGAGGGGGGAGGGAGGGGAATTCCAAAATATACATTTTCTGCGTATTCACATAAGGCATCTGGGACTAAAATTTGGTGTTCCTAGGTCTTATAGTCTCCGAGATATAGGCGATTATACGAATGGAAAATCGGGAAAACCCCCATAGGGGGGAAGTGGGGGGGAAAATCAAAAAAATAAAACAAACTCGTATAGAATACACACATAACGCATCTTTGTGCAAAATTTGGTGTCTCTATCTCTTATAGTCTCTGAGATCCAGGTGTTCATACGGACGGACAGACGGACAGACGGACAGACGGACAGACAGGGCTAGATCGACTCGTCTCGTCATGCTGATCAAGAATATATATACTTTGTGGGGTCTGCCACGCCTCCTTCTGCCTGTTACATTTTTCAGCTCCCGCAAACCTAATATACTCTTGTACATTTCATGTACAGAGTATAAACACCACATGTGCCACAATACAAGTATTTATATAATTAGCGGAATACGTATACTAAATATAAAATATAATTTAAAACAAGATAGAACGCTACAGTCGAGCAAGCCCGACAGTAAAATAGCCTGTACTCTCCACAAAAAGGAAAAATTAAAAAAAAAAAAAAATTAAAAAAAAATTAAATTAGTAAAAAAAAATGAATGAATTAATTAATTAAAATAATTAATTTAATTAAATTAGAATACATGTTTATGTTCAGTTTAAACAGCATACATTTACATCACGTACCTATGCGTGTTCATATGCGTGTATGTATGCAGCACAAAGTTGAACAAAAGCAGCAACAACAACAACAGCTGCGGGCAGCGCTGCCGACAGAGCTGCAGGCAGCGCATGAGCAGCGATTTTACTTATGGCTATAAATTTCTTCAGAATTTACCTATCATGATGAAATTTGGCACACGGACACATTAGTACTAACTGGATGTACCTACCAAAATTGATTTTTAAATTCCGAGAATTACGGAAGTTATAAGAAAAAATACGAATTGCGGGGGAGTGGGGGGGTGTATCAGAAAAAATAAACAAACTCGTTCTGCCTAGGGCTTATAGGAACCTTGATACCAATTTTGGTTATCCTAGCTCTTGTACTTACTGAGATCCTTGCGCTCATACAGACAGACGGACAGACGGACAGACGGTCAGACGGACAGACGGACAGACGGACATGGCTATATCGACTCGTCTTCTCATCCTGATCAAGAATATATATACTTTGTGGGGTCTGCCACGCCTCCTTCTGTGTGTTACATACATGCGCACAAAACTAGTATAGCCTTTCACCCTTTGGGTACAGGCTATAAAAATAAATAAATAAATAATGCTCATACTGTAAGCCTGACTCGTACACATTATAAATCACATATATAGAAGACGCCTTTGCAAGTCGGGCACTTGTGCTTCTTACAACTTTCGGTGTTGACCGCCTGCAGTGACTGAAAATAGCTGAGAGTCACTCCCATAATCTCCTGGCGACGTTGCTCCAAGAACTCTCTAGTGAAATCATCGTAGGTAGTCACACAATGCATTAGAATGCGATAAAGCACCGTCTCGGTGCTGACAAAAGTGTGGAGCGAGCTTTCAATGTTGTCCACCTTCTGCTCAATGAAAACACGAGTCATCTGTATCAGAAATTGTGTGGCTGACTCGCTAAAATAATTGGCCAAAGCATTGAGCACATCTGAAAAATTGCCAATGTTCCCAATATGCTGCACAAATTTACAGCCAAACTGACTGGCCATGGCCTCGAGATTCACGTGGAGCTGTCCATTGCTGGTTGTGCTCACAATATTGGGAAGCAAGGAGGCACCCAAAGCACCCACCACAGAAGCACCTTGCAATAGACGTTCGTTGATTTTATGCAGACTGAGCAGCACATCCTGAAAAGGTATGCTGTTAAGGATGCGTACAAAGTCAAATTTTTGACCAGTATCGCCGCCGCTAACTTGCAACTTGCCAGTTTCACGAGATATTCGATCGAAGACTTTTCTATAGGCGGGAAGAAAGGAATAGAATTTAATTAAGCATCTATATATTTCCAAATGCAATCTACCTGGCCTGAGTGCGCAAAGAACTACGCAAGGTGGAGCCGTTGGTTACCTTAGAGGCTATTCTAAAGTTATTAATGGAGTGCGTAAAGATGACCAAATTGGAAGCTATTTGTAGCACATCATAGCTGCTTAATGCCTGATCATCACTGATTTTCTGCAGAATAAACAAACACCAAACACCAACTGAGACCCACATCTTCATTATATACGAAGTCATGCTAATTAGCTTACCAGGTACAGCTCATATACGCCATTTATGACGCCTGTGCCGGAGATGACGATGGATGACACATTAATGCCTTTTACGGCCAATTGAGCTGCTGCATTCACATTCCAGCCTGTTGCAGCCACAGTGGACAACGCTTTTGTGGCTCCCGTGGCGCCCAATCCGACAACACCACCGGCTACGCCCAGCCAGCTGCTGCGGGCATCACTATCCGTTATGGAAGTAGGCTGTCCATGGCGTCGCCGATCGAAGAGTCTCGCCACCGATCGCGCTGTACTATAAGCCACAGTTGCCGCACCCGCCGCCGTGGCCACAATCAGAATGGGTCCAGCCACAGGCACGGCAAGGGCTGCCGCAACCGGCACGCTAGCCACCAAGCCGCCAACGGTGGCTACAGTGTCGCCAGCACTAAGTATTTTATGCTTAATCTGCGAGCATGGCGTCGGGTGCAACATCAACGAAATGGTATCTCCATCTCCGAATGTGTAGACTCCCTGACTAGGCGCTATCATGGTGCCCCTGGGCAGCGTGTTCGCGAAAACAAATTTCGACCAATTCGCATAGACTCGGCCATGCTCATCAATGAAATTCATGCAGCAGCCCTCACTGTTGTCACCGCGCATGCACTTCCTAGTGCGGAAGATCGGATGACAGCTGTAGTTGATGGAGCAAAGTGCCAGTTCCGGATCGGTTTCGGGCGTAACCAGCACATATATAATGGCCGAGAGCAGCATCCGATTTGTGTACTTTCTCTGCAACCACACATTGTCGAAAAGTAGCTGTCGTTGCTTTGCCAGCGCCTTTGAATTCTGAGACTCATTTTCGCATAGCAAGCTAGCGATCTTCTGCTTCAGCACATCACCTTCATCCGGCGCTAGACTAAAGAATAATCAGATCTTGTTAGTTGCCTGGCCATGAATTACATAACCTACGAATCCCAGATGATTTCAGAGCGCAGCCCGCTGCTTAAAGCAAAATCCCGTTGCACCTCGTAAGCTGTGCGTGTCATTTTACAGAAGCTTAAGTAACAAAAATATATACTAATAATACACACAAACAGACACCTAACACATTGACTTCAATTTTAATCGTTGTTTTTTAATGAACGCAAATAGTCCACATAAATGGTGTAAATAAAACGTTAACACTGCCGGTACGTTGCTATGCAACCAAAAACTCCGGCACATACGCACACACTCTCACTCACTCACACAATTGCATGTGGGACGATGTGCAAGAGGGAAATGCATATAAAGTGAGTGGCACTTGTCAGCGAATAAGAAATACTGATATTAAAACTAACAAACGCAAGTTCCATTGAAAATACTTTAAGTTTTATTTGACTTGAATTGAAACTCAAGTAGCATTCGAAAGTCACAGTTCGCGCTCCGACTCAAAAGTCACAGTATCGTAATGAGTAGTTTTGCTCTCGATACCGATGAATGCATGCTATATCATGCATCCCTGGCAATCGGCATCCCTAGTATTTTGTTTATAACTAATGCGCGACACCGACGACCGGACGGCTTTGCAGAGGCTTGAATCATCAATATAATAAATTAATTAAATCTTTTAACTAAAAATACAAGCAAGAGGACCTTAAATGCAATATAACGAGTGCTGGCATAAGTGACGCCTTAAAAGCAGCTCACAGTCTTTACTTAATATATACAAAAAAAATTCAGTGAGTGGTGGTCAACGGTTGGTTGTGTTGTGGTGTCAAATTAATTGGTGGGTGGTGCGGTGGTCGGCAGGAATGTACGGTTAATAGATCGCTCAGAGAATTGTTGTTAAATAGAAATTCGCACTAAACATACACAGAGAGTACACACCCATACAAACAAACAATTGACTTTGGGCCAAGTTCGGAGGCAAAGGTAGTAAGCACACACCTGTTTGTTTATGGCGTCGCGTAAAAATCGTTAAGTTAACAAGTTGCGTGCATTTGTCATCAGTTTACATTTTTTGATAATAATTCAGAATCACAATTTCCGCAATTTACGAGATTTTTCAACCGAAGAACTTCGTCCATTCGAATTCGTTGTGCGGCATATTAAGTGCCGGAAATTATTTATGGCTTCGAATGCACAGCTTGGTAAATTAATTTTAATAATTGCAATTGCCGTTTTCTTCTATTATTTCTTTTGGGTGGCAATTCTACCATTTATGCTGATCGATGAAGGTGAGTGTGGAGCAACAGACTGTGTTATTAATATTTTTAGTTTTTATTAAATAATCTCGCGCATAAACATCTACGTCATCCCAGACCGGCAGTTGCTCGGCTTTTGTGTAGTAATTATTGTTGCTGATTAAATTCGTTTGTGCGACACATGTGGGGCTGCCAAAGACCCTCAGGCAAGGGTGGCGACTAAAAGGGGGCTGCTCAAATCGTTGATGCTGTGAAATCAACATTTGATGTGGTTATTTAAGTCGTGCGCTTTTTATTTGCACTTTACTGTTACCTTGCCGGGCATGACGAAATAAGATTTTAACGCTAAGCCTCTTTAATTTCAAGTGCTCTATGGCTAGTCAAGGTCGTATTACATACACAACTCATAGATGCTCTACGTTTTCCTTTTCAATTGCAGGAAATCCCATTCGCTCGTTCTTTCCGCCATTGAAATACGCCTTCATAGTACCGACAGTATTCGGAGTCATCTTCCTGGGCGGCATAGCCATATTCTCCTTTTATCATATCTGGAGCTTCACCCAAAAATCAACCTCGAAGACGAAGTGTGCTTAGAGGGCGGCGTAGCCGACTCACCAACCCGCATCATCAGAAAGGTCGCAGGCTTATCAAAAACCTTACGACATCTTTCAGCTGCTCAGCACACTTGAAAACATAAACGGACCAGCAACTCTCGACTTGGCAGTAGGCAGGAAAATGCCACAGTGGCTGGTCATCGGTATCTCCGGTGTCACTTGCGGTGGCAAGACGACATTGGCGCAAAGTTTACGTGACTACTTCAAGGGATTGCGTGGCGCGCCTTTGTGGAACACACCCTATACCATTGGCGATGTGCAGCTTGTGTCGCAGGACGATTACTTTCTGCCCGTCGAAGACAGACGTCACAAATGGAATGAGAAATTGAATGCCATTAACTTTGAGCTGATTACATCACTGGACATGAAACAAATGCTTGCGGATATTGCGCACATCATTAAGGGACGGCATCTGGTGCCAGAACCGACAGAGCAACTGGTGGAATACATGCCGGCCACAACAGCCGTCACCTACGCCAATTTCGAGCATTATGCAATGCAATTTCAGCAGCAGTATCAGCAACAATACAGCAATTACCAGCACAACAGCAATGGAAAACTTGGTTATCAATATCAGCCGCCCCAGCACCATCAACAACATCCGCATCAGCATCGACAACATCACCACCATCCTCATCACCAGCAACAGCAGCAACAACAACAACAGCAGCAGGCAGCACACATAATGCGCGTGAATGCACAAATTGCCGCCCAAATGAGGGATAAAAAGATTAATGTACTGCTCATCGAAGGCTTTATGATATTCAATCAACCCGAGCTGCTGGCTTTGTGCAATCTGAAATACCACTTCCACTTGCCCTATGAGAAGTGCTACGAGAGGCGACGAAAACGCACCTACGACCCTCCAGATGTCACCGGTTATTTTGAGCTCTGCGTCTGGCCACACTACGAGTTGAACTTCTCGGAATATCGTGACTGCAAGGACATAACATTCCTCAATGGTGAAATATCCAAGGAGAAGATATTCAAGTTTGTTCTTCAACGCATTGTCCATTATTTCGAGGAGCGCTGCGATGGCAATATGCCATCAGCGAGCAACAATTGCCCACCGCCCCAGAAACTTTTTGGCATGCTGGGCGTTACAATGAGCACCGCGAATAACAACTTGATGCCCAAGACATGCCCCATGGAGCAGTAGTGCCGCTTTATATGGCTTGGCATATACCTATATTGTACAATAAATACCCCCATTTAGATCTAATAATGATTGGAGTACGGTTGAGCATTTGGCAAGTATTTGATAAACTAAAAGGCAGGTTTGAAGGCTTAATTAATTTAAGCCAATCTGTTGCCAAATTCAACATACATCCGATATGTACATTCAGGCATATAGTATACACTCACACATATATAGTATATTACTACATATATTTGCATTAGTTAGTCTTAATGCTATGGTTTAGGTAATTCTGTGGTCATGTTTTCTCTCTATTGAATTATTATACATATATACTGAGAAAAACAAATAGCTAAGATTGTGGTAACTCGCCGCACCTTATCCAATATTTGTGCACGCTCTGCGACCTCCAAAAAGTCCAAAACTATACGAGTTCAAACAGGTAAAAACCTTTCGTCTAAATGAGTGCATACCAATAGATGAACAGATTAAACTTTAGTGATCCATTTAAAAAGTTACCAAAAATAAGAAATTGAATAAAAATGACAATTGAAGATTGTCCAAAAAAAAAATGGTTAAAATATCCCCATTTACCGTGTAAAGAAATATTTATAATATTTGGTAACCGAAAATATTGAAATCTTCATGAAAACTTATCGCACGTTTCATTAAACATTTTGAGATAATGGTTAATATTTTGAGAATTTTAATAATGCCTCATGGAAAATGATTGTGAAATGGGAAAACGGTTCAGGAACTAATTTAGCTGTGCTAAATTTTAAATATGCATCTAAATTGTAACACTATTGGGGTTTATTCTTTTATCATGAATGTAGTAACTCGATAAGAAAACATGAAGTTTTTTGAAAGTTATATACTAACGAGTGCTTTAGTTTTAAATTGGGTACAGGATCGGATAGTAGTCACCGAAATTTATAATGTTCCTGAAAAATTCTTTACTGATTACAATTTTGAAAATCTTTTATGGAATTCCACGTGACACAGTAAATAAAACAACATTCAAAGTTGAATGTTTAAAGCAGTTTTCAGGAGCCTTGTGCACATCATGTAAATAATGTATGTATTATATTTATAACATAAAACTAGATTCTAAGCTAATTTAAAAATGTATTTTTCTTGTGCGAAATAAAACACACATATATACACAAACACATACAGATACACACACATACATATATCCACAAACTCAAAACGAATTGAATTGCAATTTTCATTAATGGATTTATATTTTCTTTGTTTTTTAATATTAGTAAATTTGTTTATTCTTCTATATGTTTAATACCGGCTTATGAGTGCAATATTGAATATTTTACTTTTACATTTTAAAATTTTAAATGGCCTTTTGCCAAAACAACAGTTTTAAAGTATACAGAGAAAAAAACTCCATAAAGAAATAAATATACAAATATATATGATTGCTTAATGTACAGATGCAATATTCAGAAACAGGGTTCCTTTAGTTAGTCGTATTAAAGAGATACTGTTGCTGCGGCCTCATACACGATTTATTGCCGATTTGTTATTGTTAATGAACGAAGTGCTTTGCGCTTGGTATTGGAATCGAGCTCCGACTGCTACTACTTGGATTATCAATATCTTCATCATAATGTCCTTTTTGTAAACTTTTTGCTTAAAATTATGGTAATAACCTTTTGCTTAAATATGTTGCGTATATTATGCGGCGCTACTAAAAGTAAACATTGCCCCTATATTAACGATCGAGTCAAAGCTGCAACGAAAGATAAAATCATTATTATAATACGAGTATAACCATTATTCAATGCAATTTTCTTTTAGTTTTGTACAATTATTAAAACAGAAAAAATAAACTTTCATATTTATAAGAGCAAGCATTGAAATATTTAAAGCGATTAGAACAACATAAACCACTGCGGCCATCACCAGTTATATGCATTAGGATTCATTATGCAACAAATTTTGATATACTTTGGCTAAGTACAGGACAAATGTTTGGTATATGTGTCCTCTCAATTGTGAAAAAAAAGGTATAGGTTTATGTATAATCTAAGTGTGTTTGTTTTTGTTGTTATCCTAATAGTAGTCTGTTTAGAAATACGATGATTAGATATACCATTCCTATTAACACTCACCTAATGCTCTAGAGTGCATCCCAGTCGGTTTGACTGTTGTAGACCTCCTCTTCTAGCCAAATCGCGTAGTTGGCCTTAAAGTAATCTGTCAACTCCACTTTGCGATCCCACCAACCCGAATGGCCAAAAAAGGCGAAATCCGAATGCGTCAGTATCTCATCACTGGGAAAACCGCCCTCGACGCCATAATCATGCAATTGCTGATTGTGGGCATTCGCGCCGCCATTAACACCACCGCCGCCTCCATTGCCGCCGTATCCATTGGTCTCACCAACTCCGCCATTGTTACCGTTACCGGTCACATTCATATTGGATTGCTGAGCGTTTTCTGCATTTTGTGCTGCAGTGCCATTGTTACCACCACCGCCTGCACCACACTTTTGTGTAGCCTCTGGATACCGTCGTAGATTGAAGCGATCCACACAAGCACGGAGCGTGCATTCCTCCGCCTGAAAGTCCCACGGACGCGACTCCAAGTCATTGCCAAAGGCCCAATCATCGTTCAGACGGTGTCGGACTTTGGAGTAAATGGCACTCATGGTTTTCATGTTAGATTTACGCCACTGGCGACCCAAGTATTTGGTCTGCATCTTGAGTAGCTTCAGTACGTAGAGCTGCATCATGGCATGTCGCACTTTCAACGTCTTCTTAAGTATGGGCGCCGATTTGAAGACCACCAACATCATTACTCGCGAGTGCTTCCATTTGATCAGTTTGTTCAATATGCGCAGCAAATTAATGCAGGAGAAGACATTGCGCCATGAGTAAGGCTTGTCGGACATTTCACCACCATAGACAAAACTATCGCCACTCAGATCGGGCTGCTCCCCAATCACACATGAGGGGAAATCCAGTAAAGGTATGGAATTTTTTGTATTCACATACTCGGTTATCGTTTGATTGAAGAACTTCAGCACCAACGGAATGCAATTAGCAAACACGAGATGCTGGGACATGAATTCGAACTGATACACATGATTGATCTTGAAATGCTTCAAATAGAGTAATATTATCGCCGATACAGCCTTTACAATGATCTCCTTGTGTCTGCCCATGTCGACGGTTAATTTTGTCGATTGTGTCGCAGTTAGCGGCATCTTCTTTGGCAGCACATCGGCCATTATGTTGATGCTCTCTGTTTTTGACTTTGAGGTGGGTGATGCCGCCAATAAGACTTTGAGAAGTGCTATCATATACTGCGGTAAATTAGGCAATATGGCCTGATAGAGTACTTCAGCTGGTGTCAGTTTAATTTCATCCTCATGTGTTGAGATCGGATTGCGTGCTATGTCCTCTTCCTTCTTGATTTGCATATCAGCCAGACTGGTGTACATGTGTCGTTGGAGCGTATTAAAACCCTCGTGAATGGGCTGAGGCAGACCTGCTAAGCTCTCGTGGTCACCAATTAGTGAGTAGCCAATGAACTTGTTACGCGAAATATCCAAGAACTGATCAATATCCTTTTGGCGCACCTTTGGAGTCCAGGGGAGTCGTGCCGTGATTTGCACAGGTGCCACAGGAGCAGGCGGTTGTGTCAGATTGGGCTGGTTATTTGGATTCGCTGTGGATGTAGTGGATGCTGTCGCTGTTGTAGACGAGGATGGATCATCAAAGGGTCGATAGTATTGTGAAAGTTCATCCTCGCCATTGTTACCGCTACCATTGTTGCCTGTAGCTCCGCCACCGTTGGAATTGGGGTTGCCTTCATTGCCCGTTAACTCCATATCTATTTGCTCCGGTTCGTCTAGAAAACGTTGCTTCATCAGGGACCGTCTAGAAAAAATGTGGCCAATGAATTATTTCAGGACATCTTAGAAAGCCCATTTTACTCACTTAAAGTTCTTTTTGGGATACTGATTTTCGAGTATATCCGTAGCCGTTGCCGGCGGCGAGCTCGCGCGCATGCATTTAGTGACCTCCAGTGTATCCTCTGTGATTGGTTCCAAGCCGACTTTGATTCGGTACTCGTTCTTGAGATTCTTCAACACATCCATGCCACCGAGACCGAGCAATGACACTTTCCATAAGAGCAGCACAACCTTTTTCATGGGAAACTGGGGCGCAGCACCGCTACAAAATCGCGTAATCATGCCCAACAACTTCACGGCCAGCAACTCTCCGTCCGGCAGCGGACTATTGATCTCCTGCACAAACGCTTCGGCCATATCTTTGTAATCTTCACTTGCCTTTTCACGTTCATTTCGTATTGTCTCGGTTATAATGTACAGTACCGACAGGATGACACGTATATCCGTTGAGTCCACCAGCGTTACATTCGTTATCTTCACGGCCACAATGTCCGGCGAACATGCGCTTTCAATTTCCATATTGAGCAAATCAATAAAGGACGAGAACACTCCAAGCTGGTACAGCACAATCACGTTTTCCCGCGTATTCTGATGTTGCTCCTCATCAGACTGAACCTCGGCCCAGCAGCCTTGCGCCAAATATAATATACAACGGGCGGCTTGCATCCGAAACGCTCGATTAGAAACCTCTAGCTGATCAATCAGTTTCATCACAATGCTGCGTTGGGAGGCAGCATCCTGTTTCTGCCAGTTTGGTGGCAAGTCATACAGCTCCATTTGGTCCTCAAAAGCCTTAACATTCATCTGGAATTCGCTGAATTCCGTGTAGCTATAAAGCTCGGCAATCTCATTTTGGTAGCTATCCACGTCAGCGTACACAAAATCCAGGTCTGGTCCATCGCAGTTGGCATCTACGTCGTGCGTGTCCTGCTCAAAGGAGTTGTTGATGGATGAGAGCATCATTTAGAGGCTGTTTTTGTGTCGAAGTTGCGTGGGTGTCTATATATATGTCTGTAAGAGCTATATGTATGTAAATGTGTATCCTTTTGGCAGTGGTGGGCCCCTGTCGGCGCCTGCAGCTCCCACAACTACTACTCCTATTTGGAGGGGCACCGCTGCGAAAGACGTGCCTTGGTCACTACACTTTGCTTAAAAGCTCATAATACTATTTTATTCTTAAGAACAGCTGCATTTTTACTGCGAACTTTATACACTCGTAATTAATCCACAAAGAGCGAAAAACAAGGGCTGGGACGACGGCAAATGTTGCCAACACATATCGATGCTTTAATTACACTGTATCACTATTTCGGTATCGATATTCGTTGTTTTTAATTTCATACTTGCCTGCATCAGATTGTGGTCACACTGTTTTGTACTATGAATTACATGAAACGACGTTACCAAATTACCTTGTTTTGTGTGGTAAATATTTTTTTAATAATATTTTCCATCGGGATAACAGACTACTTTTGGGGTAGAAAATGCACACACTTGCTTACATTCGTAAGTTCAAATCAAGTCACTGGAGTATATACAAGTAAGCGAAATTTTAATTTCGACCATTATATGCATCCGGGTTATCTTAATTATTGGGTGATCACACTGTCACAATGTTGCCATACTTCGTACTAATGTGTGCTGCCAACGGTGCTTTTGTAGGTTTTTAATGAATACCGGCGCTAGGCTCATATTAATTACACATATATATAATTGGAATTATGATTCCATTTATTTAGAACTATTTTTTATATACACATATTTCGTTTCAGCCCGTGTGCGTGCGTGTTTTTATAAACCTATTTCGTTGCCGTGCCGAGCCGGAAAACGCAGGCAATGCCCATCTCTAGTTGCAACTTTTATACCAAGTACTTTGATTTGACATATGGTCACACTCTTCCGACCCCTGTTTTGAGTATTTATTCGCCTTTTTCTTTGCGCCGGCCGCAGTACTTTTTGTGAATTCTATCAAAACTGGTGATTGGAATATAAAGTAAGCGAGAAAGTTCGACCATTAGTCATAAATATACGAGATTATGTCAATTATTGGGTGATTACACCTGACCCTATGCTGTTGAACTTTGTACAGGTGTTTGTGTGTGGCTTATCACCATGAGCTTGCAGTTTTTTACTTAATACCGGCGCTAGTTTCATATCAAAAATATATTCTGTTCTTCGCCATTATATACGAGTATATTTATATATTCCATTGTATATTATCAGAATTATACATAACTTATTGTGAAATTACCAATCCACGATCAAAAGAAAAATGGCTGGTCGTTCACTTATCCACTTTGTGTTCGGCGCACTGGCCACAGCCTTGGGCACATACATCTACTTAACTATGCAAGTAATTACACATTTGTTCAATTATTTACGTTGCCTGCTTCAATTACATATAGCTCATACATTTGCATGTCTAGTGTCGTCGCTGATAAGCTAATTTTAATTTGAATCTACTATTATGGTAATGGGAAAAGGACCGACAGGCTTTACCAACCTGTGGGTGGCCCTCGCCTCTGATTTGACCTTGGTCAATAATACATTGGTTGGCGCACGCAGCGAGCGCCGAGCTGTCGATTCGGGTTGCTTCTATTATAAAATGACTGATAATGACTTTGCTCAACTAAACTAATTGCAGCAAATTACACGAATCTGAATCACGAATATGAATCTCAAACATTTCCAAAGCATTTCGCACCAGGCGTTCAGACATTGCAGTCGTTCACTCGCAGCCAGTGAAGTTTTTACTGCGCAACAAACAACGCCATTGAGTCAAAATCGTCGTCGGTATTGCGCTGTACTCTTGCCGCTATTCACAGTTAGTTGTGCGGCCGGCGCTGAACCGAAAGTGGCGAAGTCCCAGTACTCCACAACTGCCGTGAGTAGTGCTGTGCAGTAAAGTCTTAATTGATTAATGCTAATGAATATATATGTATATTTGTTTCGGCCCTCTGCATCACTAACACTTTGTGCCAACTTTTTGTTCGACGCATTTTCTGTCTGTGTCTCAATCCTAAACCCAAACTCAACCACCTGCTACTTCCAGCTCGACATGTCGACAGGTGATTATAAGAACGCGTCGACCATTTACGAATTCAGCGTTAAGGATACGCATGGTAATGACGTAGCGCTCGAGAAGTATCGCGGAAAGGTTGTGCTCATTGTGAACATTGCCTCCAAGTGTGGATTAACCAAAAACAACTACCAGAAACTTACCGACCTGAAGGAAAAGTATGGTGAGCGTGGATTGCAAATTTTGAATTTCCCATGCAATCAGTTTGGCTCACAAATGCCCGAGGCTGATGGTGAGGCTATGGTTTGCCATCTCCGTGATGCCAAGGCTGATATCGGCGAGGTGTTTGCAAAGGTAAAATTGTGTGCAGTGATGTCTGATGAAGCTCATTAAAACTGATTTTCTTTTTCTACAGATCGATGTGAATGGGGATAAAGCTGACCCGCTCTATAAGTTCTTAAAGGCTAAGCAAACTGGGACTTTGGGCAGCGGCATTAAATGGAACTTCACCAAGTTTCTGATCAACAAGGATGGCGTGCCGGTCGACCGTTATGCGCCCACCACTGATCCCATGGACATTGGCAAAGACATCGAGAAGCTGCTTTAGATAGCATCTATCGCACACTCTAGTTTTAGACTCGTGCTTTATGATATGCATTTTTGTGCATCATGCAAAAGGAATATTTATCTTATGGCGTTCTAGCATTAAGCTTGGTATGAAGACTATATCTTATAAACTAGTCGTGTAGCCTAGCAAACATACTCTGCATGTTTATATTTCGATAATCATGTCATCATATTTAAAAAATGTTTCAGATTATAATCAATATCTATGCGAAATAAAAATCGTTGTGGTTTCTCCACAAGTTCGAATTGATTCCGCTTCTACTCATTGGCTATGCATGACATACCCATTACGTTCATTGACTCGGGTGTGGCTTTTGGTCACTCACCTCCATTATGGACTGTCGCGCCTGCCGATAACGCTTGGCCAGCGATACAACGTTCATCACTACATCATAGCTTTGATTGTTTCGTGATCGCACCAGCTTGTAGGTATCACTGTGATCGCAAAAATTTTGCCAGGACATTCTGATTGCCTACGCTTCTGCGATTGTTGCTGCTAATGTTTTCGCGCAACAAAAAAACTTTGAGAATGCATGTATACAAAATGTATTTTTAACTTTTATGTTATGTTTGTAAAATTTGGCCCAAAGTGTCTGAAATAAGAAAATGTGATGTCTGACAAAAATATTATTTTCAAAACCAACAAAAAGTAACTGAAAATTTTCACTTGCTAGTTTGTATAAAAGAAAAACTTAAGAAAAACGCAACGAGATTTCTTAGTTATAAGACTTATTGAGTTTTTTGCCCATTATTTAATAATTCCAAGAACACCCTTCGCTTATTAACGATAGTGGAGATAAGGCTGAAACTCAATTTGGGATTAAAGGGTCTTCGACTCAAAATATGTATATGTCGAAATGGGAAATTGTCAATCGTATAAATAACTAGATGTGGTCTGGAGCGTAAAAAATCATAATCTTTAGAGCAATGGTCAGATCATCCTGCAGATATGTGAATATGATGAAGAGGATCTTCATACGAAGGGGCCAAGATGACTAACTTGAAAAATGTCAGAAGGTAAGTGAACAGGTTTAGTTATTCATATTTGACCTGAGTAATACCTTATCAGTACTATTCTTTAATCATAAGGAAATATAATTTCAAAAAACAATTCAAACAAAAAATTAAGTCAATCAGGGTACATGTACATACATAACCTCAGCTTGCATATTTGCCAGGAATGTATCATTTTTCAAGAATGTAAATTCCAGCAGATTAGTCGTTGGTTACCGATTTTTACAAATCCAAGGTACATAGATTAAATACTTATAAATACATATGTACATACATACATATGTATGTATGTACATATGTATGTAAAGTAGAAGCATGTCACTCATTGTTTTCAATAATTTAGGAAAGACAGATAAGAGATTCTTTTCGGATAGCAGGGAAAACACATAAAAAAGCTTCTGCAACAGACGGAAATCAGTATACATTTATATTTACATATGTATGTATATCCATACTCAATGTTCTTGGTATGGACATAGGTTGCAACTAGCGATGGACATAGCCCGGCATAAGAACGAATGGATAAAAGCCGGCGCACACCCATCTCTAGTTGCAACATGTATGTCCACAGATTTGCCAAATGGTCACACTTTTACCGCCCTCGTTAGTATTTATTCGCGTTTTTCTTTGCCATGGCCGTAGTACTATTGTGAGTTCTAACAAAACAAGTCATTAGAAAGTAACGGTAAGTAAGTGACGGTTGCTGTTCGAGCATTAGCCATAAATATCCGACTTAATTATTGTTAATTTGCATGTATAAAGTAATCGCGCGAAGGCTTCTTTTATTTTAATCTACTATCGTGGTAATAGAGAAAAGGCCGGCAGGGATGACCAACTGTGGCCCAACAATATTCTTTTATTGCAAGTGCGCACTTGCTGCTGATTTGGCCTTGACCTTGGTCAATAATTCATTGGTTGGCGTACACGGCGAGCGCCGAGTTGTCCATTCGATTTCTGAATAATACCATAATAATGACATAATGACTTTGCTCAACTAAACTAATTGCAGAGAAATTACACGAATCTGAATCACGAATATGAATCTCAAACATTTCCAAAGCATTTCGCACCAGGCGTTCAGATATTGCAGTCGTTCACTCGCAGCCAGTGAAGTTTTTACTGCGCAACAAACAACGCAATTGAGTCAACATCGTCGTCGGTATTGCGCTGTACTTTTGCCGCTATTCACAGTTAGTTGTGCGGCCGGCGCTGAACCGAAAGTGGCGAAGTCCCAGTACTCCACAACTGCCGTGAGTAGTGCTGTGCAGTAAAGTCTAAATTGATTAATTATAATGATTGTACATGCATACATATTTGTTTTGGCCCTGTGCATTACTAATACTTTTTGGCAGCTTGGTCTTCGACGTATTTTCTATTTGTCCTTCAATTCTAAATCCGAACTCAACCACCTGCTATTTTCAGCTCGACATGTCGACAAACGATTATAAGAACGCGTCGACCATTTATGAATTCAGCGCTAAGGACACGCACGGTAATGACGTGGCACTCGAGAAGTATCGCGGAAATGTGGTGCTCATTGTGAACATCGCCTCTAAGTGTGGATTAACCAAAACCAACTACCAGAAACTCACCGACTTGAAGGAGAAGTATGGTGAGCGTGGATTGCACATTTTGAATTTCCCATGCAATCAGTTTGGCTCGGGAATGCCTGAGGCTGATGGTGAGGACACGGTTTGCCATCTCCGTGATGCCAAGGCCGATATCGGCGAGGTGTTTGCAAAGGTGAAGTGGTCTTCAATGATGTCTGATGAAGCTCATTAGAACCGATTTTCTTTTCCTACAGATCGATGTGAATGGCGATGAAGCTGACCCACTCTACAAGTTCTTAAAGGCTAAGCAAACTGGCATTTTGGGCAGCGGCATCAAATGGAACTTCACCAAGTTTCTGATCAACAAGGATGGCGTGCCGGTCGACCGTTATGCGCCCACAACTGATCCTTTGGACATTGGCAAGGACATCGAGAAGCTGCTTTAGATAGCACCTATCGCACTCTCTAGTTTTATAGTCATACTTTATGATATGCATTTCTGTGCATCATGCAAAAGGAATATTTTTGTATTGCATATTGCATATTTTGTCGTTCTAGCATATAGTTTGGTATAAAGACTATATCTTATAAACTAGTCGTGTAGCTTAGCTGATTCTGATTATTATCTTTTACTATTCCTATGCGAAATAAAAACCGTTGTGATTTCCCCACATATTCAAGCTGATGCCGCTACTACTTATTTGCTATGCATGACATACCTATATGTATTGTATATGTATTGAGTCGAGTGTGGCTTTTGGTCACTCACCTCCATTATGGACTGTTGCGCCTGCCGATAACGCTTGGCCACCGATACAACGTTCATCACTACATCATAGCCTTGATTGTTTCGTGATCGCACCAGCTTGTAGGTATCACTGTGATCGCAAAAATGTTGCCAGGCCATAAAGGCTGCCTGCGCTTCTGCGATGGGTATAAAAGTATTTTTTAGCTTTTATGTTAACTAAGTTTTTGCAATTTACCAAAATATGTCTGGAATTAGGAATGTTATGTCTGACAAAAAACGTATTTTTAAAACAAAAGAAAAGTATAGAATTTTTTGTATTCGAGTAGTTTTATTTTTAATTTTTATTGAAGATATTACAGTTTATCTCAATGCGTTATCCCTAAAAATGACAGGTAAGAGTGCCAACAAAGCTCAAGCGTGTGGTCTAGATGTGCTCTGAAAATATATGCATTTAGTTGATACACCACTGACATTAATTATTATCATTTTTATTTATTACCTCAGGAATGCTGAAAAGTATTTGGAAGTGCTGGATAACAGTCCAAGACATTGGGGCCACTACTATCTGCCACCCAGGCGAGCTTTTTACCATTCTTATTGAAGGCCACGTCCCATAGTGGTTTCTTTCCGCCCAAGGCAAATGTAAAATGGCTCTTATTATAGCGACTATCCCAGAGCTTCACATCTCCATTGTGATCTGCGCTAACAAAATGGCGTCCATTCGGTGAATAATCTACAGATATGACTTTTGTTTTGTGCCCCATAAGACTATCTAGCAGACATCCACTTAAAACCTCGAATAGCTTCACAGTCCCATCATCGCATGCGGCTACCAATTGATAATCTTGGGGATGAAAGCAAATACGTCGCATAGGCTTCTGCACACAAGCCTTTCCCGTAATTTTTCCGGTTGCAGCATCGAAAACTGTGAGGTTGCCTTCGTAGTCAGTGGCTGCAACAAAACAATCATCCTTGCTTATGGCCAATCCAATTAGTGTTCCACACTGCTTCGTATCATAGCTGTATAGTAACTGGCCCGACTCCGTGCCGTATTTATAGACTTTTCCGTAACCTGAGCCAGCGAACACGCAGTTGTCGTCTTTGCCAAAAGCAGTCGACCAAATATTCGATACAAAGTTATGCGACACATTAGCAATCTTCACTCCATTCACCACATCCAGTAAGGTGAGAATACCATCCAATGAGACGGCGGATATAGTCGAGTTGTTCGGGCTCAATGCCACATTGTGTATTCCCATGTTGGGGACTACGTGCGCATATTTGCGATTCAGGTTATCTTTCTCAAAGTTCAAGAGATACGAGATAACTAGCTCTTGTTTCTCGCTGCCCGAAATTATAAATTCCGAGAACAATCCAAGTTCATCGCTATCATCGGCATATGTTGAATCATCATTATTTAACTTTCTACTTAGCGGCATCTGTGAGCCCAGCATACGTTCTCCCCAAACGCAACAGCACATGTTCTGGGACGTATTCTCTGCATGGGCCATATTGGTATGTTCGATTTCTCTCTTCTTTTTTTTTTGGAGGGCTGTTTATTCTTGTAGCTATTGTTATCATTAATAATTAATTTTCCAATTGAAAAACTAAAGTCAAAGTTCTGTATTCTTACCTTTCAAGAGTCTGAATTGTGACAAGAAAGCACAAAAGTGTGATTGCCAATATACCTGTGTTGTAAAGTTCAATCGTAAAGCGAGTTATTGTATCGATAAAATAAAGTGACCCATTAAAGAACACTCTATCATTGTTCTAAGGTTAAAAGAAAATCAATTTTTATCTTAAATTCTATTTTATCTCACATTTAATACATTTAACTATATTTGAATAGTTCATAAATTGTGTTTTTCTATGATGAAATGAATTATTGAGATATGAAAATGAGGGAGAAACATTTTGATCTTAGTTTAAAAATGGTGTACGAAAAAGTAAAAGACGTAAAGCCGATTACACTTGTGCGTCTTCAATATGCAACGTACATTATTTATGATATGTATTACATTAAAATCAGATATCAAAGATTATCTTTCTGGCTTACTGACATCGTCAGCAACTCTTAAACTATTTGATAGCTTTACGACGATTACTTTCAAAACCGGATTGTAATTTAAAAACAAGACTTTTATAGTTAATCATAATAATTTTGATATTACTAATAGGTTGCCAACCAATATGGTCGCGCACCCCTCAACTTTAGAGATTATATTTTCTGTGTCTATTTCGAAGAAACTACAAAGAACATTCAACAGACTGTATTAACGTAGGTTCAAGTTGGTACAAACTAGACAGCTGCATGACTTCACTCATAAGGTACGTTGAAAAGAATCGAATTGAATTGAGTTGGGTAAGTGGAACATTGAAAATGAAATGAATTTATATGAATAGAGTTAGAATAAATTAAACGTAAAACGGAATAAAACAATTGACATATCGAAAAACATTCGATTTATTCGAGTTACTCTACTCTAGTTATTGTAAAATCTGCTCACTTTGGTCCGATGGGCCGATAAAGGCTGAAATTGAGGAATATAAAGCCTTTGGATATGCCATCACCAGTGATATATGGATAGATAATTATTTAAAAGCGTCGTATTTGTCCTGTACAATTCATTATATAAAGGAGGGAGTTCCTCTGTTGTATAAAACTAGCTGCAAAATATTTTGCATTCCAGCCAGTAGCGTGGCTTCGGAACGCACATTTTCAAACGCTAGAAATTTAATAACAGAAAAATGTTGTCTATTAGCCACCAATCCTGACAAAATTAACCAGATAATGTTTTTAAATTCTAATATAAAATAAATATGTTGTTATGTTAGTAATAAGTAATATAAATATCAACCATTTTATTGACTACAGTTTTTCTTTCTTCTTTACCGGTTTGTCATTCGAATCATTCGAAAACTACGTCTCAGTTTTTCGTATTCTCACTCCATTCAATTCGTTTTTCTACGTTTCGACTGAGTTGTACGTGTGTCAGTTTGCCTTTGCATTCTAATTCACTCAACTCATTTTGAGCATTTTGCATTCGAATGTGTTTTTTTTTTGCCATTCATGCAGCTGTCTACTACAAACATCATTTAAAAGCGAGCTGTTGTTTCTGATTTCAATTGTCATTGTGATATTATTTACTATTGGAGTATTGGAATAGTTGGCGGTGCACAAGTTTTTACCATAAAGAATTATTCAGACGGTTCTTGAATTAAATTCTTGATTTAATCAGAATAAACTTAAGAAATAAAATCAACGAAGCAACTTTTCACAAATATAAATGGAAAGGTTGTTAAGAATTTGAAATGGTTTTCATTTGAAATTCTCGGGGCTATTCATGCACTCTAATTGTTAGAATGATAACACTTTAAAAACAAATACATATACTTGGATATGTAGATTTGCGAATATATATATTCTCCAGATTGTATACAATCCTTTCTGCAGGGGCATTAAAAGTCGACAAAGCACACAAAGCAACTCCCACGAACAATCGCTTTCATTTGATTTGCTAATAAGTTGAGCTTATCATAAAGTTATCTTCCATCCTAATCGAGCAAGCGAACGAGCGCTTACCTTACCTTCTTTTGCATTTTGTCAATTCTCGTCTTCAACTTCAAAGACATGGCGCAACTATGCCTGACCACCACCAGTCCACTGTCTGGTCGATCAGAGCAATAGTAGTATTATTCGTAGATGGCAGATGCAGCACAACATATCGGTGTATGCGGGGCACGCCATTTTAAGTGCCCACAACAAATTGCCAAAATGCATGCTATGAATGCAGTGCAACGTTTCATTTACAAATCGAGCAGAATGCTGCCTACTAAATGCGCAAATTTCAAGTTCAAATCGCAATTGCGAAGCGACCGAATCGCATATCGCTCATACGCCATGTAGTGTCGACCTTCCGACAATTACGCGAAAATGTTGCACGAGCCAATTACGTCAAGCGACGCCGCTCAGGCTGGCACTTTTTTGGCAATTAAAATACTCGGGCATGCGTGTGGCACAAGCATCTGACGATGACAAGCAAGTGGCAGCATCTAAGCAACATTTGTTGGGGCTGGGGCACAAAAAAGTGTCAACAATGACAACAATTTGTTGAGTTCATCATTCAACGACATCGAAATCAAAATCGGTGTTCTACTGTGATGAAATTCCCAATATTGCGTTACAAAAATCAATAAGTATGTAATAGCTTGGTTACTTTTTACGAATTAGTTAACTACCCCCATCGATAGATAACGCTCAGTTATGAGGGGTTATCTAATCTAAACCACCATAGTACATACACACCTAAAGAATGTGTGAACAAAAATGTGTTTTCGGCAACGTCACCTCCATATTTTCACATTCTGTGAAGTAAAAAGAGTGATTTCAGAATGACAAGTACTTATGTATAAAAAAACATACGAAATCGACTGAAAAGTTGCTGATTCAGCCTAAGGTTAAGGTTGAGAAAAAGCCTTATTTCCAAAACCCACAAAGATGATTTAATATTTAGATTCCCTTCGGGTGTTTAGTATAAAAAATATGTTTCTATGATTTCCTAACTCTTGGAAACGGTGGGATTCTTCTTCAGTCTGCTAAATCAGTCGGCATTTAAAAATATTATTGTAGAGGATCTTTCAGTCTTTAAACCTAACTTGAACTCGTCGCATTTCGCTGACGATTACTTTATTGACGCCAGTCTTTGACTTATGATGAATATTGAAGATACGTATACATAAATCAAGTAACTATACACTTTTAGCGGGCAATGGAAAATGGATGCTTTACTGAATTAATTCCATTAAAGCTAATAACTAAGAAAATTCAAGAAGCACTTCTTCAAATATTTTACGAATAGTAGGAATATCTAGGTAATGTTAACAATTTAACATCAGTGAGCCACTGTGCGTTCGTTGATCGTGAATCGACGCGTCGATTGCATTTTGTTTAACATGCCTTTAATTGTAGAACTGGGGCAAGCATCTCGTCCCTAAACAGGGTGTTTAGCTGAGAATTCGCGATGACATCGGCCGGTCGGTTAGCAGTCGTTTAGTGTCTATGGCCGTTGACACTGACACTGATCGTCATATTCCCAAATTCGTGACATTTTCAAGCGTATAAATAATTGCGCGCATGCGTCGTTTTCAATCAGACGGCAACGAAGCGCGTAACGTCAAAGCACCTGCGAAACGAAGGCGTGTGAGTGAGCGATCAAGTGAGTGGGGACCAAAGGATCAGCAAGGATGAGTCGCATGCTGCTATTGTTGCTGCTAGTCGGCTCCAGCTATGCGGCCACACATGTGAATATTACGATAGCCCAGCAGCCAGTCACAAATCCGGCCGATGTCAGCTATGTGGAGGGACGGGCGCCGGCCGAACTGCGAGCAGGTCCTTGGCGGGAAGGCGAGGAGCGTTTGGCACGCCTCAGACAGCCTGATCAGATGTCTGAATCACAACAGCAGCAACAGCAATCGCAGCAGCAACAGCTATCGTCGCAGCAGCAGCAACAGTCACAGCAGCAGTTGACGCCACGTCAGGGTCTGGGTCTTCAGCCATCCAATAACAACAACAACAATGTGCGTATGTCTCGTCCCAATATGCGTCGCGTGCACATGCGTCGACCCTCCACACAACAGCAGCAACAACAACTCTTGCCACCCAATAAGGGACAATTCCGTCAGCGCAGCCAACAGCGTCAGCAGAATCAGGAATTTGAACGCTACATACAGTCTTATCACAGCCACGGACCCACCGTTGAAACTGTAAGTATGTAAGAAGATGGGAGAATATTGGTGGAGAATACCTATATCGGGTTGGTTGAGAGGGGTGGTAAAAGGGAAACACTATACATTCCGAAATTCCTGAGTATTATATGGTATTGTCCGTTGCGTTGAAAGTGCCGGCGCATTTTTAGCCCACTCTTTTATCTTTCTTCTTAGTGTTATAGTAATGCGGAAGCATAATCTGCTTTCTTATTCTAAATCAAACCAAATACATATGTTTTTTATCCTTTAATAATCTTTTCCAATTTAAACTATATAATTATTCAGTTACACTTATAAAACCTTTCCCCAATTATTCTTCACCCTTAAAATATATGCCAATATTTGATTGGAAATCATATTTTAAAGTTTATTATAAATTGGGATGTCAATCACAATTTTATTTTTATCAAATCAAGGTCTATGAAACTTCCAACCCCGCACCACAGCGTTACACGCAATCGAGCAGTTCGTTCTCTTCGTCCTCGTCATCATCTTCGCCTTCTTCTGAAGACAGTAAGCCACAACGTCTTGTATCAATTGGCAATCGAGCCAAGTTTACACAGACTTTTGAGCGTCAAGTGGCATTACCAGCGGCCCAAAACAGTCAACCAATATCAAGTTCGAATGTGGCGCAGAGCGCAAATGTAGAGCAGGATATCAAACCAATCTATGAGCCACAGGTGCCCGTCCAAAGCGCTACAGTTTCTCCTTCGATGAGCTCTGCAAATGTTGGCGCTCTGCCTGCTACTGCTCCTCTGCCTAGCGACAGCAAAGCTGGTGGTTTCGATAGCAGCACCAGTTACAATCCTGTGGGCTCCTCTAACTACAATCCTGCCGGCTCCTCCAACTACAATCCGCCAGCACCATCCAGCTTCGATGCAGCCACTACCTATAACAAGCCCGGCTACGAGCCAAGTAGCTACAACTATGACGATGGACAGGACTATCAGGACCAGTATCCACCGTCTGTGGATGCCGACAGCTCAAATTACGATGACTATGGGGATCAACCGAGCTATCAGGGAGGTTCGGGTTACTTGCCGCCACCAGCACAACGTGGCTATTCACCCCCTCGTCCGCTGGTTACAAAAACCATTCAAATTGTGCAGCCAGCACTGAAGGCTAAGAAATATGAGGTGCGTCATCCGGCCATACAAAAAGAGTTCTACGACATTGAGGAGCGTGTGGTCATTAAGCCGGCGGGCACTTTGGTGGTAGAGCTAGATCGGCCAGTGGCGAAAATACCAAAGGGGGAGACGTTGTTGCCGCTGGGCCATCCACATCCTGCGGTTGCTAGTGCCTATAATACGAACACACAGATCGGTAGCTACAACAATAACAATAATGAGTATCGACCATTGTATGATGCGCCTTCATCCAAGGAGCAATCACAAACGAGCACCACTGTTGGTTCCGCAGTGACCACAATGCCCGCTTACGATCAGGTGACCAAAAACGAGTTCGTGGACTCACAGTTGCAGCAACAACAACCTGGCAGCTATGCCGATGAGACAGACTCTGGCCGAAAGTCCAAAGAGCAAAGTTTCCTAACCGCCAGCGATGGCAATGGTAATCAGTATCAAATAAACACCAAAAACTTAACTCCCAATATGCTGAAGCGCCCGGAGGAGGCTGAGTACGTGGGCTATCCCAGCAAGTCCGTAGAACAGCCGCCCAATGAGTCCAACTATGAACGCCAGCCACTGCCGCCACGCAACTATCAACGCAACTACAATCGCCAGCCCTATAACAATGAAGATTACTTCAGTGGCGAGTTTCTACCCAATGCTAATGCCGGCAATGTAGACGCCAAGCCGGCGCGTCTGCAACAAGCAGCTGTTCAGGAGCAGCCCCGTCCGCAGATCATTAAGCACGAACACAATATCCGTTTGCCTCCTTCCCAACACAACATCTACTTGGGACGCAGCCGGCAGGTGCCCAAGGAGCTGCGTATTGGCAGCACAGCCACCTCCAGTGAGCAGGAAGTGCCCGCTCAGGTGGCAGAGGTACGTCCCTATTTGCGCAATCATGTGGGAGGAACTGTGGTGTACGCCAAGGCAGCTGTACGTCCCGCAGTTGCCAATAATATGCGAGGCTATTTCCCCCCATCCTCACGCTATCGCAATCCCTTAGCCGAGGAATTGGAGTATAGCGCACCCTATGCCCGCATGCGATACGTTCCGGAAGAATCGGGTAAGCTTGTCGAACTGCCAGCAGATAAGAAAATTGAGGAGTCAGAGAAGAGAACTACTGAAGAGTCGGGCAAGACACACATTCAAATCCAAATACCTAATCGTAATGAGCAGGACAAGCCCATTATAGTGGCCTCGACAATTAGTCCAGCAGTTGACAAGCCCGATTGTGATAAGCGGGAATCGCAGGAGCAACAGGAACAATTCCAGCGTCTGGTTGAAGTGTCAAATTCTGTCCCTACCACACAAGCCACGCCTACGCCAGTAGCTCAGCAGTCCCCCAAAGTTGACGTCTCAGTCAAGAGCGCCGCTGGTCACATGACGCCCAATGAGCGCGTCATTGCCGCCACACCTGCGCCCACAGATGCAGCCGCCACTAGCGAAACCTTCCACAAGCGTCGCATTGTCGTCAACCATCCATTCCAGACGGTGCGCGAGGTGGTGGAGCATGAGCCCATTACCAACTACCATCAGATACAGGTTAATGAGCCGGCCACGCCTGCGCTGTATCATCAGGCCGCCTACTATCAGCCACCAGTGCAAACCCATGGAAATCTGGTGCACTACCAAAGCACCTCCACACATGGCAATCTCTATGCAGCCCCTGTGCCTCATCTACACTACGGCTAGAACGAAACATCCGAATCTGAACCCTCGAAAATGGATCAACACTGCATTTCTTGTTCGTTTTTGTTAAACTTGTTTTAGTATTAGCTTAGAAACCAATCCCCAATCAGCGGTGGAAGGGCCCTTCCCGATTTTTTGTTAACTTAATTCTTATCCTGATAAATATTTATGCTAAGCGCTATTTTATTTGCCATTAATAAAATGCATACAAAATGCGACAAGTGAAAATCAAGAGAGAATGCTACAGTCAAGCAAGACCGACAAAAACACATCCGGCATCGAGTTATATACGCCCATAGAAGAAGAAAAAAGAAGTGCGAACTCGATGCAACGTGGTCCCTCATCCCAAATCAAAAAAATAAAATAAGAGAGTTTACACACCTAGATTGGTTAATGTGGGGTCAACCGTCTCCGAAATACAGGGGTTCATCCATGCAGACGGACGTGGCTACTCTATACTTTATAGCTAGAGATTAGGGGAGTCCATATGCTGAAATGAAATAAGAAATGCATCCTTCTGTCTCTAAAATAGGCCTATACTTGTACATATATCCATTTGTGCTTGTTATGGGAGAAGGAAAATACCTCGTAAGCAATGTATCGAACTGTTTCCATCAATAGAATCTGAACGCCGACGTATCTGAATCTGAGCATCTCCAAACTAAGATCTGCATTCCAAAACCAAGTTTTACTACGTACACTAGCATATAATGTTTGAAACTCTAGTGCTTCCTTGCTTTTGAAGATTCTAAAGACTACTATTATTATTATTTCAACCATAATATTATTGGATATATAACTTAGATTTTGTTTTCAACCAAAAAGAACATCATACTCTATTTTCACATATAATGCATATATTTATTATTGATTTTTTTGTTTTACGAAAATTAAATTTAAGCATACAACGAACAAACTTACAGTAACATTTTATAATGCAATTAAAACATTGACTTTATATAATAGAATTTCCTCGTTCTTGTAAACTTTTTGCATAGTTTTAAGTAGACATTTTAAAAATAATTGCAAATATTTGATTTATTTTGTTTTTGCTTGTTTTTTCTTTAAGTATTTATATTGATTTGTAGCGAGTGCCCGCAATGGTTACAAATTAATTATTTTTATTTATATATATATATATTTATAAAAATACAAAAACAATTACTCCTGCTGCTCGCAAACGTTGTCCAAAGGGTACTTCGTTTTTTTTCTACTGTGGCGGCGTTTGGCTCGATCGGCGTTTGTCTTTTTCCTTCTCTTTCTCCTTGTCGCCCTTACGTCCAAAGATCCGGAACATGCCACTGCGGCGTTCCTCTTTGCTTTTGCTGCCTTTGACGCCGGACACGGAGGATATAGACTGTGCTTCGCTCTCACTCGAGCTCTCGGCGGATACCCGCGAGAAGCTTATGGAGTCCGGCTGCAAGGACACTGGCCGATTGCCTTCAAAGCGGGAGTTGCCCCAACCTGTTAATTGCAATTGTTGGCATTAGTTTTGGATCGTATACGATGTTTTATGTAATAAGCATGCAAAATAGAAAAAAAGGTATGTATCGATGAGGTTGATGTAACACAAAAAAGATTGAGGCGTGCAGAATATGTTTAGCGTAAAAAGAGAGCAGACGACATAAACGCAAGTCTAAATACTTTGTAGGCTCGTGCGCAAATAGGAGCGACGAGTTAGCTTGACCGATTTTATAGTTGAACCTTCACGATTAGGGGTGAAGCGCAAGGCATGCAATTCAAGAAAAATACATATTGATAGAGTTACAGTAGAAACATATAGCGGGGAGATTAAAAGCTGCAATCCAGATATTATGTGGTAAAAAGAAGGTTACGCAAAAATTGACGTATTTTTTCCTTAAATTTCATTTCTGTAAAATTGTTAAAAGAAATATAACAAACTTTAAGTGGATCTTTAGACTAATTTTAATAATGTAGCATAAGAAGGCTTATCTGAATGTATTTTGTCTGAAATGTATTAAATTCAGAAAATAAGATTCAACAGGAATATGAAGTGCGAAATATAAACTGTAGATATAAGATGCCCTGACAAAAAGTACAATACTATTAATGCAGATTGTCAAGAAAAACAATAGGGTTTTTCTTCCTATGATTCTTTTTATGTAAAAAAAATGTATTTCTTTTTGTTTTTAACCAAACCTCTGGGAAAAATTGAGAGATTTGAAGCGTTCCAAAAAAAGATATCTGTGGCACCAAGAATTGGTTTTGCGGCGAAATTTGGAAGAAAGAGATTTCTGTACTTATACTATGTAATAGACGAATACGGGGTGACACTATAGAGTAATTCTAACCCTTTCAGACCATTGGTGTTGTAAATACTTGCATTAATGAACTATTATTAATAATTATCTCGCTTTTTTATTGTATTGCACAGAAGACTGATGTTTTATTAAAATTGGCATTATTTTAGCACCAGGTCTGACAGAGCTATCGAGTTAGAGATATAAATTTAAGGTATCATAAACTGGAGTCTGAAATAGGTGTCATTCTTCTTTGGGTACGCATAACCTTTTTCTTACTTATTAAATACTTATATCAATCCATTGTAAGTTGCCGATATAATTGTCAAGGAGTTAGGAGAGAAAGTGAAAAACATAGACCACAACCAATTCAAACACCAATACCAAACGAACACTGAAGAAGAAGCTACGAAGGAGGTGAGGTTTTCTAATATATGTAACGTATATATGTAACGTCGCTTTTGCTGACCACCAATTCCATCGTTATTGTTATGCATGTGAAGACCCATATAGCTTGGATTACTGATGGCATTATTATGATGTTCGCCGCCTGGCGATGATTTTGTTGGTGTAGTTGCTGGAGATGATGGTGATGATGTTGTTGGTGTGCTCGTTAGATGCCAAACCGTGCGACTAGTACTAGTCGCCTGTTGTGTCATTGTGGTGATTGTTGTTGTTGTTGAGGCGGTTTTGGACCTTTGCTTGATATTACCATTGTTGCCACTGCCATTGCTGGCCCCGCTGCTGGAGTAGCTGATGGTGCGCTTGGCCGTGATGCTGCTGTTGCTGTTGCTGTTGCCGCTGGTGTTGTGATTGTTGCTGTTTGTGTTGGCTGTGTTGGTGTTGTTGTTGTGGCTGCTGTTGCTGTTGGTGCTGCTGCCCGGCGCATGGGATTCCATTTCAATGAACTTTCTAGTGCTATCAATTCGGCCGCCTAGCGAGGGTACACGCTGTGGGGACATGTGTGTGCCGTGCTGTTGCTGTTGCTGCTGTTGTTGTTGTCGCAGCACATTGTTGTTGTAATAGTCAGGTTGTTGCTGCGCTGCTGCATTGAATGCATTAATGCGCTGTTGCACCTGTGCCTGATGCTGCGCATGCGGGTGGATGTGCTGCACCTGTTGGGGATGGTGGGCAGAGGACGACGACGTGGACGGCGAGGGCGAGGACACCGCTGCATGATGACTGTGTTGATGCTGATGATGCTTATGATGGCTATTCGCGCTGCCCAACGGTGGCATTGTCGTTGGCAGTGGGGGCGGATTATCTGATACACATAATACGAGGAGGAGCAAGTTTTCGACATTTATACAATGTTGCATGTGTGTGGTGGGAGTGTGTATGGGTGTGGGGAGTGGAAGTGGGTGTGTGAGAGTTTATGTTTTGGACAAACACAAGTATGATTTGGAGCCAATACTTTAGCTCTAGCTCACTACCGGGGTGCATTCAGTACTTACCCGATTGTCTAGACTCGCTGTTGCGCTTCAACACCACTCCATCATCTTGACTGCTACCATTTTGTATGCCCGTCAGTCCGGCGGGTAGTGTGGAGGATTGCTGCAGGCGACCATCGGTCAAATCTGCAATATAAGGTTGCAAAATTTAAAATAAATACCACACTATACGAGTATGTACGAGTATATACGAATAGCATTAACGCAACATAAGAAGGCAGGTGTATTGCCAACATTTTCATTGAAATATGTACTTACCCAAAAGAGAACGTTGAAAGGTGGTGTAATTACCTTCCCTAACTTTTTCAAGTATGTGTTTGCATTAAATAAAGCAAAGATATAGTTTTAGGCTTAACATATTTTTAAAATATTTCAACCAATTTAAGTTTCTTAAGAGACATCCTATATTAACATACAGCGTCTAGTCTTTTAAGCAACTCTAGAACGTTATGGCAGGACTGCATCTTAAAAGAGTATGTACTTACCATTGGTCGAACTTTGACGATTGCGTAGCACAACTAGATTCTCTTGACTCTGACGTTGTGTGGCCACTGGTGGAGCTCCTCGTGGTGGTATGGGCGGTTTCTGATCGAAGCCTGACGTTGGTGAGCTCGGCTGGGATTGTTGCTGCTGCTGAAGTTGCTGTTGCTGTTGTTGTTGCATTTGTCGCTGCAGGAAGGCCATTTGTGGTGTGGCTATTTCTAAAGTTTGGCTGCCGCTGGCACGACGCTGTGAATCGGGCGAAGAGTTGCGTGAACTCACGGGTGACTCCACATTGCTGACTACTTTAATGTCTGGGGAACTGCTGGATTGTTGCTGCAATTATCAGAAAGTTATGGTTAACGGGAGAACTTATTTGTTAATTACTACCCACCTTCATGGATTCATCGTAGCTGAGCAGCTGTAGATTTGGCGGCAGACTAGCATGGAAGGATATCTTGCGCACCCAATCGTTCATGATTTCCAGTGAAGGTGCTTCGAACAGAAACTCTGAGCCGTCGGGCAGCTTCAATCGGAACACGTACTTCTTCTTCGTGTAATCATCGGCACGTTCGCATTTCGCTCCCAAGATGTTGACTGGAGCTGTGGCCGTCTTCTGCTGCAGGAAATCATTTTCATCCTTGAAGAAGCACACCAACTGCCCACAGAGTACGGTGTGGAATTGCTTCCAGGAGCGTACAGGTGCCTTTTTCCCTCCAGATTGCAGTCCATGTTTGCGTTCTAGCATGCCTTGAATTTCGACAGGTGGCAAGTCGAAACCCTCGCCCTTTTGGTTCTTACGGAACGATTGGGCACGACGACGCGTAGTGAATGAGGGGGTTCGCTTGGGTTGCTTCGGTTGCACTTTCATGCTCTCGGCACGCTTAACATTGGCATCGGCTGAGCCGCGTCGCAAACGATCACCAAACATACCCGAGGAGCTGCTCTTTTGCAGTGAATACTGTTCTTCGTCGTAGGGTTTGCGCATGGGGGATTGCACCGAGGATGGAGTTTGCGATCCACTGCCAGTGCCTGTGACGGTCACCATGGGCGAAGAGAAAATAGGCGTCTTTTCCTGGGCTGCTGCGTTGTTACGATGCTCCTGCTGCTTCTCGGCGCGTCGTCTCTCGTCATTCAGACGTTGAAGCTCCTTCTGTTTCAACTGTTCCAGCCGTTCTTTCTCCAAACGTTCCTTCTCTTTCTGTTTGGCCAATTTCTCGTTCTCCACCTGCTTGCGGAAACGTTGCTCCAATAATGTGATGCGTTTAATGGCCTGGAATTTCTCCTCTTGTGCTGCTACGGTCTTTTCAAAGTCCTCATGTCGACGCAGCAAGTCCTCCACTTGTGGGATTGATTCACCTAGCTTGGCATCCTTAAGCTGTGGTTCGCGACTAATGATCCATTGCTCGAGTATTTCGGCATCCTTGAGGAAGAGTTGTGTGTCTAGATTTAGTTCGTAGATCTCCTTACGCTGCTGTAGGGTTTGCTCCAGGAGTTCGTGTCGTTGTTGCAATACTTTGATTTTGTCCTCCACCTCATGGGCCAGGAAATGCTTGGCCTTGATCAGTTGCTCGCCATTGGCCGTAAACTTGGCAAATGTCTCGTCACGTGCACGAATTTCAGCATGATGGTCCTTGATGCTGGCCAGCAGTAGTTCAGCGCCGGCAACGCTAGTTGCCAATTCGGGTGCGGTGATCTTGGCAAGCATTTCATTGATCCAGGCAATTAGATCGCGATACTCGTCGAAGTACGATTGTAGTTGTTCGGCTTGCGAGAGCTTGCTCTTGCGGGCAGTGGTTTTATCCTTCAAATCGGTCCATGCCTCAACTGTCTCATCACGTTTAACCTCGATGTGTTCGCGTGCATCGGGGTAGATTTCACCCAGTTTTACGGCTTCCCCTAGCACTGAGTCCACTTGCTCCTTTATGGCTGTTAGTTCACCCTCGAAAACGAGATGCTTGCGACCTAGTGCCTGTATACTCTCCAAATCTTGACCATAGTCTTCGGATATAAGTGAAGCCTCTTTCTCGTTTATTAGCGTAATCGTTTCATCAGCCACACGATCGTAAACGTGCACTTGCTTGGCGCCTGCTAAAGCATCTTGACGTGCATTGACTAGGTCCTTGAGTTCATCCCATAACTGTTTGGTCTCATCGCGTTTTGTCTTAATCGAGGTGCGATAGGGGTTGTTCTCTTGGATTAGACGATCGCCACGCTCTAGGCATGCCTCTACGCGTGCCTCATTGGCATTCAGGTTGGAAACAAACGATTCAAAGGCCAATATCAGTTGTTCCACATGCTCCACATCCTCACCATAGTCCTCGGAGGCGGTGACTGCCATTTGATCGCCAATCCATTCGTGAAGCTCCTCCGTTTCTCGAAGATACTCGAACAGCTTCTTACATTCACTCAGACGAAGCTCACGGTCCTTTGCTAGACGCAATAACTCGGCATATTGTTGCGCTACTGCACTATTTTTCTCCTTGATGTTCGCGCTATCGAAGTGATTGCGTTCAATCAGGCCCGTAGCCAGTTTGTTAACCTTCTCAATTGATGGCTTAAAGGATGTAAGTTCACGATGCAACACCTCCAACTTCTTCTGATGAGTTTGCACTGAAATCTCATCGCGTCCATAGTCACTGCTAGCCAAAACGGGACGTTTCTCACGCATCCAGGCATCGGCCTCATTGGCTTCCACATAGAACAACTGACTCTCGACGGCATCTAGAAGCCGCAATCGACGAATACTGGCCAAATCACGCAATTGCACCAATTGCTTTTGCAAAAGATCCGATTTGTACTGCACCTGCTCGCTAGCAAAGTGGTTGTCGCGTATCATCTGCTGGCCACGCTGCAGAAGCGCCTGTATCAGTGGCTCCTGCGATACGAGTTCAGCTTCTAGGGCATTGTGCTTCTTTTGCAGTCCTTGCACAGCCAACAGACTACTGCCCAGATCCTGCGAGCCAGCGATCAACTGCTTCTCACCAAGCCACTGCAGCTCATCTTCCGCATCGCGCAGGAATTGTTGTAGACTCAATGAATCCTCCAAATTTTCACGTCTGATGGCAATGGGTTCATGCAGCGTATTGTAGCGTTTGACGGTTGCCATCGCGCGCTCGTGTATTTCCGCTTTAAGGAAGTGATCGGCCTTAAAGAATTGTTCATCCTTGAGTTTCAGTTGGTCGGCAAGTTCATTGTGATGCGCAACATCGGCTTCTAGGCGCTCATGCTTCTTAAGTAGATTGCTGACGGTAGCCAAATCCTTTCCGTAGTCCTCGCTTGATAATTGCGCCTCCACATCGTCCATCCAGTTATTAAATTCGTCTACACTGCGATTAAAGGTAAGTGCATCGTAGGCTTGTTGTAGTTTTTCCTTCTTGGACTGTGAGGCTGCCTTGAGCTTCAACCAATCGCCCTCGAGCAATTGCACCTGTTGTGCTATTTCATCCTTGGCAAAGTGCTCGCCACGAATGAGGCGTTCACCTTCTCCAATAACCGCTTGGACGCGTGGCGAGTTGCTCAATAATTCGCTATCGAATGCTGTATGCTTTTGGATCTTGCTCTGGAGGTTGCTTGGCTCGCGATAGTTCTCATCTAGTGCTACTTGTAATTTTTGCACCAACCAACGATCAATCTCGTACAGACTTCGCAGGAATTCCTGAAGCTGCAAAGATTGCAGCAAACGCTGTTTGCGCTCTTCCGAGAGGTCCAGAAGTTTTTGCTTGCGTCGCAGAATATAGGCAAGTTTCTCGCGTATCAAATCCGCATCCTTGGGATCGCTCTCTAGGATGCTGTTGGCAAACTTCTGCAAGGCATCGACATGGTCAGCATCAAGTACCTTTTCAAAGGCATCGTGTTTTTTTATCAGACGCTCAACAGCAGTGTACGAATCACCCAAATCATCGTTATTCAGGAAAGCCTCCTTGTTGGCCAGCCAAATTTCGACTTGTTCTACTTGAGCCTTAAACAACTGCAGTTGATGGGCTTCGGTTAGGTCACGTGCGCGTTCGCTCCAAGCATCGTGGAGAGCTTGATGTTGATCCTCCAAAACGCGCAAATACTTTGTGACACTTCCAGAATTTTGTTGTGCCGCCAGCTGCTCGCCGTGCTGTTTCAGAGCAGCAAAGGCCTTGTCACGTCCTTCGATCTCCACCTTGCGTTCTTGATGCAATTCCAATTGCGTCTCACAATCGTTAATGGTCGAAGGTGCCTGGACAGCGTTCATTTTCTTAACCATATCGTTAACCCACAGCTCGAGCTCTTTCACGTCCGACACAAACTTGTGGACCAGATATGCTTCGTTTAGTAGACTCTGTCGCTTGACTGTCAAGCCTTGCAGATTTTGCCATGAATTATGCAGCTCGTCTAACTTGCGTTGAATATGGGGGGCGCCTTCGGGATATTTCCGTTGCAACTTTTCGCCTGCAGTTCCATGTTCATCGATCTTTTGCTTTACCGCTGACATGGCACGTTCTAATGCCTCTTCGCGCCGTATAAGCGCTTCGACGGCCTCCAGGTCACGACCCGTGTCCTCGGAGCTCATGGCCAGCGCCTTTTCTGCAATACGTTCTGCCGTATCGTCAACATCCCGATCGAAGACGTGAATTTCATTGGCACCGCCAAGAAGTGCGCGATAGGCATTAAGAGCACCCTGTAGCTGTCGCCAATTGTGGTTGAAGTCGCGACGCCGTTTGTCAATACTCTTGGTTTCTGCCGGAACTTGTGCCTGGTTAATAAGCTTGTCGGCCAACTGGTTGATATGCTTGACACGCTGATCATCCACACGCATGTCCGAGTCGACATCGTCCAGCTTACGCATAAGTGCGCTGCAATGTTCCAGATCGCGACCGGTGTCACTAGCCTGCACCATCATCTCCTTGTCGCGGATCCAGGCCTCAATCTTGTCCAGTTGGTTGTTGAATTCGAGAATATCCTGGGCCTCTTCCAAGCCACGGCCGCGTTGGTCCAATTCATCCAGCAGACTCTGCCAGGCGAGCAGGACGCGCTCAATGGCCTGTTTGATTTCTGGCGAAGATTCGTGTTGCTTGCTAAGCAAAATGACGCCCGTGTCCTGGATTTCCTTGATGCGACCTTGGTTGGCAGCAACCTCGGCCTGGAAGGCTTGGTGCTTTTGCAGTTTCTTAATCTTCTCATCGAGATTGGTGACCTCTGCATAACTGGCAGCATCTGCCTCCAGCTTCTTCTTCTTCTCATTGATCCAGGACTCGGCTTCGGCGCAGTCACGCACGAATTTGGCATAAAGAAGGGCATCCTCAAGCTTGTAGCGACGTACTGCGCAAAGATCCTTTACTTTTTGGCGTCGCGCCAATACACCTTGCAATATGGTCTGAATATTGGCACTGTCGTAGTGTCTTTGTTCAATGAGCTTCCGTCCATGCTCTTGCAATAACGCAACTTTCTCCTCCTGCGTCTGTATAAGTCTCTCGAATTCATCGTGCTTCTTGATCTGATTCTGTACATCCTCAACCGTCTGACCGAAATCAGAGCTGCTGAGCGACGCCTGTTGCGAACTGGATAGATTGTCGATTTGTTTGGCATCGCGCAGGAAACAGAACAAATCAATCTTCTGCTCCAACATGATCTTCTTCTTGTTCCAGGCAGCGTGTAGTTTCTGACGCTCATCCAGCATGGCTGCACATTTCTCTTCTACATCGGCAGCGGCATAGTGACCAGTTTGCACCATTGAGTCACTCAGTTCGTTCAGGAAACGGAACTTATCCTCTCGTGCTTCGATCTCTCCATAAATTGCATCATGTTGGATTTTCAGGGCTGTTGCGCCGGCAGCATCACTCACATGCTCCTCGGCTTGCAGGGCAGCGCGCAAATTTGATGACCAAGACATAATGTCACGGACATCAGTGAGGAAGGTTTGCAGGTCGGAGCTGGCGGCCAAACGATCTCCACGGGCCGTAGAGCGCTCTTTCAGATCGTTCCAAGCAGCGACTACTTTGTCCTGCTGCTGTGCAATTGCCGCAGCATTAGAAGGATACTTGGCCTGGAGGCGCACCGAATCCTCAACGAGCACTTGCAGTTGCGCCTCTAAGGCGACCAAATCATTTTCGAAGCCCTCATGCTTGCGTAACAGCGCAAGCGCAGAATTCAAATCTTTGCCCAATTCAGAAGAAAGTGCCGCATTCTTGTCTTGTATGCGGAATAGCGCCTCGGCTACATCACGATGGAAACGGTGGATTTCGCCGGCAGCATGCAGTTTCTGCTCGCGTTGATTCAGCAGCTTCAGAAGGTTTTCCCAAGACGTTCTGCGAAGAAACAATATAATATATACTCGTGTTTTTTAATGAAGCTATGTTCGTTCAAAACGTACCTTAGTTGTTCCTGTCTCTTTTCGACCTCATTGGCATAGGGGCTCTCCGATTCGATAAGTTTTTTGGCGAGAACTTCACACTGATCGACACGATCGGCGCCCACCTCAACGCGATGCTTCAGATCATCGAATTTGTTCTGCAACAATTGTAAATGCTCAAAGTCCTGGCCGTAATCTTCTGATGAAGCCGTTTGCTCTTGTTCCTTTATCCATTGCTCCACCTCATCGGACTCTAGGAAGAACTCATGCATGAACAGGCTCTCCATTAGTCGCATCTGGCGTTGTTGGGCCAATTTGTGCAGCGACTTAAGCATTTTCTCAATAAGTTGCTGCTTGGCAGTCAACACCTTGCTATCTGGATGGCCAGCGGCCACCATTGCTGCGCAAGTGTGTCCCATTTCCGTGACAATGCCTGAATATGTGTCCAACTCCAGCTCGATCGTCTTGTGTTTGGTTAACAACTTTGCGGCAGAATCGCGATCGCGTCCGTATTCTGTCGATCGCAGCGCATTGTTGCGTTCACCCAACCAGGATTCGATCTCACCGGCGTCGAACAGATATTGCTGTGCCTTCAACGATTGTTCCAGCTTTCTTGATCGTTCGCCGCAATGCAGCTCAAGATCGTCCCAAGCTTGTTGCAATTGACTACACAACACCTCCACATTTTTCTGCTCAGGATGCTGTTGTGCGATGAGTGTCTGACCTGACTGCAACGCCTTATTAATCATGGGCTGGTGACCCTTAATCTCTGCCTCCAGCTTCTTGTGTTTCTTGTGCAACGACTGTGCTTGGTGTAAATTGTGGCCCAGCTCATTGGACTTGGCTGCTGGCAAATGGTCGTTGATCCATTGGAATTCGGCATCCAGTTCAAAAACAAACTTGTGGAAATTCAAACTTTCCTCCAGCTTGTCCCGACGCCTTTGCGTTGGATCGCGCAGATCTTTGAAGCGCTGTTGGAGCTCCTTTGTTTCATCCTTGATGTTTTTAGCATTAAAGTGTCCCTCGTGTGCCATATCATCACCCGTGTTGACCAACTCGGCAATCTTTTGATCCCAAATTGTGATCTCAGATTCCAAAATCTGCTGTTTGTTGATCAAGTCCTTGCAGCTGCGCAAATCATTGCCAACATCTTTGCTCCTTAATGCCGCATCCAATTCATCAACCTTCTTCTTTGCATCCTCAATGGCACGATTATGTTCGCGCTGAGAGGCAGCTTGCTCCAGTTTGCGACCTTTGTCTTCGGAGAGCGTGAGTAAGTCTTTCCATTTCTTGTTCAAATCCGCAACACGAGACTCAACTTCGGGCACACGATTTTCAGCTTGAATCAAAGCCTCGGCATCCTTGTTGATGTTACGCAATTGACCTTCGTTAGCACGTAATTCTCGCTCAAAGGCCTTGTGCTTCTGCAGTTTGCGTGGAAGGTTCGTTAAGTCACGATAGCTTTCATCTCCGGCAATTTTAGTTTTATCCTGCAACCACACCCTAAGGTCATCAGCTTCAGCCGAAAATTTGTGGAAGTCCTTCGAAGCTTGTAGTGCACGCTTGCGTTCAAAGGCACGATCTTTGACGGCCTTGCGCTTGCCTAGTACTTGGTTACGACGATCGCCGATACTAAAAGAGATTAAGTGAAGTAAAATATAATTAATTTAGCTTTAATGTCTTAAGGACTCCACAAACCGTTTTATACTTACTATTTAGCATCGTAGTGATCATTAGCAATGAGCTTGTCCGCATTGTCCGAAAAAGCCTTCAGAACTTTATCCTGCGCCATCAAGCTCTTTTCAAAATCAATGTGACGCTTTAAGATGGCTTCGACCTCATCCAGTGAGTTCTGTAAGTAAACGAATTATAATTTACAACTTAACTTTCAGCGTTTGACTACAACTCCTTACGCCCAGGTTGTTGTACTCCAGGAAGGCCTCATGACTCTTCGTTGTAGCGTCAATTTTGTCTGCTTCCCGGTTAAAGATTTGCAGCTCGACGCATTGTTGCAGCCACTTTTGTTTTTCGGTCCAGCCGCGATGTATGGCATCTTGTTCCGCTTTAAGGCGCTCAATTAGCTTCACTGTATCCGCCATATTTGGCTTACCATCAGACAACTGCTTGCCTAGATTGATAACCTCGAGGAATTCATTGTCATGCGCCTTGATGTCATCGCCTAAATCGTTGTGTTTCTTTAGCAAGTTGTTGGCTGTTTCCACGTCGCGAGCTGACTCATCGGCATTGAGCTGATCCTTAACGGAGTCAATCCAGGCTAGCAGAGTCTTGGCACTGTTGTTGAATATCTGCTGACCAACTGCACTCTCAATTCGTGCGCGCAGCTCGCTTCCACGTTGCTGCACCTGCTGCCACATGTCCTGGACTTCCTGTTGGCGAGCATTGACATTGTCACGCTCTGCTGGGTAGGCATTCTTTACTGAGTTGCCCAAATAGGTCACTCGGTTCACTTTCTCCTCCACCGGTGCCAGTTCACGTTCCAAATTTTGATGACGGCGCTGGAGGGCCTGCACTGTTTTTAGATCTGGACTAATGACAGCGGTATCCAGTTGCAGCATCTTTTCGCTCATCCAGACCTTTGCCTCATCGCAGGTGCGGTTGAAAAGCTCCACACTGGATGCACCCTCGAGGCTCTTCTCGCGCTGTGCCTTGGCATTGTTCAGACGTTGCCAGATCTGGTGAATTTGACGCTGACGCGCAATGATCTTGTCTAGTTGCGAATGTCCTTGACGACGGAACGTGTCCACAGCGCCATCGATTTCTTCTACACGCTTCGAGGCGGCAGACAAATCTGTAATGAACTTTTCAAACTTGCGTTTGGCATTCTCTACGCCGTCGTTGCTGTCGTCTATCTTGATCATGCGTTCCTTTTCCTTCATCCATTTCTCAAAGTCGTCGCATTCTCGGTAGAAACCAAAGAGATGGATAGAATCCTCTAGCAGTGCGTGACGCTTTTGTGCCATTTCTTGCAGCTCGTCATAGGTGGCATTGATACGTTTCTGACGCTTCTCAACGCTGTCTGCATTCTCGTTGATGCTATTTGTCGAGGTGCGTCGTTTAACAAGGGGCTTGGGGTCCACCGTGACGGGCTTGATGCGCTTGACTGGCACCACTTGTCGGACCAGTATGGTTTTCTTGACCTTTTGAAGACTCTTTACTTTCTCAGCTTTTGGTACGATACATGTGACTGGACGGGCTTCGATTTCGCGCACATAGTTCGCCGGCACAAATCCCTCATGGCCGTTCTCCTTGCGAACACACCACCAGTCATCGTTGGTCTTTGATTTGAGCAGCATGACCTCGCCCTTGTCCATTTTCATGCCTTGGCCCTCGAAAGGGAATAGTGATCGCACATGTGGCAACATTTTTGTTTCGGTCACCTTTTTGTGCTCCAGTTTCTCCACCCATTCGTCCTCCCATACTTCCTTTGGGACCAGACGTGTCTCGTTAACCCATTCTTCCTGTTCCACTTCAGCTATTTCAGGCTCCACTGCGGACAGCTCCAAGGTGCATATGCCGGCCTTGATGAGTTTATCAGCCTGCTGGTTAAGGTTAAGTATATCGCCGGAATAGGCATTCAGCTCGCCCTGAAGATCACGATGCCGTTGCAATAGTGCTTGCGCTGAGGGCTCGTCATTGCCATAGTCCTTCGAGTTAACCAGCGCCATTTTCTCATTCAACCATGATTCCGCCTCATTAGCGTCGGTGTAGAACTGATAGGCCTCAGCTGCATCTTCGAGTTGTCGTCGTCGCAATTCTACCAAATCCTCAAGTGCCTGCCAATGTTCAGTTAGCGACTCGATGCGACTTTTTATTTCACTGGAGCGTGGGTGGTGCTCGCCTATTAGGCGCTTGCCTGCCTCAGACATTTGCAACGATTTGGGTTTGCGCGACTTGATCTCATCTTCTAGGGCTTTGTGTTTCTGTTGCAGTGAAAGCACGGCCCGCAGATCTTTAGCCGTGATACCTGTTTTGCAAATGCGTTGCTTATCCACCAGCCAGCTCTCCTCGTTATCGTAGTCCTCCATAAAATGATGGAAGTTACGTGCTTCTTCGAGACGTGCCCGACGCTGGGCCGAAAGTTTCAGGAGCTCTGCATAGGCTTGTTCCAATTCGGCCAACCGCTGTGCTAGCAACGCTGCATCTTTCTGCTCTGAATTTTTGTAAGGCAGTGCCTGACGATTGAAACGTTTCAATGTCTCGCCATAGGTGTTCACCTGCAGTTCTTGCAACGAGTGGGCTTGCAGAAGTTCCTCAACACCAAGCAAATGTGGGCCCACATCTTCGGAGGCAAACTGAACCTGTAACTCACGCACCGATTCTGTGGTGCTGGCAATCTCACGCAAAAGATTCATCAGATTGCTCATTTGTGAAAGGTTGAGACGCTGATTTTCCAGGAGCTCTAATAATTTACGCCACTTTTCCATCACCTCCTGTTCACGTTTCTTCACACGCTCCTTGCCATGATAGTTCTCATTCTCTAGCTCATTCGCCATGGCCGTCAAGTCATTGAAGCGTTCAACGCGAGCTAAAATGTCGGCGGAAATGGCTTCGTGCTTCTTCAGCGTGGCATCCACCTGACGCAAATAGCGAGGATCCGATAATACTTGTATCATTTCCTTAAGGTAGCCCTCGCGCAGTACGGACTTCTTTTCAAATTTGTAATTCAGCTGCTCGAGTTTCTCCTGACGCAGCAGTTCCTCACGCAACGCCACTTCACGATTATGTTCGGCATACTCCAAGATCTGCCAGGCCTTTTCGATATCGTTGACCAGTTGACCATCCTGGGGATTATAAGGTGGCTGATTTAGCGCTTTGAGGAGCGTATTGATGGTAAAGTAGAGAGCTTCAATCTCGCTGCGCTCTTTATATCTAGAGGGAGAGACAACAAAAATATGGTTTTAATTTTTTGGCATTTTTTTAATTCTCAGATGATATTGGAGAGAAGTACTCAATATTTTACTTACTTGGGCGGCTTTTCAATCGTGCGATATTCTTTAAACGCCAGTAGCTCGCGCTGAATGCCTTCCAAAGAATTTGGAAAGTCGCGTTGCTCCAACTCCAGCGTTTTTTGTCTGATCCAGCTTAGTAGATTTGTGGTCAGTCGTTCGTATTGCATTTTCTTACGGTCAGCATCCATCAATTGGCCCACAATCTGCAATGCATTAAGTGAGTTAGTGAATGAGTGAAGGAGCGGTTCCACTACTTTCTAGGCCCAACCCAAGGGCAGTGTCGACTACAATCGTCTACCATCTGCCCACTGTCGCATCAATCCATAATGAAGTAGAGCGTAAACTATTGGCCGTTCCGCTGCAGCGAGTCACCCACCCATGGTACCCAACCCATGGCTCTACTTACATTCGCTATGCGTTTCCCGCTCTTCTGTTCGTTCTTCATGCGTGCAAACGTGTGATAGTAGGAGGCCACATAGGTCAAGATCGATTTCTCGTCGGGCCTCGCCGAGTCAACGTCCTCGGCATCCAGCAAACTAAAAAAAAGCATACATTATAGAAGTTTATGAAAATCTGCAACTGGCATACAAATCCAAATTGTTAGCTCACCTTGGTATGCCCAATTCATTGGCTGCCGTATCGAATGCATGATTCAAATTATCCAAATTTGAGTTCTTCGAATTGACAATAGTGCTGTATTCAAACAGATCGGGTCGATGTGAGTGTATGAGTGCATTGAAACCCAAACCAGAACGCCATGATGATGTGAAGTCCACAATATTAACGCCTGGATAGCCATGCGTCTTACGCTGACACCACAAAAGTAGCGCATCTTTGGCGGAACGTTTCTCGCTGGATTCGTTTTCTTCATCCTGTAATAAAAGTAATTTTTAGTACTCACATATTATAAGGCCACTTTTCATAAATAGTTACCACATCGATTTCAATTTCCTGAATTTGAAATCGCAAAATGATGGTCCAGATGAGACCCAAGATCAATCTGGGATTGCCATCGACAATATCCTCAGCACCAATGGACTCCAAGCGTACCTAGAAACGAAATACAAGTATATTGGAATCATTACGCTTTCTGTTGTTCATTGCAACAGCAGAGGGCAGGACAGTAAGCTCGATATCAAGTTACGCATAACCTGATTGTAAGCAGCACGGGAGGGGGTCGGTCGGTCACGTCACGCATTATCAGGTGTAAGCAGCGACGGTCCCAGGTGCTTGACCCATCGCTCGCTCTCTCATGTGGGTCGCATTTGAATTTCTAGTAGGTCATGGCATGGCAGGCAAGAAGCCAAGAAAGCATACGAACTCGTAAGTCAACACAAATACTCGTACTATGTTAAATATGCTAGACAGAAAACGTAGTTAACGTATAAAACGAGCCCGAATGTGGGGAGGAAGATATTTGATTTCAAAAGGTTGTTCCAATGAAAATAACTTAGTGTAGGAGTTGGAAATGGGAGTCAAAAAGGCATGAATTTGAAATACGATCGCCGTTTAAAAATGCGGTAAAGTCTCAATCTGGCTATTATAGAATTAAGAGTATTTATCAGATGTCTTTTGTGTACATATTTCCTTGTAATAACTAGCTTAGATACTTTAATAATTTAAAAACAAGAGAGAACGCTACAGTCGAGCAAGCCCGACAGTGAAATACCCTGCACCCAGGTGAACTTCCGAAACTGAGGTACATGCGCCTCTAGCAGAAGCAAAAGGAAGAAGAAGAGCGAACTTGATGCTGCAGCTTGTGGGCGTAGTGCCGGAGTGAAATTGTTTCGCTAATAACTTTTTTTAGAATTGACCGGTTCGGATTAAATAGAATTGAAACAAAAGTAGATAATTAAATGAAAATTATGTGTGCAAAGTTTGGTTAATGTAGCTTTTGAAATGTGTGGCGGGGGAAGGGGGGAAAATTCCAAAAAATAAAATAAACTCGTCCTTTCTCGGACCTAGGAGAATTTGGATACCAAATTTGGTTATTCCAGCTTTTACAGTTTCCGAGATCTTTGCGTTCATCCAGACAGACGGACGGACGGACATGTCTAGATCGATTTCTCTCGTCATGCTGATTGAGAATATATATACTTCATGGGGTCGGAGATGCTTCCTTCTGCATGTTACATACTTTGCACAAACCTAATATACGCTTTTACCCTACGGGTACAGGGTATAAAAATATTTATTTGAAAAGGTACTATTTTTTTGTGCTTGCATTTAACAGATTACTAATCTAGTTTTTTTCGTGTAATCTAAACTTGCATTAATATTGAATCATACTTTAATACTTATTTCGAATGCTTATTAAGAGTCTTTAGTCTTCAGTCTCAAAACTAATGACTTGGTTTCGCTGCAGTTGCGTTAGTTTTGTGTTTCCATTGAAGAAACGTGTTCCATTGCCCGGCTCATTGAGTGCAGGAAATGTAAAAAGCATGCAACTAGCCGGCTTTAGGCAACAGCCCATAAACTGTAAAGTGCCTTTAAATCTATAACTAAATGAGGTAACTAATACGTATTTACAGTTATAATGGCTGAAGATTTGTTGTTGTTGTTGTTGTAGCTATTGGGGAGCCCAGCCCAAAAACGAAAACCAATTAAAATGCAATGAATGCCGCAAAAGACAAAAAGTCCGACCAGCATAAAACACAAAAATATCAAAGAAAAAACATAGTAAACTTTCACTACACACACACACACTCACACAAATACTGTTGTATTGTTGTTGTTGTACAAATGAAGTGTATTAAATGTGCATTAAAAGCAAACACCATTGTTTCTAATTAGATTAGGCTTAAAGCAAGACTAGAAGCTACCGCAACGAAACTATGTCACGCGCTAAGCTCAACAAAGAGATACACCAGGTATCTACAATATGTATCTATCTATGTATTTGTGTTGCATGTGTGCTAAGGCTTCTGTTGCCCCACACCACATGCTCGTAAGATCGACTAAGCCCGCAGCAGCAGCAGCAGCAGCAGCTTCTGCTATAGCTTCGCTCATTCATGGTGCAATTAAAATAAAATTCATGAAATGAAAGTGCGGAAAATATACCGCACGAAAACGCTAAATAAATAAAAAGCAAGCAAGCTATATACTTGTACTCTTTTTGTTGCCGTTGTTGCTTCTCTGTTTCTTGTAATGTGCATTAGAAAGTATGCAAATATTTTAAGAAATTGTCTGAAAATTGCTGTAAAGAGGGGAGAAATATGAAAAGCAAACGCCAAATAAAATTAAATGCCAGCCAGTCAGCCAACGAAGGTAATTAAATATATATTTCGTTTTTGTGCTGTTTTGCAAAACTTTCAGCGCGGCTGTGGCCAAAGTGTCGTTTGTTATGCTCATGAGTTGCGGCAACAACTACAACAACAACACCTCATATGGGAAACAAGGCACGCAATGGCAGCACGCAGCACGCGCAGCTGCACAGACCCGTCAAAGTCGCTGCGCATGCGTCGTCAACGCATCGTAAACTTGCACTTTCTATAAACGCGCCTCTCCAACTCATGCATACATATGTACACACATATATACGAGTATACATATATGCATGTATGTACATATGTAGGCATTGCCACTCACTCTCTCACGCTGTCTCACTATGCATTTACTAGATACAAGTATATGTATATTTTTACTCACCTTGGTGTGCAAGAATGCCAGACTCTTGTTGACATTTTCAATTTTATGTACACGCATGCGTCCGCTATTCGGCTTGCCCAGTTTCTCCGACGATATAATCTCAAGTAGTTTAAGTAATTTAATACCATCGGCTAGATCTGTGAATAGGTCTTCGACCTCCATTTTGGCCTGTCAACCGAATAGAATAGATAGCAGAGGTAAAAAGAAAAGCGTTTAGAAAGTGATTTTCCTCACATGTCTCTCTCTCTCTCTCTCTCTCTTTCTCTTACCTTGATCAAAAACGAATTCATCCATTTTGTAAATGTCTTCTTCTGTATGTGTAAACGTTCCTCTTGCAGCGTCTTAATGCGTTCATTTTCAAATTTTATAATGCCATCGCGTTGCGTCATGTTGGCGGAGTTGCGATTTTGTGCCTGCAGCGTTGAGTAACCTCCCGGTTCATATTGTGATGCTAAAAATAAGGAAGAACGCAGAATAAGTACACAACATAGATTACACTGAAAAAAGGACCTAAGCCAAGCTCAGGGATTGCTTAGAGTGTACATTTTATAGCCATAACGATCGTTTTTCGTTTCACTTTCAAACTAGTAAAGTGTACTTAATGAAGAAACTAATATTTTTAAATGATTGCAATGTGAGATTTTAATAAGTTCAAAAAAAAGGAAAATATTATATTACAGCAAATATTTCCAGTCCAATTTTTTAATGTCTTCTTTTTTTGTCTTTTCAATCACTTATATATTACTTATTTAAAAATCAGCTCAAATATAACTTGAATACCCGATAATACTTGCATATAAAATCGAGTTTTCCAAGACTGAAAGCGATTTTTAAGTAACAATAGCATACTAAGTAGTTGCGAGTCAACTTGATTTTTCTCTCTGTGTTAAAATGTGTATTTTGATATTTACATGGGCAGCCTTAAAAGTGCCAACCGTTTAGCATTTGTTTTGATTGTTTGTGTTAAGCGACTTAGCGGTGAACGCATTAAAAAATCAATAGACAGGTAGAAAAACATATAGTTCGTGACAAGGTAGTGCAAAAGATTGTACGAGAGATCGACGAATGACTATGACAAATTTCATATAAAGACACACACACACACATTCATTTGTATGAGTCTTGCCTTAAAATGATAACCAAACGTCGCTTATCACAAGTTAATATTGATGACCATAAAAATGAAATGGCTATAAAAATATCATAGCAAGTAGTAAGACTTTATATTAATTTGCACATACTTGTAGAACTAGCAACGGAATTGCTCAACTTTTTAAATAGAACAAAGCGTAATGTCTGTTTCGAAATAGAGTTTTGATAGAGTTCGTTTAGTAGTTTGTACCCAGGCATTAGTCAATGCTGGTGAATTGTTTGATAAGTAGTATGAGCTGTACTACTAGTATAGATATGGTTCTCAATGCTACAGATTAGCCTTAATATAAAACTTCCCCAGCTCAACATTTAACAAAATAAATATACATGTACATACATACATATGTATGTATGAATATACTTTTGGCAGTGCCGTAGTACGGTTTGTTATCAACAAAAAGCGGTCGCAATTATTTCATCGTAAAAAACAATTTTATTCTTACGTAATGCTTAAATAGAAACCACAACCACATAACAGGAAACTACTCCCAACAAATTTTGTGCATTCATAGAATTGGAAGCATATGTAACAAATTTCACTAAAATTTAACAACGAGTCATTCATCAAATACTTGTATTGTCGGAATTATAGTCTTATCACTTTTTTTCGAGAAAAGAGTTAACAGATAAGCCCTTGTCTGGGTATGAGAAGGGTTCAAGTTCAACACCTACCCAAAGATTGACGCTCGTAGGAGATATAGCGACGATATTCATGGCGCGAAAAATTTGAACGAGTTGAGGCGTTGCTATCCATTTCGGCAGGAATTAATTTTGGGTGTCACCGAAAAATTGAAAATTTTGCGTTTTTGAAATCAAAAACATTTAAGCCTAAAGGATAATTTATGTTTAACGTGTTTTCGAAAATAATTTAGAATCTCGCACTCTATGTTCGAATAAGTTGAATCGTTCAGGTCGCAGCAGTTCTTTACACTGTCCACGCCGTTCGGTCACTGAGCTTTTTTTGTTTTTTGTTTTTTTTTCGGGTAAATTCTTAGCTTTACCCTTTTGCTTATCTTTCAACCTGCTAAGAGCAATAGCCGTTAAACGTGAGAGCAAAAAACGAAAAAAAAATGAAAGTAGCAAAAATTCCTTGGGACTCTATGGTGAATTCTTTTTATCGTTATCATACCGAAGCTCTTAAAAGATAGCGTATGCCACATTTTATCAGCAACGACATGCTTAAATAATTGCTTACTAGAGACGGGAGAGAGACGGGGAGAGAATGAGAGAGAAATAGTGAATATGCACGTAAATCTTGATGGAGACTAACTAACTAACTAAGCTTTTCTGCTTCGTTTTTAGCAAAAACAAATGATACAAGCCTATAACTTATCTTATCACATGATACCTCACTCACATACCATGGGCATATGTTGCTTTATAGATTATGTCTCACGCGATATGAAGTAACTAATGATACCCATGAATGGTACAGTGGGCCATAACTTTAGAGGCGCTGGAAACATGGAAGGACTAGATGTTTTTTCATTAATAAACATAGTTTATACATACTTGTAAAATATTAGACAAATTTATCTACGCTTATTGTATTGTTACTGGGGACTTAAAGGAGCTATACGTTTGCTATAATTTTAAATCATATTTGGTATCTACCTAGAGCTTAAGAATTTAAAAATTTGATGATGTATTTCTCTTCAGCTTGATTGCTCATGGAATGTGTTATCTGGATGTTTTTGAATTCGCTGACAGCCACTAACTATCCCTCCCTTCGTCATACATTTTGGGTTTTACCAAAAACATAAGATTAGCCCATGGTGCATACTTTTTGTAACACTTGGAGTTAGAATAGTTATTTATAGTCGCTAATGCTTTGATGATATGGAATTTCCATAAATTTTTGTAGCTAACTAATACATTTTTGTGTTGCAATATTTTTAATCATTATGATAGGTCAAGTCCTAATAAAATCTTCAGATACCCTCTTGCTCAATTTGTTTATTCGAAGAGAGAAAATGGATAAAAGAGTTCCAATAACGAACTACATATTTTGCAGGTATTACAGTTCTAAATTTGTAATTATAGTAAAATAATAAGACAATCTAAGCGTTAGGCAAGGTCTCTCGCTCTATCTGAGGTCATCTAAAAGGCATTTGCAGTATGTTCTGTAGACAAACAATACTAGATAGATAAATTCGCTTGCTTTAGTGCAAATAATGGCAAAAAAGAAATAGAAAATCAATTAAGAAGAGGTGAAAAATAAACAATAACTGCAAACATTGGAGTGACAATAAACTTTACAATTTGCCGATAACAGGTGCTGCGTAAACTTTCTTATCAGTGGCAGTTCTGTGGCTTTATTTGTATTTGTTAATTGAAAGCGAATTGGGGCATAACTTTAGGCTTAACAAAAAAAGAATAACATGAATCTTCACCTCAAAAATGCAGACTATAATCAGAAAGAAGAATATGAACACTTTTGTAAATACTTGTATTAAATGTTTAAAGAAAAAAAAGAGTGCTAATGTTTATGTGTGCTATAGCACCCTAGTTCGGCTATAGATCGGATGATTGCAGAGGAGAGAATACTTGCAGCTTCCATATCTAAGAATTCTACCAGGTACTACCGTGGAGTATTTGGTGTAGAGTGAAGGACAACGTTGTTGGATTTGTCATTTGCTATTACAGCAAGCATTACAATATATTTCAATTTATTCACTTTTCTTAATATTAATATTATGAATATATGAATAATGTTAAGCTTTATGAATTTCCAAGTGAGGTAAAGATATCATAATGTTAAGAGTCCTGTACAGCATCAAAATCATATTCATACACATATAGCTTGTTTCATTTTAAATCAGTGAGCGATTGTAACTATTCCTTGTTTGTTCACAAATACGCTTCATTTTTTTAGTGGCATCCAACAGCTGCGAGCAGTCGTAGACATGTCTGGACTATTTTTAGTAAATGGCAACAATAAAACAAACGGCAATCATAGCATCCTGTTTACTAGGATCGCTAGACAAGGGCAAATGTTGCGCATGCGCTGCCAACGCGACAGACACATTTAACACATGCGGCTTACACATGTGGCAGCAGCTGAGCTCGAAAATTTGATGCCCTGCATCGCTGGCAGGCACATTCTGAAGGTTGTTATTTATAAATAGAAGAAAGAAGTGCCATTAAATTAAACAGCGGTAGCTCTGGGGGCTATGTTCTACATAGGCAAGCAACTTCCCTGCTGATTTGCCGGCAGTCTGTCGTCCAATAACCTCACAGCCAACGCCGCTCCACATAAAATTTGCATAAATCAATAAACATTTAACATATGCCATTTTTATTTTTTGCTGATGTTATTGTTGTTGTTTTTCTCCTATTCAAACATGAATTTATATGGCAAAAATGCAAATCATTTACAAGCGCGCATGCGCCACAGCATGGTGAACAATTTTGGGCTTTAATTAAATGTTTGCGACTGATTTCGAGAATTATTTTCTAGCCCGCTCAAAAGTCAGGGTCGGCTGATTGAAAAAGATAAAGCTCAATTTGACTGTCATTTCTTTTGTCTGTGCGTTTGTGTCCAACACTAATTTCTTTGTGTTGCTGTTTTTCGCAAAAGCTGTCTAGAATATTGAAAAACTAACGAAAATAATGAGACGTGTAGAATGCAAAGCTGTTTTTGTTGCTGTCGTTGTTAACTCTTTTCATTTTATTTTTTGTTGTAAATTTGCGTTTCTTCTGCTGGCTGTTGGGTATTGTCGTTTTCGAAAATTCGTGCATAAAATTACCTCATCAGGCAGTTGGAATTAAAATTCCGTTTTAGACTCAACAAATAAGCCAGTCAGTCTGTCACAGACACAGTCACAGTCACAGTCACAGTCACAACCATAGCCACAAAAGCAAAAACAATGTTATAAATTCTTTTATTTGTGCTCAGCATGCTAAACAATTTTCGAAAAACAAAAACAAAACTGCCCTAAAGAGAAAACAGCAATGAAATGGGTTAGAACTTTGCAATATTTATTGCCATGACGTGCCGAAAAATGTGTGTTTGTTTTTTATTTTAATTTGTATATGGAATATTTTGGCATTAACATTTTTAAATGGGTTGGCGCAGGTGCCTAATGACACCTTGGCTTAGACATTTGTTGGCAGTAAAAGGTTTCATCAAACAATTTATAAATATTTCAAGGCTTCAAATATAAAGAAAAATAGAATGCATTTTTATTAAAATACCCAATTTTGACAGCTGACATAAATGGATGAATGGCAAATGCTTGAGTATCTTATAGTATTATAGTTACTTGTGGAATGTGTATGATTTTTTTCAAGGAAATG